CATTTATATTCTTTTCATAACTTACCAATAGCACAAGAATGAGCAATGTACGTGAAAAATGTTCGTGCTTATATAAAATTCATGGAAATCTATTTTAAAATGTGGAGTTCCGCTCAAAATCTTTGGGGGACATAATTTATACTTCATGACTTGGAATATATATTTTAAATGGTGGAAGAATCTATACCTACGGTATGCTGCTGAGAAGCTAAGACAGAGGCTGCTTCATTGCAAAGATCCTTTAGTGCTGCAGATGTACATTTCCAATCAGCTTGAATTAAACCAGTGGCTCCACTAATGCGCAGAATCTGTAGATGAACGTTGTTGAATGGAACTTCCTTGTGCATACAGAGAAAGAGGTGTGTGTGTGGGGACGACCAAATGTTCCAGGACTACAGCTCCCATCATCTCTGATCATTGGCTATGCTGACAGGGGCTGATGGGCGTTTGAGCCTAACCATCAGCATCACAAGCTCCTTTCCCCTGTCCCAAATCCCCCTACAGGGTTTACTCACAAGCAAGTCCGCTAAAGATTCTGCTCATTTGATTGCAGCAATAGTGGCAATATCCCTGATGAATAGCTAATTGTTTCTTAATTACACTCCTTCTGTTCACAGCAGCAGTTGGGGCTTTAATTACTGCTATCCTTTCAATCTTCCCCTCCCTTTTTTTCTGTTATGATCACAAAAGAGAGATACAAAGGGAAAATGTTATTTATTAGTATTATACAATACTTCGTTGCGGTCCAAAGACCCATAAACCATAAACCATAAAACAATTCCAAAACTAGATACAGTTAAAACGACCAGACAGATAGACCAAGGCAATCATTTTGTAGGGCGTAATGATCTTTTTTCTTATAACCTCCGAAAGAAACTTTGCCACGGCCAGTGTAATATCATTTGACTTGTGTTCCAAAAGATATTTAATATAGGAGGCTTCAGATTTCCCCCACAAATTTGCCAGTAAGGGGTTTGACCAGTTGATCCCTTGCTTGCTCATATTGCCCACAATGCAGTAGGATATGCTTCACACAATCAACGTTCTGGGAACATAAACAAAGCCTATTCTGATAGTCTGAAATTAGAACTTTTGAGGGAAACACATTTAGTCTGGCTTTGGTAAATAAACACTGATAGGTATTATTAGTATCACCTCTGAAAAGAGAATGGCAATTCTGAGAAGGGGGCTAGAGCACAAGCACCCACTGGCTACAATCTAAACAGGTTTTCTATGTGAAAATACAGGAAATGGGGAAACAGTTCCAACTTTCTTTCTTCAAATAGTGCAGTAACTTTCATTCCTACATTGGTGAGCGGCTGTGACTCTCATTATATGCCTTCTTCACTCTTCCTCCCCTGGTTAGCAGTCCCACAGCCAACTGCATCACTGTGCTTAGAGGATTAACAGCCTGGCTGGGTTTCTTTAGTTTGAAAATAAAGATAAAAATGGCCTACATTCCTCAGAGTAAGAGCTGCTTCAAAACAACAAACAAAGCAAGCTCTAGCTTTGTGTATATTAGCCTTCCCTAGTTACTTCTAGGGATTGTGAATGATACCTCCAGCCAGATTGGTTTTACAGTGGTACCTCAGGTTACATACGCTTCAGGTGACATATGCTTCAGGTTACAGACTCTGCTAACCCAGAAATAGTACCTTGGGTTAAGAACTTTGCTTCAGGATGAGAACAGAAATTGTGCTCCGGTGGTGCGGCAGCAGCAGGAGGCCCCATTAGCTAAAGTGGTGCTTCAGGTTAAGAACGGACCTCCAGAATGAATTAAGTACTTAACCTGAGGTACGGCTGTAGTTGTTTGAAGCATTAAAGTTTTCAAACTATATGAAGCCTTTCAGCCAGGAAGCACAGAGCAAAATCCTAAACTTCAATCGAAAGTGCAGTTAAATATCAAAGTTCAGTTATTCAAGCTTAGCCTGCAATCCTAAACCCACCTACCTAGAAGTAAGCCCCACTAAGCTTCTGAGGAGACTTTATAAAGGCTTGTATAAGCAGTGCTTTTTTCCTGTGGGGGACACAGGGGTATGCATACCCCTAAACATTTTGTGAATCTAAGTTTGACCTCATTGAGGGGCAGTATTTCAATATGAGTAGGAAAATGAGAGTACCCCTAAACATTTTTTTTTTAGAAAAAAAGCACTGTGTATAGGATGGTCCAAAGCTTGCTCAAAGATAAAGGTAATTGAGGCAGATTTAACGAGACTGTCTCAGTGACCAGATGGCTCAGGTTTGTTCCTGTTGTTTAAAAATATATTTCTGAAAATATACTCCTTTCTAATTCAAGCCTCCTTTTATTCCCACAGGCATGTGACCCATCAATAACTTTCAATGTAATCTAAGTATTATAATGCAAGTTCTTTATTAAAGAGTGCCTAGAGTATATTCAGATAAATGGACTCCATCGCATCTTCATAATGTTACTTATGCAGCAGATCCTGGACTTCTGCCATCTATTTCATGAGCCAGAGCTATGCAGTCTTTACAACATCAACATAAGACTTTTATTGGAGCCGTGAAAAGGTTGTTGTCTACAGCCTGATGATGTGCTATAATTCTTTATACAGTTAATTCCCTTCCAAAACACAGCTTATTGAAGTGATTCTGAAGCAGGTACCAATTGGGTATGTTAAATGCACTTGGTAATGGTGTAAGCAGAATGAATTAGGAACTATTAGGACTCCCAACTTGGCACAGGACACCTGGTCCTCAATGTCTTTACCTCTATATTCAGAAAAAGTCAGATAAAATGTATCCTCATCTATGGTTTCCCTGTGATAAGCCATGGGTGTGTGTGGTCTACCAGAAGAATGATGCTTAGGCCCTGGCAGTGGCTGAACATATCCACTCCCACTACTATGTGGAGATATTTGTTCATATGACCAGCATGTTCACAGATAGAGGGCTTGCAACCCAGCTGGGACCATTTGTCCAATGAACTCAAGGTGGTACATATGGTGGTCCCCTTCCCCATTTTATCCTCACAAGAACCTCGTGAGGTAGGGTAGGCTGAGAGATAGTGACTGGCCAAAGGTCATCCATTGAGCTTCATGATATGAATCTGATCTCCCACATGATAGTTCAACACTAGGACCACTGTGCCACACTGGCAGTCCTGTGTGTCCCTGTGTGTAATCTTGTGAGGTCCAATGAATAACTGGACAGGGCCATAATAATAAATGGGCCCTCTGCAAAGCTGACCAAGTGGTGATGTTCTGCGTAGATTAAAGGTAAAGGGACCCCTGACCATTAGGTCCAGTCGTGGCTGACTCTGGGGTTGCGGTGCTCATCTCGCTTTATTGGCAGAGGGAGCTGGCGTACAGCTTCCGGGTCATGTGGCTAGCATGACTAAGCCGCTTCTGGCGAACCAGAGCAGCACACGGAAATGCAATTTACCTTCCCGCCAGAGCGGTACCTATTTATCTACTTGCACTTTGATGTGCTTTCGAACTGCTAGGTGGGCAGGAGCAGGGACCGAGCAATGGGAGCTCACCGCCGACCTTCTGATCGGCAAGCCCTAGGCGTCACCTGTGTCCCTTGCTCTGTGTAGATTAGCCAGGGGCTAATTATGGAGGAATCCAGCAATGAAGCCACCTCAGAAGTTGCTTTTCTTAACCTGTCTCAAAGGACAGATGGAAGGAAGGAAGTTATGGCTAAGACGCAAGTGGAGGCTGGTTCCCATTGGTACAGAAAGCAGGAAGGCCAAGAATAGGTGGAGCTGAAGCCAGTGAGAGATGGAGGAAACTAATTCTAGTTTTGTCCCCATTCCCCTCCCTTTTGAGTTCTACAAGGGCGATGCTGAGATTAAAGAGGAGGAAGCTTGCATGTAACGCAACCATCACCCACGGACTGGTTGGAAGATAGAAGGCAGGCAGGTGGGGGCTGGTTGAGGGCAGATTGTGGTTGGTGGGGCAGTGCCCCTTTCTCCCTATGGGATGTGACTGTGCTGGACATGAGGAAGAAACAAGTGAGGAGTCACTCTTTCCTTACCATTCTTAGGCATTTTGTTGTTGTTCCCTGTCTTGTTCTGAACTGTCCTTCAACTCAGAGCTCAACCCCAAGTTATGAGGCTACTATAAAGCTTCAGAAAATGGACTATATGGTGGTGCAGTAAATGAGGGTTGTCGTGTGAGCTGGGTTCATGATGAGGCCATTGTACAACTCCTGCCAGTGGCAAAGTCTACTTGCTGCCACACAAGCCACATCCCCCCTCCGCTTCAGTGGATTATATGACCTAGTTTTGCCCCACAAATGGAGATGTTCAAAACTCATTCTCTACTACACTACTCTACTTCAGAAGCAGCCCATTTGTGGTAGCCCTGCTCCCAAACAACTTATCTCTTGACCAGCTTCTCTTTGGTTATGTTTCATCTGTGATTATGTGGTATGGTTAAACAACGTCATGCCACTCAATCTGCCTGCTCTTCTGCTGTTCCGATGCCCGCTTGGTTTTCTTGGAAGAAAAAAAATCATTTTTTTCTTTAAACATGTAGGAAGAACTTTCCTAATGGTGCTGCTGAGCACAGTTAACCAACGCCAGCTAGTCACTTTTAGGTATTAATTAAGATGCTGTGTGGGTTCATTAGATGGAACATCAAGAGCTAAATCCATTTCTGAGGACAGTGAAATCAATGGTGGCCTCGAAGCTACGTCAGAGTGTGGAGCCTGGGGCTATGGAACATTCCAAGGGTCAAGAAAAGCTCTTTGCAGTTCCACTTTCTCTTCTAGTTGCCTTCGTTGAATAATTATTTTCCCCTCTTCAAGGACGTTAATTCTGAAGTAGGGATGAAGAGTTTGCTCCATTTACAGTTTTCATGCGTCCTTTCATAAGTCTGTTCCATCCTGCTTCCACATTGAAAAATGTTGTTTAAATCTGAACTGAATGTAAGTTGGACTAGATGTTCTAAGGGACCTCTCAACTCTACATCTACCCAACCCCAAGCAATTTATCTTGGGAAAGGGGCATATGAAGAATGGACTAACCATTATGTGCCTGGATGGCTCAGTTGGTTAGAGCATGGTGCTCATAATGCCAAGGTTGCAGGTTCAATCCCTGTATTGGACAGCTGCATATTCCTGCATTGCAGAGTGTTGAGACTAGATCAGTGGTTCCCAATCGTTTTTTGGCCATGACCCACCTAAGCATCTCTAAAATCCTAATTATCCCCCCCTCCCAACTTATAATTCTTATTATTCAAAAAGTGAACTCCTATTCACGTGAAGGAAGCCTAAAAGGCCATGAACTGTTAATAAATCATTCTCAAATTGCTCCCCTTAAAAATCAAATTGCCCCCCTTGTGGGAACCACGGGACTAGATGTTCCTCAGAACCCCTTCCAACTCTACAGTTCTATGATTTGTAAAGCAGACCCATGAAGCTGCTAATTAGTGAAACAGATACTTTAGGAGCCTCCTTGTGAGTCTCCTCCATCTTGACTGGTTAGGTGGCTCTCTGTATGAGGCAGATATTCCCATATGCTCCATGAGGGGAATGGAAACCAGGTGTAAAGATATGGAAAGGGGCTGGTTCAGAACCATAATGAGAAAGATAGAGCAGGGAGGGGAGAGAAATGAGACAGATAGCCAATAGCACAAGTAGCTGTTTTAATTTCCAGTCAGTGTGTTATGCACATGCTGTGTAACTCCAGCTTACAAAATGAGAATGCTCATCTGTAATATTCTCCCCCCCCCAATTTCCCCTTTTCCAATACGATTTTCTTTTCTTTTTATATCTTGCGTGCGTCGTCGTTAGCGCTGCCTTTGTAGTGGTACGGGCTTGTCTTTCCTACAGGCGCGACGTTGCCAGGGAGAGGCACCCGGCACTGCGTGGTAATTAAAGCCTTTGTAGATCATGCATATTTTAATTATGACTTGTTTTAATGTTGAAAGTATTGACTCAAGCTGCCCACATGAGACACAGCCACACATTCCATGAGGGCCGGCAGTGACGGCCAACACATTCCTCAAGATCCCCAAATATTAAACAGACATTCGCTCGTTTTTGAGCCTTGTCTGTTTCTAAGCTTCTATAAATCAAGCTGTGTAATGGGTGTGTGGAGAGAATAGCCTCCCATATGTTGGAAAGTTGAACCAAAGCACTAAGAGTGGCAAAAAGCGGTGGCGACACTAGAAGAGGGGGAGAAAACCCACAGGCTGTTTTGAACGGAATATGAGCGCACCTTGTCTTTATTAAGGGACAAGCAGAGGCTGGCTTTCCACTAACATAGCCTCCAACTTCCAGCTTGATTCCCCACAGGGATCCAAAAAGTTCTCGAGTTTCGACCTGCACAATGGCAAAGTTCTAAGCTCTGTTGAGGTTGGGGAAGGTTTGGTGTTGGTTTTTTTTGGTCACTGAAAGGGGTGTCAAATAACACAGAAGTGCCCTAGACAAAACAAGATGTGTAGACAGGATGGAAACATCTCAATCTGACAATTACCTGATAGAGAAGGAATAAGTGTCTACTTAAAAATAATAATAATAATAATACAAAAGTTCCAGGAATGGAAAATTCCCTGCCTATGCTTCCTGCTCTTTTTTTGTTATGCTGACCAAGATAGGAAGGATTAGATTTCAGCTGCCAAAAGAAATATCGTCTGTATGCTTCTCATTCTCGAGAAGGAGAACGCAGACACATAGATCTTTTCCAATTCCCGTCTTTTGCATTTTTCTCTCACGTAATGCCAGTCAGCCAACGGTGGGCACCACAAACAGGGGCTGCCAACTGAATGAAATATTGCGGGGGCCCAGGTAATCAATCGCATGACACGGTGCATGCACAACATTTGAATGGCAATGCCCATCAACTTTGAGGGGTCCTGGCCCCCTCAAATCTTTTATCATTCATCATTAATCAACAGAAAGTGAAAGCAAATAGGGTGCCTTGCATAATGGCTTTGGCAAAGCCAGCTACTTTTTTCAAACTCTGAGTAAGAATTATTCTTTACATATTTTAGGGAGAATTCAAAATATTTTATTAAAAATTGCAAAAGAAAATTCTGAGAAAGCCTAAATCCCCCATAGAAAAATCTAGCTTTTTTAAAGAAATAAACTAAAATGTGAAGTAGTTTTACTAACTTCTCTTTGTACAACCAGAAGAGATATGGGCTTAGGCTACACTTGGCAAATAGACTACCAAGCTATGCTGCAGCACACAAATCAATTATTTTGCAATTCTTACTTTAAAAAAATATTTAATCATTTTTTCGATACAAACTACAACCGCAAAAGACACTACAACAAAAACCATAATACAATGGTACCTCGGGTAACATACACTTCATGTTACTTACGCTTCAGGTTACAGATTCCGCTAACCCAGAAATATTACCTTGGGTTAAGAACTTTGCTTCAGGATGAGAACAGAAATCGTGCTCCAGCGGTGCGGCGGCAGCAGGAGGCCCCATTAGCTAAAGTGGTGCTTCAGGTTAAGAACAGTTTCAGGTTAAGAACAGACCTCCAGAACGAATTAAGTTCTTAACCCGAGGTACCACTGTAACAATAACACAATTTGACAATTCAGATTTAAATAAACTGATATACCTATGACTGCACCCTTTTAACAATATTTTCCCACCTCTCTCTCCTCCCCCCACTTCCCCCCACTATCCAAGGTACCACTGTATCTCCCTCAATCAATTCCAGGTGAGTGGCCTGTCAAAGCATCCTCCATTGCACCTGAGTGGAGCTTAGAGGATCCCACAAGCTCAGGGGGTGCATGAAAGGCTGTGTGGCACACAGTGCTCTCAAACCCAACAAAGTTGAAATGACAGGAGGCTCAGAGACTGCGATTTCATCATCATCAATTTATTTGTATGCCGCCTTTCCATAGTTGAAACTGTGCTCAAGGCGGCTTACAACATGACAAGATTTACATAAGTACAAACATAACAGAGTTCATAAACAATAAATAAAACACATCAAAAAATACACAACCTAATGGAAACAATTTCCTCATAAATCATAAGATCTAAAACTAATGATACAACAATAATATCAATGACGGCAACAGCTCTCTCAACAATACTAAACAATACTCCAGCCCAAGAATCTGTTCAACAACATCAGCTTTTGTAGCTGGAGTCAGTCAGCACTCCACTTTCCCAGGCCAGATGGGAAAGGGCCAGTAAGGCAGGGTGCAGGTCTTCCAGGGCTCACAGCCAAGATGGTCTCATTTAAAACAACACAGATAAAAATTAAAAACAATTTAGAAGCAGCAGCCGCAGTCCTTGTGAAGCCTGCCAAGCCCCGCCCCAAGCCAGGTGGAAAGAGACAAGGGCGGGGTCCTTTCATGGTGTGTTGAAGGTAAATGAAGCTGACCAGAAGCATTTGTTTGTTTGATTATTTAAATTTATATGCTACTTTTTCATTAAAAATGATGATTAGAATGGCTCAAAACAGAATAACAAACAATGGCAATTAATACATCCTCCCCCTAACATTCAAATGCTAAATCATCTCAAAACATAGCCAATCAATTTTGTTTTGTTTTGTTTTGTTTATATACCACCTGTATCTTACAAGGATCTCAACGTGCTGTACCTGGTTCTCCTCCTCCCCATTTCATCCTCACAATAACAATCCAACATATAACTCGGTCTGATTATTATCATAATGTTTTAAAGTCATCACAAAATTACTGGTCATTAAAACATATCAGTTAATGACAAATATAATACACATTCTAATAGGGCTATCATAGGCATAATCATAGGCATGTTTTATACGTAATTTATGTTTTGGAATTTGGTGGGAGGGCAGTGCCTTGAAGCTACACTGATTTGTCAGCTCTTTGCTTTAATCAACTAATGATGAAATCCATTCCACCACCATCCTTCCCTTCAGTGTAAGGTCCCAGGGTAGACATGAGAAAGAGCATGAATGGGGGTTTGTGCGTTATGTGCAATTTGGAGCAAAGAAGTAACTAGGAGGTCAAGAGAGGGTTGGGGAAAATGTGATGCACACCAAGCGTTTTGCCATGTCAGGAAACATATACAGTAGTAACAAGAACCTACAAAAGCAATGGGGACACGGGTGGCACTGTGGTCTAAACCACTGAGCCTAGGACTTGCCGATCGGAAGGTCAGTGGTTCGAATCCCCGCAATGGGGTGACCTCCCGTTGCTCGGTCCCAGCAGTTCAAAAGCACACCAAAAGTGCAAGTTGATAAATAGGTACTGCTCCGGCGGGAAGGTAAACAACGTTTCTGTGTGCTGCTCTGGTTCGCCAGAAGCGGCTTAGTCATGCTGGCCACATGACCCGGAAAAACTGTCTGTGGACAAACGTCAGCTCCCTCAGCGAGTAAAGCAAGATGAGCGCCGCAACCCCAGAGTAGTTCGCAACTGGATTTAACTGTCAGGGGTCCTTTACATTTACCTTTATTTGCAAAAGCAATGTAAAATATTATTCTGCTTTTCCATAAATCCATCAGTAGGCATGGCTGGGATCAGCTGTCTGGGAATGTCTGTCTGGATAAAAAAAATCTCTATAAGCATATGCTTTAAAACCTGTTTGGTGGAAATAAATATTCTAAATACTTTTATGAGTTTCTAATTATGTTATTTTTTTATTTACAGTCAAACCTCGGTTCCCAAATGCCTCCATTTTGGACCATTTTGGCTCCTGAACGCTGAAAACCTGGAAGTAAGTGTTCTGGTTTTTAAACATTTTTCGGAAGTTGAACATCCGACGCAGCTCCTGCAGGAAGCTCCTGCAGCCAACTGGAAGCCGTCCCTCATTTGTCAAACATTTCGGAAGCTGAATGGGCTTACAGTACGTTTGACAACCAAGGTTTGACTGTATTTTGAAGATTTATATATCACTTCACATCATAGCTGTGGTTCACCATTAATGAGCCATAAACACAAAACGTGCTTAAAATGCTCTTAGCATGTTGGGAAAAAAAAAATTTTTTAGCAGGTATGCAGTGCTTCTTTTTAATGTTTAGGGGTACTCTCATTTTGACTCAAGGAAATCACCATTTTATAGTTCAAATCAGGGGAAATAAATACAATTAATGGACAAAAGTACAAAGGTTCACAAAATGTTTAGCGGTATGCGTACCCCTGCGTACCCCGCAGAAAAAAAGCACTGGAGGTATGTATGGAGTGTCTGAAGGTTATTGTGTTCCCTCTTCTGGAGCCGCCCTGGCACTGATTAACTGTTGCATTTAATACACCACCCACCTCTTTAATAGTAGCTTAACCCCTTCCTTTTGCCTGCTCTGGAAATTTCCACTCCAACTTAGGGCAAACAGAGGAAAGAAAGAGGATCAAAAAGAGAGCTCTTTTGCGATGACTTTTCCCTTTAGTGACTTTTCAATAGGTAACACCAAACCAGGTATTTGTATTATGAATGGTGGTTGGATTTTTGTTTTTCTTGACCCAGGAAATCTTTCTCTTTTTCACAGTTGTTGAAATCCTAGCCTGAATGTGCTCCAGTGACTTTTGTGAATATTTCAGCACACTTTTTTTTAATGGGGTGGGCATGGCGGCCTGTCACCTGATTCTCAAGATGCCAGGAGCGACCTAAGCAGATTCCTGGAGCTAGATTACAGCTGCAAATTGGGGTAAATGTTTAACTGGGGACTTTGGAGGCTGTGGCTTTGGAGATGTCTGATCCTTAACGCAACCCTTGTTTTCTTTTACAGTTTCGTGATTGCAGGCGGGGAGGTAGCAAAGGGACAATGGTAAGTGGCTTCATATTTGATATCGCGGTTCCTGTTACATCTATAAATTTGACGCCGATACCAGTGTTTTCCTGAGTGGCATTCTCTACAAAGAAACAGCAGAACATCAAAACTGTGCCAATATTCTCCCAGGGAAAAGAAGGCAATGTTTTAGAGCAGAGAAAAGGGCAAGCACCTTGACTGACATGAAAAGGGTTTGGAGGGTGTTGTTGATTTGATTTACTTGGCATCTGTGGTGCTTTGTCTCTTGGACCAAGTTGGTTGAAAGCTCTGAAGTTGAGCTCTTGCCATTAGGAGGATCTCTCTCACCTGCAAATCGACTTTGCTCTCACAAGGAAGTTGTTGTAATCATGGACATTTTATGGTGGGAAACAGACGCATACTGAGGAAACATGCCTCTTAAATACGTAGGATTGATTCTGAAGGAATGTGTTTCCTCTATGCACAGATACTCTTGGAGTAAATCAGTTGAGAACTGCTTGAATATGAAATCCACATGGGTTTTTGAAAGGTTCATAATCAGGAGCAAGCAGGAAATCTAATCTAATGCAATGAAAGCAATCATAGAGAATGTGATGTGATGTTAAAACAAGGGCTTCATGTGAGTGAGATCCTAATGGCAATGATAACATTTTCCATATGTGTTCCTCTGTAGGTATTTTTCCATGGGGAAAAATGTTCCATTGCAATGGGCGCCTAATGATTTCTTTCTTTCTTTCTTTCTTTCTTTCTTTCTTTCTTTCTTTCTTTCTTGCTGAGGGGTGGACAGGACAGTTAACAAACCCACACAGGCAAGCCTCAGAGCAGAAACCCTCCTCGAGAAATATTTGTGGAGAGTTAGTGGAGACCCCTATTCCTCAGAGTTACAATTCTTATTTCTCCATTCCTCTTCCCAGAGAAGTCTGAGAACTGTAACTCTGTGAGAGGAATAAGGGCCTCCTCGTGACATTTAGCACCATTAACAAGCTATAGTTCCAGGGATACTTAACAGGGAGGAGCAATGACTCTATAAAGTGGCATGATACTACTTTAAATCTATAGTGCAGATGAGGCCTAATTCTAGTTTTGCCTGCCTTCTCCTGCCTTCTATGAATGGCTGGCCAGAGATCTTTTGTCACCTGAGCAAGGCCAGTCCTACCATGAGGCAAAGTGATGCAGCTTCCTCAGGTGGCAAATTCTGAGGCATGGACAATGACTAGAAAGGTGTGCCATGTGGCCTGCCCTGCAGCCCCTAGGCTAGATTGCTGCCATAGCATTGCTGGTGTACCAGTGAAGTGACCTGAGGTGACCCATCTTGGGTGGCCACAGGGAGCAGGAGATCACAATCTGGCTTCAGCGTCGGTGGCTTCCAACTTGGCTTTGGGTCAGCCAAAACCAGCCAAAACCACAGCCAAAACCAAAGCTAGGGAGAGCAGTAACAGTGCTTCCTGGAACGTCCAATTTTCACATATGCTCTCAGTGAAAAGGGGGAGTTCCTACAAAGCAGATGCATTGCTACTGGTCTCGTTCCAACCTGGATCTGTGTTGGGAGCCATTAGTGGGACATCTTGCCTCAGGCACAGGGCCAGCTCAATATATTTTGGCACCTGACGCACCCACAAAATGGCATCCTCTCTCCACCAGGGAAGAAGGGGTGAGTGAAGATCTACCTCAGGAACAAGGGGGTGGGGAGTAAAGCTCTACACTGGAATCTGATGCCTCTGTGGATCGTGCTGCCTGAGGTGGTCTCCTCACCTTTCCTCATGGGTGGACCATCCCTGCTGGTGGTGGTGTGGTGGTTGGGGCTTCTGGGTGACAGAGGAAAGGGTTTTTGGACAGGCCTGAGCCTCAGCACCTCTCTTCTTAAACATGCATTTCAAACTTGAATTGCTCTGTAGGTCAGAAGGGGGGAAAAACTGAACAAAAAGCTATCTGCCCATTTAAAGCAATGTCTTCAACAGTTGTTGTTAAGTTTGAAAAGCCCATTAGGTTTCAGGATCTTCACTCCCATTTGTTCCCTCCTGGGTAATTACTGTTGGTGTGGGAAAATAAGAAAAGTTCTTTGTAGGTCATCACTTGGCAGCTAAGGAGGTCAAGCACAACTCCAAGCTAACATGGTAATCAGCATGATTTTGGGCAAAGTGGGGCAAAAACGCCTTTCTCCTCATGCATTCTTTCTGTTGTGAGCGTGAGCAACACAGAAGATGAGTTCTACTGATAAGAACTTGCCTGCTGTGACAATGACGGCTGAAGCTTTATGCCAAGGATGGATTTGGATAAATCTGCTATGAATTCACAAATAAAACCCACAGGGGTAATTTTGAAAGTAATTTTTCCTTCAAAATTAAAGTAACTGTTAACAGCGAGCTTTTCTCCAGCTCTTTAGAACTCTTAAAAGTCAATTAATATAGCTCAACCATCAATCTGTATCCTAGGTGAGTTGTTGGATAAATTAAACGTGACTTAAGTTAAAGATGGTATCATACTCCTATCATTCATTAGTGCCTTAGATGGGTTCCTATTCTACTCTTTTATGACTGTTAGCACTCCACTTTCTATGAAAAGATTCAGGGCAGCAGTGAAAATCATTTCTCTTCTACCTACTTTTCTGAAAGAAAATATTCCTTTAAAGCCAATTCTGCGCATGCTTAGAGCTACTATACAGTGTGACTCTGTCCTGGGCTTGGGGAGGACACCATTCTCTGCAGTGCTTCAGGCTGCAAAATGTCTTAGAGCAGCCCTGCTTTGAAGCTAGAGACTTTTAGGTAGGCTTGACCTTCTAAGTCCTTTTTGTTTCTTCATGGACAATCTCTTTCCTGGGACACCACAGTCTCACTTCATTCACATTTTCCACTGCAGACAGGGCAAGCTTATAGAAATCTCCTCAGAAGCAGATTGCACTGGTTTCAGTGGTGCTTACTTCCAGAAAATGGGTTTGGGCCAACTTAACATTTTCTGCTGTTGACCTTTCCTCTTTTTCCTATCCATGATCTGGGATTCACATTCAGCAGAATGAGGTGCTAATTGAGTGGCGAAATAAGAGTGCTGAGGTGATAAAATTGACTGGATCAGTTCAGGTAGTGGTGGTAGTGGGGGATGGAATCACATTTTAACATTCTTCTTTTTTTTTTTTAAGGGAAAAAAAAGTAAGAAACTAGTGCAGCAAAAGAACAAACTGGGATAGGACATTTCTCCCTGATTGGTTGGCCTCTTCCTCTCCCATCTTGTAGCAAGCCTAATAGTGGGAAAATAAAATAAAATAAAAACAACTTTCTCCATCTGTACTCCAGTCCATTCTCTCATCTCAGGAGTCTGCACAGACTAGACTGGTTTCACCTCCCAAGTGATCTGAGCAGAGATTGTGTCACATTTGTGATCTCCTCTGGGTTAAAGTTCACACTTTGGATGCGAACAGAAATGTTTAAAAGCAGTTTCAACTGCCCCATCCTTTTCATCAACATGCACCATAGACCACATTTCTGAACCCAGTTAGGTGGAACCCATTGAATTCAGTGGGTCTTACTTTTGAGGATGTGTCTCTAGGGCTGTTGAGATCCATAGCAATGTCACTTCCAAGAGGCATCTAGGCGAAAGTGCTTTGACCAGCTGTTAACCCAAAGTCTATAAAAACCAGTGATTGTCAATAAAAAGTAGCCTCTGGATCACTTCTTAATAGATGAGCCGTAGGCGGAACAGTCCATGCCAAAAGAGTGGGATTTCACACTTGCTTGTCTGCCTGGGGGTATATTTAGCAATTTGAATGCTCGTGATTTGATGAACAGTTGCTGCCTCATGGAACAGATGGCTTGCAAAATGATCTCTAGGAAGGCTATATAAGGTCAAACACCAAACGTCCTTTCTCACATTTAATAGCACCGACATGAATGCTGAGTTTGGAAAATGGTGCTTGTAAGGCTGAGGTGCCAAAACTTTCTCAGCTTTGGAAACAATGCAGTCCCGCTCTGGCCTTTTATTTTCAATAGCTTGTTGCCATGTTTTTATCACACTGCGGTAAGTAGGCTGGATCTGGCATGTGGGTAAGAGATTACCAGTTGACCAGACCTGATCTGGGATGCCATTTGTATATAGAAGCCTCTTTTAGGGGGTGAATTCTCTTCTCTGGGCTTGGATGTGGGAGTCTGCCACATGTCTTCATTCTCTGGTGAAGAACAATTCCCCACCATGTGTTCTGGTGAACATGAGAAAACGAAACCATCTTCATATTATTTTTCAAGTTTTAAACTCTTTCTTGCCCTCTTCAAATGAAGCTTTCCTGACAAGATGCTCAACTTAAAATAGTCATCTTGATGTAGTCACAAGCAATCTTTCCCCTAGAGGAAATAATCATTCTTGATCAAAAATGTCATTTTTTTGAGGGAGGGGGAAAAGTTGAAGGCTCCATCACATAATTTATGAACAGAATCATCTGACACTTGATAGTAACAGAGAATTCTAACTTCTAGAGAAATTACTGGCTGCCAGTAAAAGACAATTCTTATGCAATCATTCCAGCAAAAGAAAAAAGGGAGGGGGTGCAGGGAGAAAAATGAAATTAAGTATTTGGCGTGTTATCTATTAGTCTATTGTACTTACTTGCTTTCTTTCAAAGTAATTGTGCAATAATGATAGTTCAGTAGATGTCATGCGTTGATGGTGTTTTTTTGCTATGCAAATTAAAATTAAAGTGAACTGAAAAATGGTTCTAAATTGTTGCAATTCTTGTCAATAGACTTGGTCTTTGGGGCTTTGAAATCCTGAATCACAGCTTACGTTCTGGAAATGGGGCTCCCGCAGGACTTGACATGAAATCATAGAATTGTAAAGTTGGAAGGGACCCTGAGGACCATCTAGTCCAACCCCCTGCCATGTAACTGTCCCATACAGGCATCGAACCGATGACCTTGGCATTATTAACACCACACTGCAACCAACTGAGCTATCCATGCACTGAAGTTCCTTAAAATGAATGGAGATTACGCAGCTGCAACATTTGTTGGGGTCATCCCTTTAACTGGTGGAAAAAATATTGTTAAGGTTGGCAGGATTTTATGATTACTTTGCTTTTTTATACTTAATAATTTATAGAGGCACCCACAATGCATGATCCAAATCAGCCTTGTTAAGGGGTCGAGAGATTGAGATACAACAGCTGGCTGTGCTGTGGACAGTCAAAGGGATTTTTAAGGGATTTACTCATTATCATAGAAATCACATACTGTCTTGTCTTTCTCATTTAGTCTGATAGAGGAGGGATCTATTCCTTGCTGCTGCTCTTTCCCTTGGGCAAAAATGCCATTATCATAGCTGTGCCAGTTTTGCTCCTGTTGCTGTGGCAGAGCTGATCGGAATATTTTGCAGCAAAAGAAGCTTCTGCTGAAAGCGTTCGCTCTCGTTAAAATAAACAAACGCTGACAGTGTACCCACTTACCCACTTAGAGCACAAAGCAGTAGTTTATTTGACATACACAATGCAGAATTCTTTGCAGTCATCCTCAATAAGCTGCTTTTAATCCAGATATATTCTAGATCTTCAGCCCACAAGAGTGGGTGTGGTTATTGAAAATGTGTTTCGATATCCTCCTCTTGATGAGGTTTCCATGCCTTCTCCATGCCCTCCAACACAATAAAGAAGTAGTGGTTGTGGTTTTGGTGTACACCCCCACCCACAGCAACACTGGGCAGGTATGACTACACCCCCTAGAGCTGGGGCCACCTCCATCTGTTATCAGTGAAGTCAATATGGGCTACTGAGCGGCCACTTCTGGAGAACCACAGCCAATTGCAGTCACGAACGGCTCTGGGGTTGTGGTGCTCATCTCGCTTTACTGGCCGAGGGAGCCGGCGTACAGCTTCCGGGTCATGTGGCCAGCATGACTAAGCCGCTTCTGGCGAACCAGAGCAGCACATGGAAACGCAGTTTACCTTCCCACTGAAGCAGTACCTATTTATTTACTTGCACTTTGATGTGCTTGCGAACTGCTAGGTTGGCAGGAGCTGGGACCGAGCAACGGGAGCTCACCCCGTCGCGGGCATTCGAACCGCTGACCTTCTGAATGGCAAGCCCTAGGCTCAGTGGTTTAGACCACAGTGCCACCTGCACTGTAGTGTTGTGGATAGTATCAGGCTAGGACTGTAGGGGCTGAGGTTCAAATCCTTACATTGTCGTGAAGTTCATTGAGTGATCTTCAGCCAGTCATTATCTCTAGGTCTAATCAACCTCATAGGGCTGTTGTGAAAATACAAATGCCACACCTGCTTTGGCCCTCAGCCACAGGGTTGTTGATATTTCATTAAGTTCCCTAAAGTTTGGACAAAATACCCTATCAGCAAAGCCTCTGTTGAAAAGCACGGCCATCTTCTTAGCAGCCTCTTTCCCACCGCAGATCAACTTATGCTTCCACAAATAGAAAGCAGATATACATCACACACATACAATTGCAGAGCAATGCAAATAAGTGAACATGGCTAGTTAACTTAGTGGAAAATTTCCTCTTGATACCAGATACTGCAAATAGGGCAACCGATTGTTAAAACAGATCCCCTGCAACATCTGTCAGTGAAGTTTGTCAAACACATTTCACTCAGAGCTTGAAACAAGGCAATGGAAAACGGGAAGATTAAACACAGATTAGACCAACCTGCTTTGTGCAATTTAGTCTCCTTGATTGCATATGTTTACCTTACCATAACAATCACATCAGTTTAATAAAGCTCATTCATATGAACATAATTTATATTTTGAGCCGGGTGATGCTCATATTAATATTTTTAGTTAGGCCATGCTTTTCATTGGAAAACGCCTTCCTAGCTATTCTCATTTCTTCTTATCTCTGGCGTTTAATTTCAATAAGTAAGAAATCACTATCCACCCATCTGGTCTATACTCAAGCTGAGTATATACTGATGGAAAAGTGGCTCCCCATTCATGTTAATGAATAACATTTATACAATGTGGATTAGATCTGAAGACTAGAATGACCATATTAATATGGAGGTGCTGCTACTGAAAAGAAAGATATCTTAGCTTCAAGATACCTAGTGGCTTTGATAGCTTGAAGTATTTTTCACCACTTGCGACTGGTGTGCCAATTGAAATCCTTCAAAGACATAAATTGCCAGGCCACTGTTATCTGTGCCCTGGGAGCTTCTGGTTTAGATTATTTCAGTGCGTGTTGTATATAGGACTGTCTTTGAAGACTGTTTGGAAATGTTAGAATATATCAGCACAATAATTAACTGGGCCCAAGTGTTTGGCGCATGTCACTCTAGTTTTGGAACAGCTACCTCATCTGCCAGTCCATTTCTGGACAAAATTAAGAACACTGGACTTTTTTTAACCTAAGCAGGTTGGAAGCAGGATACCTTAACATCTGCTTCTTCCCACGTGAATCTGCTCAGTTACTGAGATCAACCTCAGAGGCCCTGCTTGGTGTCCCTACTCCCTACCAGCCCCTCCATCTGGAGTAAGGCAGAGATGGGACCTTTTCAGTTGTGGTTCATAGGAATTTAGCCCTTTGGTCTATCTATCTCAGTATTGTCTACAGGGACTAGAAGGATTCCACACATGGAGTCTCTCCTAGGATCTCCTGTATGCAGGGCAGATTCTCTGCCCGTGAGCTATGGTTTCACACAGGCATCTGATTGGCCATTCTGATAAAAAGGATGCTATATGGGTCTTTGGTATGATCCAGACTACTTTTATTGTATTATGATCACCTATGGCCCTCTCCCTGAAGGAGTGTCTCCACCCCCATCATTCAGCCCGGACACTGAGGTCCAGCTTCAAGGGCCTTATGGCTGCTCCCTCACTACGAGAACTGAGGTTACAGGGAACCAGGCAGAGGGCCTTCTTGGTAGTGGCACCTGCCCTGTGGAATGACCTCCTATAAGATGTCAAGGAAATAAACAACTATCTGACTTTTAGAAGACATCTGAAGGCAGCCCTGTTTAGGGAAGTTTTTAACGACTGATGTTTGATTGTGTTTTTAATATTCTGTGTTTTTAATATTCTGTTGGAAGCCACCCAGATGGGCGGGGTATAAACAATAAATTATTATTATTATTATTATTATTATTATTATTCAGTCTTTCAAGGTTTGATCTTTTTTGGAACTCCTCCCCAGTAAGGACACTGTCCATATTTCTTCTTTTCGGGTATCAGGTGAAAACATTTTAATTTGCTTGGGGTTTCTTGAGTTTTTTTCCCTTTTTGTCTTTTAGCTATTTAGGCTAAAAGGATTGCTGAGGATGAAACAATGTTTTTAGATTCACTGTTGCTCATCAGCTTCTCAGCATGTGATAAGCGTTCATTCTCCAACTGTGAAGGCCTCTCTTTTCCAGTCTCTAAAGAGATCTGCACATAATAATGTATGTGTCGATGTTGTGTTTATCGTGGCTTGCTTGCTATTATGGTGCTGAAAGGATAGCGCCTACTCCTAAAATCTGTCAGGGTATAGATCGGGAGTAGCTAACTATCCTGCTTATTTGTTGATAGAACTAAATGGAGCCTGCGCTATAGCTCCAGAGGAGTGAATGTTACTTTATACATTCTTATGCCAATGTGGTTTTTTGGAGGGCATCTGAGGACATAGCCTTGCCTAATATGTTGCATTATTTGGTTAGAGAATGCTGCTTCACCTATCTGAGTGCTGAATTTCCCAGAAGTTTCTTGGTAAAGCATGTATGCATTATTTTAAAATTCAATGAAACAAAGGTGCAGTTGTTTCAGAAACAAAATCTGCTATGAGCTCTCCTTGTCGTGGGCTTTGATTCGAAAGGCCAATGTGTTAGTTAAGAAAAATAATAATGTACAGTAGTACCTCTGTTTAAGAACTTAATTTGTTCTGGAGGTCCGTTCTTAACCTGAAACTCTTTTTTTTTTTAAATAATTTTTATTGATTTACAACACAAATATACAATTTTATCCAATCTTTTATCCAACCTGAAACTCTTCTTAACCTGAGGTACCACTGTAGCTAATGGGGCCTCCTGCTGCTGCCCTGCTGCCGGAGCAAGATTTCTGTTCTCATCCTGAAGCAAAGTTCTTAACGCAAGGTACTATTTCTGGGTTAGCGGAGTCTGTAACCTGATGTGTCTGTAACCTGAAGCATCTGTAACCTGAGGTACCACTGTGACGCAAACTTCTTGGGCCTGCACCACTTTAGAATGAGGAAGAAGGATTTGCTCCTGCAAATCAAAAATACCCTCTTCCTTTTTTGCTAGCTTTTCATGGATAAGCTTTTGCTCACTGTTTTAACATGCAGCATTTAAACATGCAGTTTCAGTAATATCAGAATTAATTCTGTCACCTGAGTGTCATCATTCAAATTAGCACTGCCGTTGTATAGTTAGTGTGGGGACCCTGTGGCCCTCCAGATGTTGTGGTATCCCTGACCATTGGCCACGAGGGCTGGGGCTGATTGGTGATGGAGTCCAACAAGTCTCCCACTTCTGAACTGAAGTACTGTTCCTTCCCAAAGTACAGCACTACTAAGATCTGTTGACTTTTTGGTGGCTGGATTAGGCCTTCATATTTTACTGGGAAATTAAGCTAAAAAAAGCTCACCGCCAACAGAATGTAAACGACCAAGTGGTCATGCAAATAAGTCTGTAAAGTTTAAAAATAACGCGTGTAAAAATAGGAACACAAGTAATATGAAAGGTTAGGATCTAATTAATTTATACAAAAGACCTCAGTAGTGTCTACATATATTGGTGTTGTTTGTGCTAATCTTTTTCCAAAGCTGTTGAACAGAAATAGCCTATTATGCAACTCAATGGAAAGCCGTTCCATCTCACTGAACATGTAAAATGTTCCATCCTTCACCCCTTCTTGGTTTTTTAGCTGTTGACACTGTTCACCTGAGAATATGCTACATCTTTATCCCTTTGTGGTTGCATCTACCAAGCCTTTGACCACAGAACTGAATTGATAATATTTGTGCATTAATACAGTTATCCTTTCCCAGGTGTTAATCTCTGCTAGAGGCTGTGGGCTGATAAATGATTTGGGCAAAATGAATGCCAACGCCTACACTTGGCACAAATAGAAAGCAAATTGACATTAGATTTTAGGTGTTAAATGTCAATAACATTTCACCCCTTCACAATCCACAGTGTGTACACACCAAGTTTCGACTGACTGATAATAAAATTGCGCAGATAGAAAAGGCAATCAAACCCATTGTTTACAAGGCTGCTACAACAGAATGATGAATAGGAGATGTGAGCTGGGAGTTTTATTTAATGAGATCAGTGAGTCCTTGGACATGGAGAAAAAACCAAACGCAGTGGGATGTGTGTGGCCACATGATGCTGTTATCCTTGAATGGCGCACTTGACTCCTGAGCTAAAGTAGCAGTGATTTTTCATGCATGTTGTAGCTTAAGGAGAGGTGGACAAAGGCACCAATTCAACAAATGGGACTTACTCATAGTTATCTGCTGAACTTGAATTCTACCCTGCCTGAAAAGAATAGCCGAGGTGGAAAACAACAACAGGAAACCCACAAAATATCATAAAATGACAATATAGTACAGAATAAAAATAGTTAAAAGGAGACTGGCAAAACATCAATCAAAACAACTAACTAAAATCAATTTTGACATAAGCTTAAGGGCAACAGGCCTGGCGTTTTTTTTTAAGTATTAGACAGCAAATAATTAGAAATGGACCTTCTTTGGGCACAGAGTTCTAGAGCCTGCAAATAGCTGTTGAGAAGGTTGGAGAATGAGCTCAGCTGCATATGGAATCACAGAAAAGGCAGGGGGTGTCAGTAATAACCACAATCTGTTCATCATTTAAAGGTCACCTAGATAGTAGTCATTATTATTATTATTATTATTATTAACCTCTGGTATCAAAAGGAGGCCAATTATACCCATAGCTCTTTTACCAATCCAGGTTTTCTTGCTTCCTTGAGAAAAAGGAACACAGTTTGAATGAAATATAGGAGACAAACAAATCAGTGCCTTTTCCTTCCCTTCAGAAGGAAAATGACAGGAAGATTGCTATTTGGATCAAGGGAAGAAACAGTTTGTTTCCCTCTGTCTTGAGACCTTTCTGATGTTGTGCCTGTGAGTTTGTTTGTTTGTTTGCTTGTTTTGGTTACCTGTTACACTGAGAGAGAAAAATAAAGTAAAGCCAAGTTAATTTTTTTTTATAAATTACAGCCATCCCCAGAGTTTCACAGTCCTCTCTTCTCAAGCGAAACCTTGGATGAAAATGTCCATCGTAAGGATTTTTAAAATAGGTATTAAATAAGCCTGCCTGACTCATCATAGGTATGGAGTGGACACATGGGCATGCAAAATTGCTTATTTTGGAAGACATTTTAAGGCTTAGCCAAATTTTTCAGAGCAATGACGAATACAGGGGATTCCCCACCCCCCCATTCATTTAAACGTTGAAACAATAAATTTGAAATGACCGGTGGCAGCAACTTTGTAACGAATGCCACTGATCCAAACCTATAATCAACTGAAAATGTTATCCCCTTTAACATCTGAACAACAGGTTCTGAGTGAACATGAACCTGATACTCCCTGCTTGTCTTAGGAGTGTTTTTATCACCTGATCATGCCTGAAGCCTAGACATTGAGGAATCCATCTCTGACAACCTTATTCACTTGCTGCTGAAGCTGGCAGAGATCACTTCTGCTAATAGTATTCAGTTCTTCTGCTTGTCTAAGCCAAAGGTCTTTCAAACATTAGCCCCATCTTCTGGCGCCGACACTTTCGGAGGCGTACACCCCGTGCAAGGCAGCTTGTGAAAATTAAAACCACAATGAAATGTATCAATAAAGTACAGGCAGGCAGGACAGATCGAAATAGTCATCAGTGCAGACCCTTACCTAAAGCAGTTCAGCAAAAGTCTGCTGGTGTAGGAAAGTCTCCACCAGCTGACAAAAAATGGTGAAAGGGTCGTGGGAACAGCAGAGGACAAGGTGTTCCACAATCTTGGTCTTTCCCCCCACAAGGCAAATAAATTAAAAACAAGGGGGGCACCCACCAGGCAAGCCTTCAAGTATTGTGCAATCACAGTAAGTGGACTTGCCTACACATTCCTTGTGGGCGGAAGCCTACAAAAAACTAACAAGTACCAACCAGTTGGAACTGTAGAGAACCGGGTTCGAATCCTTGTTCCTGTTGTAGGAGGAGAGAAGACGTTATGCCTGAGAATGTATAGTCAGTGGTGCTGAAGTTGTTACTTGACATGGGTTTGTTTCTGTTAAGACGGTTATATTATTCACTGTTACATTGTTATGCCTGCTGTTTTACAGACCTTTAACTGTGAATTTTACTGCTTAAGTTAACTCAGGGAGGCTGCTCACAGTTTCAATGCATTTTTCATAAACATTTTTTAATATGTTTTGGGGGTTTGGTTGTTTGCTTTAAAAATTGAATTAACTTTTATTGTCTGAAGTACTGTTGTGTAATATATTTGCATTGCTCCTGCTTGTTAGGTTTTCATATGCTATACAGTGGTACCTCTGGTTACAAACACCTTGGGTTACAAACACTTCGGGTTACAGACTCCGCTAACCCGGAAGTAGTACCTCGGGTTAAGAACTTTACCTCAGGATGAGAATAGAAATCATGTGGTGGCAGTGGGAGGCCCCACTAGCTAAAGGGGTACCTCAGGTTAAGAATGGTTTCAGGTTAAGAACGGACCTCCAGAATGAATTAAGTTCATAACCCGAGGTACCACTGTGTGTGTGTGTGTGTGTGTGAATGAAGATACAGTGGTACCTCGGGTTAAGTACTTAATTTGTTCCGGAGGTCTGTTTTTAACCTGAAACTGTTAACCTGAAGCACCACTTTAGCTAATGGGGTCTCCTGCTGTTGCCGCGCCGCCGGAGCACGATTTCTGTTCTCATCCTGAAGCAAAGTTCTTAACGTGAAGCACTATTTCTGGGTTAGCGGAGTCTGTAACCTGAAGCGTATGTAACCTGAAGTGTATGTAACCCGAGGTACCACTGTATTTTAGTTTCATTGTGGGTCTTCAAGCAGAGAGGTGACAAGGGATGGATTTCTTTTTTTCTTAAAGAAGTCCTCAGGAAAATGTGTACACACATTTGTTCACATTTCCAATATACAGTGGTACCTCTGGTTGTGAACGGGATCCGTTCTGGAGGCCCGTTCGCAACATGAAAAGAGTACAACCCACAATGGCACGTCTGCACATGCGCGGGTTGTGACTCGCCGCTTCTCCGCATGACGTCATTTTGTGCATCTGCGCATGCGCGAGTGGCAAAACCCGGAAGTAACCCTTTCTGGTACTTCCAGGTCACCATGGGATGTAACCTGAAAGAACGTAACATGAAGCAAACGTAACATGAGGTATGACTGTATACATTTCATAATTTTGCCCTCCAAATCATGGAAGGCTGCAAACATCGCACAGGTGAAGTGCCAAAGGGGGCAGGACTTTTTCCCCAAGTGAGTAAGCAAAATGTGTGGGAAAGTTTATTATATGGGTTTACATGACACGTGTCTCTGACACGGCTTTTTAATGTGAGCCTGCAGTGGAGCTGGCTAAGGGAAGAAAGGGAGGAAGCTGCCTGGAGGCTCATCCTACTGTGCCAGGACACAACATATGAAAAAAGAAGAGATGGCAAGCAGCTGTTTTCTGGCCACTGAGGGGGAATACAAACTTCAGAGACCCATCTCCTCTTCCTTCCCATCTTCTATCCCTCTGCACTTTCTCCCTGCAGCTTGAGTTTGCTCCAACATTTTCAGAATCTAGTCCAGTCGCTGTCACTCAATGAACCTCTCTTGCATGCCTTAAGAATCCTGCATTACCTGAGATTATAGGGACAAAATGTTCCATTTGGTGGGTTTACGGTGTCCATGAAATGCTGTGCAAACAGTTTACTCTGATTTCACGAGGAGGGCTGAGGAAGAAGGAAGGATGAAAAGCTGTGAGCGGATCTTAACCGCGACAGACGAATAGTTCAGATTCGTGGTTCTCTTGCCAGCACACCCGTAGAGAACCATACTGTGGTGAATAGATTCTATTTATTCAAAATAGAATAGGAAAGTTGCAAGCAATAGATCAGCCCAATTAACCGAATAAAAAGAGAGCACAGGCGGTGAAGTTTCCTAAGGCAAGAGGGATCAGCTCTCTCCCAACTTCTGGGCACATTTACAAGCTCATCCTGTGGCTCTGCAACAAAGGATTGGGAAGAATTCGTCCTCCTTGCCACACAACCCTTGGGTATGTGAACTTGACTAGAGCCCTGTGGCCCCACCAGGTCAGTGCTCACCCCAGAGGAGCACATGCCAGACCTCCCTCCATTTTGTACCCCTAACCTTTGGTTATAACAATGTCAAATGGCTGCTGCTTGACATGGCTAGAGGCTCTATGGGGAGGTGATACATTTCCACTACAACTGGGAGATCCTCCAAGTGCCCCCATTTCTGGGGGACTGTCCCGGATTTACAGAAGCCATCTTGGTTTCTGATTTGATCCTGGACTGTCCCGCTTTTCCTTAAGAAGTCCCTATTTTCATCGGAGAAATGTTGGAGGGTATAGTGTTATGTGATCCCTGAAACAAGGAAATAAATAACTATAAAGTGCTACCTCTGGTTGTGAATGGGATCCATTCCAGAGGCCCGTTTGCAACATGAGCAGAACGCAATCTGTGTCTGCGCGTGCGCGGGTCGCGATTTGCCACTTCTGCGCATGCGTGTGACATCATTTTGCGCATCTGCGCAAGCGCAAGTGGCAAAACCTGGAAGTAACCCTTTCTGGTACTTCCGGGTCACCGTGGGACACAACCTGAAAATGCGCAACCTGAAGCAAACGTAACATGAGGTATGACTGTACAACCTTTAGAAGACATCTGAAGGCAGCTCTGTCTAGAGAAGTTTTTTAATGTTTAATTATGTTTTTAGATATGTTGGAAGCCACCCAGAGTGGCTGGGGCAACTTAGTCAGATGGGCGGGGGTATTATTATTATTATTATTATTGAATAGAATGTCCCTCTAGTCATCAGAGAAAAGTCAGAAGGTTAATATATTATTATTCCATGTGCTATAGACACTGGCAGCAGAGCACGGTGGGGGCAGGGGGGGAGGACTGACCTCTGGGCTCTGGTTTATGCAAAGTGCCTCTAAACAGTAATCTGACCTTTTTCATGATATAGTTTCCTTGTTCTGAAACTTGCGTCACCAGCTTTCCTTCTTGTTTTTATGTAGCAGCATTTCACTTAAGCAAGTGGGTGATGTATCTTCTTCCTTTCAGCTACCTGAACTGCAGCAATGAATAAAACTGAGTCTGCGCTCCAGTGGAGTTGCACGTTTTTAAGGTGGCCTAGGTCTCTTTATCATTTTCCTTGCTCCGGAGGTTGTTGTTATTATTTCCATTGTGCGGAAGGGAAAATTAGGCTAACTGCTTCAAGGCTATTACTCATCAGGTATCTGAACCCAGCTGTAGGGTTCACCTGCTGACCACACTGGTGCTCTTCAAGTCTACTCCTTGAACAGATCATTTTTACATGAATACTTTCAGAGTGTTTCCAGGCATGTGATGTTTGTTTAACAATATGAAAGAGGGAGGGATTGTACCTACTAGCAAAATACAAGGGGGGAAAATCAGTTTGTCATGCCAGAGACCAGGGCTATGAATTCCCATATGCGTGCTGCAGCAGGTAACATTCAGTTTCTCTTCTTGCAAGTAATTATTTTATTGTTTCTGTAAATACAGTGAATGTGGCATTAAAGCTGTTTGAATTTGTGTCACAGTGTTAAATACTTACCCTTTGCAAATGAAACGTTTCTCGGGAATCTGGAAAGGCTGTACTTTCTCTATATTTCCTGAAGACATTTACACAGCGTGCCATTAGAAAGAGGAAGCTTAAAAGATGTAAACAGCCTAGGCTGTGATTTTTGCAAAATGAATCCATGTAATTTGCAAATAGATAAATAGGATAGGCATTCATGAATGGCAAATGCAAAAGAGGCAGCCATTTTAGTCTGGGTGTTTTTTTTAAAAAAAGTTAATGTGGCACTTTAAAGATGAACACATTTATTGTGGCATTTAGTTATTTCATCCCTTGTGGTCTCTTCCAACTCTATGATTCTATGATTCTATTTTGGAGGTCTTTAAGCAGAGGCTTGACAACCATATGTCAGGAGTGCTCTGATGGTGTTTCCTGCTTGGCAGGGGGTTGGACTCGATGGCCCTTGTGGTCTCTTCCAACTCTATGATTCTATGATTCTATGATTCTATGCTACAGAAACATATGCACCTTATATTGTTGAGAAATTGAGTTTTCCTTTTCAGGTTGTAGGGTGAATTGGCTGTTGTGTGAACAAACAGTTTAAATTAGATTAGTAAAAAATAGCACTGAGCGCTTAGTTTGTATCCAGTGCTGTTTAACTTTTCTCAGCTGTTGAGCAGAAGTACAACATATACACACCTCTCAGAAAGTATATTTTAGAATGCTTACCGGTTTTAGATATAGTTGTGAACTATCGGACACACAAAACCTGCTTGCTGCTGTATCTACTAGTGTCGTGGGAAAGCGTGTTCTCCTTCATAGAGAGCAAGTGTTGCGGTGGGGTCTGACAGGCCACCCCTCTGTTGCTGGGCAGGTTAGTATGGATGACCATCTGCAGTGATTGGGCGGTTGGGTTAATGGGCAAATTTTGGTGTTGCCATTTAGGAGGACGGACCAAAGGTTATAAAATCAAGTCACGCAGCACTGACTGGGCTCTTTTGCTGTGTGCATCGGATCACCCGCCCACCCTCCCTAATCTAGGGCTATTGCGTTGACCTTGCTATGCCTGTCATGGGGTCGTCTGCTTTTGGGGCAGGGGCCTGGTAGGAATTTTGTCCATTTGGCTGATTGGCTGGTGCCATTTGGTTTTTGCCTACTGCGTAGCAAATCGCCACAACTTGTAAGGTTGCGGTTAAAAAATTGGTTGGTGGAGGGGTAAGGATTGGCGGTGCCTGCCCCTCCAATGCTGCTGCGGAAAGGGAATTCTGTTAAAGGAATCCAGGGGCTTGTCATTCTTTTGTCCATACCCCTGAATGGGGCTTAGGGTCGTGCAAGCCCCCGGGAACATGCGGGGGGGACGGGGACGAGGGTCTGGTGCCCGGCTCCATGCTCTCCCCAATATTGTTTTCCCTTACTGGCTTTCGCTGGAATTTGGAAATCAGTTCTGTCCCTGGGCATGGGGACAGATAGTCACAACCAATGCCTAAGCAACCACTCACATTTATGTTTTTTAATAAAGTTGTGGCCAAAATTATGCCAAAAACCTTAAACAAAAATTATGTGTGAATTGTGAATTTTTTAGGGGTGGCTTGGGGGACCTCGACACGCAAATTGTGGAGAGTATTTCCACCTGTTTTGCACAATGCTGTGCATGGGTTTGAACACTCTTTATTCAACATCTCCCTCTCTTCTTGACTTTTCTCATGTCATGTTCTAAATGTCCTTGTTTGTCTGGTGACCAACACAGTAATTTCTTGTGAATATTCATAAAGTGTATACAAGTCAATAGAAAGAGAGGCATTTATTAGTTGTAAATTCTAGAACAGTAGCTCTTTTAGCCAAATGAAAAAACAACAACAGACAAACAAAAATGGTCCTGTGGCAAATTGATTGTGGCGTTTAAGCAATTGCATCAGGCCTACATGATAGAAATAAACACACATAAATTTTTACAGTGCTCTTATTCTGTCCCACTGTGAATTTTGACATCAGAAAATCAACACTAGGACCTCTACTAGGCTGGCCTGTACTGGTTGTTTGATTATATTTTTATTACAAACATCTGATGGTTTCTCTAGTTGCTACAAGGCACCATGCATTAAATCATCTTGACTTTCATGGTGCCTATAACGGAGAAACTATTCAGTTCCTTTCACACCTAGGCAACACTTCAGCTTCATTCTGCTGCTTTTTGCTCTCGATGAAAACCAGACTGATTTTTCTGCAGTTTCATGAATCTCAACTAGTTCTTTTCAAAGCCCAGCTTTCTGATTGGCTATCCATTTATTCCATGATAAGTTGTTTCACAGATCAAAGTATGAAAACAGTATTCTGCCTGTTTGTTTTAGACTTTAGGTTAATGTGAGAGGGTCCTCCATATTTTCTGTGTGTTAGAGGAAAGGGTAGGAGGCAGCTGTTCTCTATTCATTCCTCCCCTCCAGACAGTTCATGAATAAATGTTCTTTTCAATGCAATATTTGGACTGTCTCTCATTTTATTTATGTGGGAGCAAAAGGGTGGCGCAGTTTCCATAGCAATAATCCAAAATGGAATTGGAACCTTTTGAGCAACTTGTGGAATGCGGTTGTACAGGTGTTGCAACAGCTCTAAGTATTTTAATTACTATGAAAAATAGCAGTGCCAGAGCAGCTGCCAGTGATTTATAGAGTCTCTCCTGATGGGACAATGCTATTTCTGTAAGGGTGGCAATTCTTAATGGGACGCAAAGTGTTTGGTAAAATAATTTATAATGAATGACTGCTTTTGGACTTGGTTTTAAGTCAAGCCAGAATACCTAATAGCTGGAGTTATGGATGAGGACAATGGACTCCAACCAATGTTTATGAAAGCTGAATTGTAGGGTCCAGTACTACAGAGTGGCAAAAACAGCCCCACAGCTTGCCCTAAATGGGGATTTTGGGGACTGAGCCTCTGCATTATAGCCAATTGCAGGTGGGATATAGTCAGACCTCTCTGGCATGCAAGACCCCCTCAAACATCAATAGCAGACCATAGCATATCACTAGAGTACATAATGTGCCATGGCCTGAAATCTTTGTACTGAGAGATGATTAATCTTTACATGGGAGGGGGAGGAAGCTGTGGCCCTTCATATTTTGCTCAACTACAACTCCCTGCTACAACTTATGCTGGCCGAGGTTATACACCAAACCTTAGTTTTGCAGTACAGTACATCCAGGTCAGGTCAAAGCAAAGGACAAATAATAAAGTTAAATTAACTAACATCTTATTAGGTTTTGAATAAACCATTGGTCTAATCATCAAAGAAAGATACTTTCAACTTGTAACAAGTCTCATTGAGACAATTAAGCCTTTTTGCCTTCTTTTACAGCTGGCTTATTGGTTTTTCCATGTCTCTAGAGCAAGCATCCCCTGCCCACCCCTTTTGTGGGCAGTACAGCTCCATCCTTGCCCAGGAATCTTTGCTCTTTCCTTTGACTCATTCTGCCATTAAGAAAAAGTACCAGTGAGCTAGACAATGGCCATTTTTTTCTTTTTTATTGAATGGGAAGTGTACTTGGAAGTTAGTGAAGAATTCATAAACAGTTCAGGGTGTGTGATTGGAAGAATGCCCTCATAATAGATTTTGATGGGTAAGAACAAAGAGATCCGAGTTCCTGGTTTGAAAAACACCCAAAGTTTCAGCGGCTGTCATTGGGACATAATGGGTCATAATAACGTCAACCTGTTGCTCACTTGTTGACACTTGTGCTGATGCACTTTGCAGGTTGGCTTGCAAAGAAGCATAGAGATGTCTGTTCCCTTAAGGAATGTTTGCTAACAATGAGTTGCAAGATAACTTCATCCATTTAGTATTTGTTGGAAGCCAAGATCCCCCCTTTTCTGTTTTCCTCAGGATGCTTTGTGACGTCACCGCCTGCAGCTTGTTTTTCACTTCTTATAACATTGCTGGCCCTTTTCCAAATTGTTTTCTCTTATCTGTGCTTCCTGCACAGAGTGCAAACTCCAATAAACACGACAGTTGTCTTCTGAAGCAGAGAGATTCAAGTGCTACAAGAGCTCCTTGTGTTCTCTACTTAGTCCTTCCATGGCGATAGACCACTTGATACTCTCAACACACTCTGTTTCTGAAGCACATAGCCTTTTTAAATCTGCCAGTGGTATCTGATCCAGCTTGCCAAACAAAACCTACAAGCCATGTTTCAATATGGTTTCTATAAAACTAAATAAAATATTCAGTCATTCTAGAGGTGATCCTTCACTTTGAGGACATAGAAAGGGGAGCTATGCCTTCTCACTGTTATTATGTAAATTCAGCAGTCAATTTCTCCCACCTAAAGGTAAAGGGCCCCCTGACTGTTAGGTCCAGTCACCGACGACTCTGGGGTTGCGACGCTCATCTCACTTTATTGGCCGAGGTAGCTGGTGTGCAGCTTCTGGGTCATGTGACCAGCACGACTAAGCTGCTTCTGGCAAAGCAGAGCAGTGCATGGAAGCATCGTTTACCTTCCCGCCAGAGCGGTACCTATTTATCTACTTGACGGGCTTTCGAACCGCTAGGTGGGCAGGAGCAGGGGACCAAGCAACGGGAGCTCACCCCGTCGTGGGTATTTGAACCACCGACCTTCTGGTTGGCAAGCCCTAGGCTCTGTGGTTTAACCCACAGCGCCACCCATGTCCCTTTCTCCTACCTAGTGAGATTTTAATTAATGATATAAGTATATATGTAGGTAAGACTCCCGAACGTTTCTGATGAAGTCTTTGCCTCAGCACTAGCTAGGACTGCACATTTAAGCATGAGACAGAAGCAGCAAAGAGACTAAGTTCATAATTTGGGGTGGCTCTGATTACCTTCATGAACTGAGCCACAGACAGCTTCCGTTTATTGCCTACATGTGATCAGTTGTAGTAGAAACATCAAGGACTTCTGGTGCCAGGATATAGGGGCCATTCAAACAAAGTAATCCCAGTGTGCCCTGTTAACTTAAAATAAGAGAGGTTTTTCAACACACTATTATGACCTATCATAGAATTGTAGAGTTGGAAGGGTCATCTAATCCAACCCCCTGCAATGCAGGAATCTCAACTCAAGCATCCATGACAGATGCCCAGCCAACCTCTGCTTGGAAACCTCCAAGGCAGGAGAGCCCACAATCTCCCGGGGGAGGTCATTCCACTGTCGAACAGCTCTCCCTGTCAGAAAGTTCTTCCTGAACCTTCTTGAGTTCTCCATTCCAAGTAAGAGCAGTGGTGGGTCCTTGGGGGAGTAGGCCATTTGCTGGTTTTGGGGTCCCACCAAATTCTTAATCTCTGCTACCAGGAGCATCATAGCCCAGAGAAGACAAGGTTTGGAGCCAAAGATCATCCATGCACTCAGGGACAGCCAGGAGAAGATCCTATGGAAGCTGGCTGCATGTATGAAAAACCTCAATATTTTTTTGTGACCTGGCTGTGGAATACCTGAGTTAGGCTGCTGAACTGGACACCTGAGACATGTGGAAAGATCATTTTATGACTCAGTGTCTAGTCCATTCAAACCGGGTGAATGACATGATAATCTTGGGTGGACATTGGATGTGTTGGATTGTTGTAGGCCCAGTCTTTCTTTAAAAAAACGAAACAAAACAGGAAGACCATTTCAAGACAGGCTAGAGATTCTTCCATTCACATACAGCACATAAGAGTTAAAAAAAATATATTCTTAAAGGTGTACTCCTGACATAAATTCATCTCACTTTGGTGGGACTGCGTTCCAGCAAAACACTTTAAAACTGTTAATCTGTAATAAATTGTATAGACTGTAAAACATTAGGCTGTAACACATTAACTTCTCAGAGATGAACTGTATCTATAAGGAAGGCCAAGAAACTTTTTGTTTCCCAAAACATTCTTCAGGAGTTGCTTAATGGCAATAAAACCACTTCAAGGCCGGTTTAGACTGATTTTTCTTGAGCCTGTTATTTCTAATGCTTTATTTAGATATCCCAGCTAAAGTCCTTTGCGATAAGATCTGCTCACTCATTTCATCATGTTTGCCTTGGGGGAATAAAGAGAGACTCTGACTGACATAACAACACTATAAAGCAAACCTATTTCAATCCAAAATTAATTAGGGGTGGAGCAGCTGAGTAGGTCACCTCCTATTTGCTCACTACAAAGCCAACAATTATATACCGCAGGGCTCAGCAAAGAGATTGTTTTTTTTAAGAAATAAGTTGGCATTATTAATTATTACATGGGTATCTTGCTTTTCTCTCTCTCCAGGCAGCTCAAGGCTGTGTACATATACAATTATTACATTTCCACATGCCCTCACAATAAACTTTGCTTGAGGTAGGTTAGGCTGAGAGAGATATTGAAAGGATCAAGGTCACTCAATGCAGGGATTTGAATCCAGGTCTTCCTGGCCAAGAGCCAACTGCCACATCTCACTGGCTGTGGAGCCAGGCAAGAATTCCATAATATTGATGGAGCACAATCCTATGCGTGCCTGTTTGTTTAGGATTAAGTCCCATTAAACTACAATATAATAATAATACTAATACTAATACTAATACTAATACTAATACTAATACTAATAATAATTTATTTATACCCCACCCATCTGGCTGGGTTTCCCCAGCCACTCTGGGCGGCTTCCAACAAAATATTAAAATGCAATAGTCTGTTAAACATTAAAAGCTTCCCTAAACAGGGCTGCCTTCAGATGTCTTCTAAAAGTCTGGTAGTTGTTTATTTCTTCGACATCTGATGGGAGGGCGTTCCACAGGGCGGGTGCCACTACCAAGAAGGCCCTCTGCCTGGTTCCCTGTAGCTTGGCTTCTCGCAGTGAGGGAACCGCCAGAAGGCCCTCAGAGCTGGACCTCAGTTTCCGGGCAGAACGATGGGGGTGGAGACGCTCCTTCAGGTATACTGCACTGAGGCCATTTAGGACTTTAAAGGTCAGAGCCAACACTTTGAATTGTGCCCAGAAATGTACTGGGAGCCAATGTAGGTCTTTCAAGACTGGTGTTATGTGGTCTCGGCGGCTGCTCCCACCGAGTCACCAGTCTAGCTGCCACATTCTGGATTAGTTGTAGTTTCCGGGTCACCTTCAAAGGTATCCCAACGTAGAGCGCATTGCAGTAGTCCAAGCGAGAGATATGTAAACATGTATAGGATTGCAGTCAAAGTGTGACCATCACCATGAAATGAATCATAGTCTCTCTTTTTTTTTTTAATGATATTTATTAAAATTTCAAAGAATACAAGAATTACACAAAAACAAAAAGTAAAAATACAAGAAAATACAAAATACAGCAAGAAGAATAAAAAAACCCTTATTAAGGTATAACAAAGAAATGAAAAATAAAAAGAAACATACAAAATAAAAACAGTTAACACATTAATTTTCCATAGCATATCTTCCTTACACTTATTTCTCCGGACCTCCTTGTACCTCCCTTTTTTGTATTCGAGTTCAGTTTGTTAGTTCAGCAAATCCTTACCATTAAGCTTTTACCCTTTTGTAAACCTTCTTCCGTATCTCTTAAAGCATTACAGCTGGAAACCACTTAGTTTCTATCCAACATCCTTCTAAGATTCATTAATTTTACAATATTTCTGTAAATAGTCTTTAAATTTCTTCCAGTCTTCTTTCACCGACTCTTCTCCCTGGTCTCGAAAATGAATCATAGTCTCAATCCAATGCTGCCCTCTCTATGTATTTGTAAACATATAGAGCATGATATTATAAAGGTGATATTGGCAGGCTTTAGAAACTACTATGCCACTCACATGCCTCTGCAGAAAAAGCAGAGAAATGTTTCTAGAATGGAAAGTGAAGGTAGTTATTACAGCAGTACCTTGGTTCTCAAACTTAATCCGTTCCAGAAATCCATTCCAAAACCAAAGCGTTCCAAAACCAAGGGGTGCTTTCCCATAGAAAGTAATGCAAAATGGATGAATCCATTCCAAATTTTTAAAAACAACCTGTAAAACAGCAATTAAACATGGGTTTTACGATCTAACGAGACCACTGATCCATAAAATGAAAGCAATAAACAATGTACTGCAGTCACACAATCAGTCAATCAGTAGCTGAACTGGGTTCCACACAGTCACAAAAAAAAGAGAGCCGCAAAAACTAAAACGCAAAATAAATAGCAGAAACAGACAGAGCTCAGCGTAACACTCCAAACAGAAGTGTGGCACTCAAATCGGAAGCGTAACCTCAAAACGGAGCACATTTGACTTCTGAAAAAGGTTCGCAAACCGGGACACTTGCTTCCGGGTTTGCAGTGTTTGGGTTCCAAGTTGTCTGAGTACCAAGGCATTTGAGAACCAAGGTACCACTGTACTGAACACCGTCATGTATTCAAGAAATGTTACCTACAAAACTCCAGTGTATCACCTGTAGTTCCACACAGAACTGCTAAGCATAGACATAACAAGGCTGACATCACTCTCTATGGAAAATGTTACGAATACTCAGCACATTAAACAAGAATCAAAGCGAACAGAACCTGATCTGTAACCGTGGAACTTACAGAGCATTTGGCTTGCACATTTGCAAACGAAGAATGAAAACAGTTTAGCATTTTGAACAAACCTTCAGCTGCACAGTGTTTGATGGTAAAAAAAGAAAGAAAAGTTTTATGACCTTTCAGACTGTGAAATGCATGTGTATACTTAAGGCTCCAGGCTCCGCTATGCGAATTAATGTAAAATGATTTATTTTGCCATTGGGGGTCAAGAGATGAAACTTCGAAGCAAATTCTTAGTTTAATATCATGCAGAGCAATTGCTTAAGTAATATAAAAGATCTCGGTTCAGCAACTGTGGACATGGTACAGTATCATTTGACCAATCCTAGCAGTACCATTGAGAAAAAGATTTGCTGTTCTTTCCTTCTCTTACCTTTGAGGCTGAGTAAAATGCTAAGTAGCTGGATCCCAGCATCTGACAAAGGAATATGTGGACATACCTGTGTATATTTTGCAGGTGAAACCAACATACAGTGGTACCTTGGGTTAAGTAGCTAATTCGTTCTGGAGGTCCGTTCTTAACCTGAAACTGTTCTTAACCTGAAGCACCACTTTAGCTAATGGGGCCTCCTGCTGCCACCGCGCCGCCAGAGCACGATTTCTGTTCTCATCCTGAAGCAAAGTTCTTAACCCGAGGTACTATTTCTGGGTTAGCGGAGTCTGTAACCTGAAGCATATGTAACCCGAGGTACCACTGTACTGTAATAGAATCTAGCTAAAACTTATGAGAACATTGTTTGTTAGACTTTCTCTGAACATTGTGTTGCCAAGAAATGCAGGAACTTTTTTGGCAGAAATATATTAATCAGACCTCATTGAGAATGTGTTCAGAAATATTAAAATGACAGATGGATGAAGAGTCAGATAAGGACAAGGGGTTTCAGCATCGGTTCAGGACAAGTAATTGAGATTTTCTTCATGGTGAATGCTTCTCCTTAAATTTTGCACTTCTTTCCTGCCTGGGAAAGCTGAGTTCTATGGCTTGGAAGAAAGTGCATTGCGTGTGCCGCCCTGAAAAGAGCGAAGTGGAACACTGCATCCATTGTGACAGCTTTGGGAAAGGACAGCAGCAGGAAGAGATGTCAGAAGGACAGAATGGATAGGATGGGAAGCCGTAAGTCATTAGAATACAGATGGGGTGGGATGGAAACATTCATGCTGAGATGTTCCAGCAATTTGTCTGAATGGGATGACCCAACTGGAAGCTGTACAAGAGGAATATACAAATACACCCCCACCCATGCTATTGTAATACTCAAATACGGATAAGTAAAATGTAGTTCTAACACCATGAGTAGTATAGTAAAATAATCCTTGTGGGTTTTGTTTTCTTTTTGTTTTTCTGAGCAACTGTAAAACTGCCCAGGAAATTTTTGATTGAACAAATGCTTTGAATAAATAAATATACTGCAAGCATATTATGCAAGCAGTTTACTGTTAGCAGTGTGTTATGCATACTGTTTCTATAGTTTATGCTTTGCCTTAAAACTTTCAATTTCCATTAGCTCCCAAACAAAACTGCTGTGTCTGAGATATCCACTGCCTTCCTCTCTTCCTAAGCCATGATTATCTAGCCCAGAAAGAGTCGGCTGGGCAGTCCATGTGACACATTCCCTTTCTTCAGCCCCCTTCGCCCAATCCCTGATGGGAAGGACCTGTAAGGCGCCATTTCTCTCTTGCAGTGTCTTCTCTCTCTTCCAGGGTGACCTCTTTCATGAGTTGGGAGGGTGACACGCACCCACCAGGTGAAAGCGGCACTCTGGGAACTGCTTTTGGTCCAGGCAACCCTGCCTCCTCTGTGATTTTCTTTTTTTTAAAAAAGATATTTATTAAAGTTTCAGCATATTACAAAAATAAGAGAAAAAAGGTAAAAGAAAACAAAAAAACAAAAATGAAAATACAAAGTAAAAACAGTTAAAAACAAATCAATCTTTCCATATCTTATCATTCATTTGCTTGTTTCCCTGACCTCCTCACACCTCCCTTTTTTGTATTCCAGTTCAATTAGTTAGTTCAGCAATTCCTTTCCCTCTTTGATTTTATCTTAATCTTTTATCTTAGTATATTATAAATTTAGATTATCACCTGTTAACAATCCATTTTTACATATTCCTTTATAACATTGCTGCTAAAAACCACTTAACTTCAATCCAACATCATTCTAACATTCATTAATTTTGCAATATTTCTGTAGATAGTCTTTAAATTTCTTCCAATCTTCTTCCACCGACTCTTCTCCCTGGTCTCGGATTCTGCCAGTCATTTCCGCCACTTCCATATAGTCGCCTCCTCTGTGATTCTCCTTGGGAGAGGATGCTTGGCAGTTTGAAAGGAAGATAAAAGAATTTCTCTCCAGACAGGTAGTTGTGATATTGGAGATCAGTGCAGAAACTAGTGCATCATTACAAAATTCTCTCTGGCAGTGGGGTGCCCATGGGCTGCATAAGAAGTAGTAGTAGTATCTTGGGCACTGCTTTGACATTTGCTTGCACCTCTCTTACCTGGGTCTGGAAGTGGTGTGGCTGTTCCAAAAGCTGGTTGCAAGCTTGCCCTGTGAAAATGAAACCTGCATCTTCTGCTTGGCTTGCAGGGCAGAGAGCAAAACAGAGAGTAAGGCCATGCGCTGAAAATGGCACCAGTGAATGTGTGCAGTGCATCTCTGTTCTGAATGTTTAAAGGTAAAGGTAAAGGGACCCCTGACCATTAGGTCCAGTCGTGGCCAACTCTGGGGTTGCGGTGATCATCTCGCTTTATTGGCCGAGGGAGCCGGCGTACAGCTTCCGGGTCATGTGGCTAGCATGACTAAGCCGCTCCTGGCGAACCAGAGCAGTGCACAGAAATGCCGTTTACCTTCCCGCCGGAGCAGTACCTATTTATCTACTTGCACTTTGACATGCTTTCGAACTGCTAGGTTGGCAGGAGCTGGGACTGAGCAACGGGAGCTCACCCCGTCGTGGGGATTCGAGCCTTCTCATCGGCAAGTCCTAGGCTCTGTGGTTTAATCCACAGCGCCACCCGTGTCCCTCTGAATGTTTAGGCTGGTTGAAATTCAATAGGTTATGGCAAAGGTTTTCAACCTATTTGGGTCCATGGTTCCCTTAACCAACTGCATTCTTTCTGCTGACCCCTGTGGGGCTCAGGAATGCAGTTATGTCTCCTCTTGCCTGCAGACCCAGCAGCCCCTCACCCCTTTTCAAACACTCTCCCTTGTTGAGTGTTCCCTTGGCCTCCTCTCCAATCCCCTCTCCTTGGGGGGTCCTCTGGGCAGCTGCAGCTGCTGTCCCTGGTCTCTGAGCTGCCCCCTGTCTCCTCACTGCCCCGCAGGGGCCTGGGAAGCACCCCCTAGCCAGCCCCAGATGCATCAGTGACCTGGGGAGCTTGTAGCCAGGGCTGCTGCAACAAACAGCTGTGCAAGCCTTTGGGAGGCAGAGACCTGAGAGAGCATCAAAGGAAGGAAGGGGATGGAAGAGGGGCAGAGGCCAGTGTTGCCTGTGGCACCCCTGACCATCATTCAAGGCACCCCAGGGTGCCACACCACACTGGTTGAAAACCACTGGGCTATGGGGATGTCATTGGACCAGACCCATGATCTATTTGTAATAAGTCTCATTTGGTAGGACAGCTGTGCCTTGCAAGGGAAGAGGGGGAAGTGTTGGTGTAGCAAAAAAATACAACTGGGTTTGCATTGAGACCAGACGGTTGTAGAGTCTGGGGTTGTGCCAAATTTTCATGGCTGTTTTTGGTGGGGGAAGGGGAGTCTGCCTCCTCGTATGTTCTCTGAAAGCCTCCTTTTTCAATCAACAAACTTGGCATTCTCCTGTTCATTGCTGTTCAATGCCACTTTGGCTCACCTCGCCCCTGAAATCTTCTTGCTATGTGATCCAACCAATCAGGGGTCAAGGCATCAGAATCATGATGTCACAGCTGCACATGGCTGCTCAGGTTTGACTAAGGCGTCACAGGGACAAATCGGAGGGAAAGCACTGCTTCCTGCCTTCGCTCTGAATGGGAATACATTTCTTTTTATCAGTTTCAATCCCTCTACCCCCTTTCAAATGATCACTGAAATTTGACACATATATTTGTGTGAGTTTTTGCACTGGGAAAATTCCAGAGAGAGAGAGGGAGAGAGAGAGGAGAGAGAGATGCATGTTGGATTCAGCTCGGCCCTGGTCCAGTCCTATTTCATCTTTTGTGGTGTAAGAAGAGTCTTGGAGACTAGTTCTAGGGCAGTTTTAATCAGAAGCAGTAGAAACATTGAAACTTTCCTTTGGGAGAGTCACATGTTCAAGCAGAGCCTGACACAAAACAAACACAGATTATTTTAATTGTCTGCCTCCTAAAAGGCTGGCATGTTGTATATTTTTAGAGAGCCAAATTTATTTATTTATTTCAAACACTTGTCTGTCTCATCCTCTGTCGTGCTGATGCTTGAAGTGTTGCCCAAAATACATAACTACAAAATCAATTAAAACTCAATTCATGTTTCGTTTTGTTTTGAAGGGGGGGGGGAGCATAAAGCATACACATTTTTTAAAAAATAAACAACAACAAACCAAAACAAAACCTGAAGCAAAAAAACAAAAACAAAAAAAACCAGCAAAAGTTAAAACATACGAAATCAACCAGAACATCAGAACCAAATTTAGGGAGAAGATCCCATTTTCAGGAAAACAGTTAGGAGGATTTAGCAAAGCCACAACAATGATTCAGAGTTGAACTGACCTTTTTACATGCAACTTTCTCTGTCTGTCTCTCTGTCTCTCTCAGTTTTGTTTTGCTTTCTTGGAAGTATCTAACACTTTAATGCGGAAGCACAAGTCTGAATGGCTGCCAGGGTTATTGTGAAGAGCCTGTTTGTCCTAAATGCTCAATGAGCTGTGGGAGCCAAGGTTGCTTAGCACCCCATAGAATCAAGACCTCAAAGATAAAAAGGCTAGCTTGAGCTGTAGCTTTCTGGGGTGTGGTGTGGACATAAATAAGAAAATTAAGGAGAGCGCAGTTTTGTTCCACTTCAGTAATTGCCGTGGCTCCTTAGCTAGCGAGCTCTAGCTGGTACTTGGTGGATGCAGCAGCCCTCTTGGCCAACAAACCGGTGAGTGTATTGGGGACCCCCAGAACTGAGATACAAGAGGCTTCATTGAAACGGCAGGCTTTGTAGCTGGGCGGAATTAAGGTTTTAGACACCTTTGTGAATTTTGCACTAATGAGATTGGGAAAAACTGCCCATATGGATTAATTCTTCCCGCAATAACCAAAAGCCAAGGGAGAAAAAAATTGGGATTGAGTACGTTTTATGTGATGCCATTTTGTCCAGGTTTGTAACTCTTTCAGCACCTGAGCTCCGTTAGCTGCCATGTGTGCAGATGATAATGATATATTTGTTTTGCACATGATAAGAGAGTGCGGGGACAGATAAAGTGGGGCTTGGAATCACATGCTGCTCCTAAACCATTCAAGGGATTGCTCCTGAGTGGAGAGAAAGCTTTCAATGTCAAGTCAGGACTGCTCTCACTAGTCTCCAACTGCAGGTGCTCCAAAGAGGAGAAAACTGCATTGGGAACAACTTGGTCCACAGAAGCACAACATGTGCTTCTTGGGGATCACAGGCTGGTAGACTGGGAGAAGGAAGAGGAAATGGGGACTGGAAATCTTGGAGAAGAGCCACAGTGGTGCAGAGGTGCCATTGTGGAAGGACGGAGAAGAAGCGTGACATTTCACAGACTTGTGGAATTGTAGAGTTGGAAGGGACCCTGTGGATCATCTAGTCCAACCCCCTGCAATAGAGGAATATGCAGCTGCCCCATAAAGGGATTGAACTTGCAACCATGGCATTATCAGCACCACACTCTAAGCAACTGAGCTATTTGTGGACAGGTACCTGATGACGCGGGTGGCACTGTGGGTTAAACCACAGAGCCTAGGACTTGCCGATCAGAAGGTTGGCGGTTCGAATCCCCGTGACGGGGTGAGCTCCCATTGTTCGGTCCCTGCTCCTGCCAACCTAGCAGTTTGAAAGCACGTCAAAGTGCAAGTAGATAAATAGGTACCTCTCCGGCAGGAAGGCAAACGGCGTTTCCATGCACTGCTCTGGTTCGCCAGAAGCGGCTTAGTCATGCTGGCCACATGACCTGGAAGCTGTATGCCGGCTCCCTCGGCCAGTAAAGCACCGCAACCCCAGAGTCAGCCATGACTGGACCTGATGGTCAGGGGTCCCTTTACCTGGTGACAATAGATGTGTTGTGGTAGCAAGGAGATTCAGATCAGAATCTTGGACCTTCTGAGAGTGGTCCCTTGTACCAGTGCTCTTCTGCTGGGCTTAGTTATCCTCTTGAGCTCAACTTGCTATTATTTGTTCTTCTTCTCTTTGCTCTGCCTCACCCAGTTATTGTGACAGAGCTCCTCCTTGATTGCCTTTATCATGCAACAAGTCAGAGTAGAGCCTGTGACTTAATCTTCTTGATCTCTTTCTCCACACTTTCGTTCCCTGAACCTTTTACCAGCTTCCACGGCCTGCCCATTCCTCTCTTCACTGGATTCTGTCCTCGGCCTACCATTTGACCTCTGAATTTCGTTTCACCCCTTCTATCCAGAAAGCTCAACTGTCCTCCCCACACTGCCCCAATCCCCAATTACATGACATTGCATCTCTTGGCCCGATGAACATGTTAAGTCACAGGCTCACAGTGTGCCTCTATTGGCTAATTTTTGGATGCCTGGTCTTTCCAGTATACTGCTTCCACCATTATTTATAGCATGCTGTTAGTGCTTTTGTACTAGGTTAGTCTTCCTATGTCACAAAACAGCTTTTATATCTACAGTGATGCCCCTTAGCATTTCCTGTTATTGTCTGAATAAACTTGTTTTGTTTTGTTCCTTCCACTGTGAGGACTTACAAACTTTCACATGCTTACAGCCTGCTCTTATATCTCTGAATCAGGGCACTGTGTGCATAATCTTGAGAGTGTAGGGCAGACAATTGGAAGGGGGAGAAAAGAGTTCAGATGTAAGTTCTAGGAAGAACTAATTACAGTGGAATTTCCCAAACATGTAACTGGTGCCTACTGACATTTTAGTAATAAGAACATGAAAATAGGATCCACATTAATTCCAGCTCACACTCTTGAGCATCTTAGAGAACATTGATTACATTTCCCTCATCTCTAACCTGATCCAAACATCACTACAACATGCTCATATGCTTTTTTTATATAAAAAAAGCGGAGGGGGAGGAGAGAAGAAACTTCAATGGCTTGTGGCATTTTGAAGGGAAAGTTTTCTAGCATCAATGGAATAATCTGCGTAGAGTGTGTCACATATATCCAGTGCTTTTTTTCTAAAAAAAAACATGTTTAAGAATACTCTCATTTTGACTCAAGAAAATCACCACTTTATAGTTCAAATCGGGGAAAATAAATACAGTAAATGGACAAAAGATTCACAAAATGTTTAGGGGTATGTGTCTCCCTGCGTCCCCCCCCCAGAAAAAAGCACTGCATATATCTTTTATATAAAATAACTTTCTGCCATACTAATGTAATGGGAATTTTGACATTTCCGAAACACTACCATTGATTTTATATTTTTATATATTTATCTGTTCACCAGCAAAGAACTCTCCTTTTGTACTAGCAATTATGAAGCTTTGTTTTGCCTCCTCCTGAAGCCTCCTTATTTGCTCTGAGTTGTTCTATTAAACGATAACTTTCCAGCAGCTCCTATATGGTACCTTCGTTGCTTCTACTCATGCCTATGAAACACACTTTCATTGGGATGATAGGAGTTCATCTGTAGGAGAGGGGTCATTTTGCATGGCTGCTATGACAATGCTGGCTCATTAAGATCCCACTTTGGGGTAAAGGTTATCTTAGATTATCTATAGGGTTCTACACCATTGTTCTGTGATGATTCTCAGTTTGGCAGATGTTGCATACTTTATAGAATGCATCTCGTTGTTTTTAATGCGAGCTTCCTTGGGAACATATATATCCAGAAAAGCCGTATACAGTTTCTGAAATTAATAAATATGCCAGAATGAATCATTTCTACAGAACAAAAAATTCCTGATCTGCTTAGAAAGAATTGCCCCACCTGATTGGGGCTGCCAGTTTTAACATCACTTGCTTGTGGGTTGATGAGCAGAATGACCTCTCAAGTTGCATTGTCAGTACAGAGAGTGGCAATTGCTTGTTCAGTGACAGTGTGTGTGTGGTCTTGATTCAGCAGGCAACCCCACAAATTGGATATGAAGGTTTGTTGGGTTTTATATTTAAAAAGTTAACAACAAGAAGACAAAAAACTGATGTCCATTAGACACATCCCTGTTGGTCTCATTCCGTAATCTCATGAATCTTTCATTACATAATGGAAATTATAGCCTCCTCTAAGTTATATTTCTTTCCAAAAATAACATCCTGAAATGACACCCATGCCTCTGCTAGTGCTGGAAGTAAATCTTTCACAAAATGGGCAGAATTTTAAAAAATGAATGAAATTTTAAACAATTTAGAATATGTTCTAAAAAAATCTTACATGTTGTATTAGTTTTTTTCAACAAAAGCCAAAATCTTGTTTTTTTGCTGTTGTGATGATAATGATGATGGAATAAAGGTAAAGGTAAAGGTACCCCTGCCCGTATGGGCCAGTCTTGACAGACTCTAGGGTTGCGCGCCCATCTCACTCAAGAGGCCGGGGGCCAGCGCTGTCCGGAGACACTTCCAGGTCACATGGCCAGCGTGACAAAGCTGCATCTGGCGAGCCAGCGCAGCACACGGAAACGCCGTTTACCTTCCCGCCAGTAAGTGATCCCTATTTATCTACTTGCACCCGAGGGTGCTTTCGAACTGCTAGGTTGGCAGGCGCTGGGACCGAGCAACGGGAGCTCACCCCGCCGCGGGGATTCGAACCGCCAACCTTTCGATTGGCAAGCCCTAGGCACTGAGGCTTTTACCCACAGCGCCACCCGCGTCCCAATGATGGAATAGGACGTCCCTATTTTCATTGGAGAAATGTTGGAGGGTATGCTGTTCAAGATTGGCCAGGACCCTGAAAAGGAACCATCCTCTTAGAAGTCATTTTCCTGCAGCAGGAAATACCCTCTGTCCCAAACAATGGAGTGCCTATTGTATACATGTTCTGAATAGCTAATACCCAATGCATGCATTTTCTAACTTATAGAAATGCAAGTCTTGAAATGACCAATTAGCAGTTTCGGTTATACAAACACACTACGAGACAAATGCCTTTCAGCTGCTATGCCCATTCACTGTTGAATCAGCTAAGCACTGCTGGTTGAAATGTCAACAAAACAGCCTATTAATTATAATTTTTAAAACTACTTGAGAGTTCAGGCCACATTAACAGAAAGTGATCAAACCTGATTCTCTGTTTGTTGGTGAGATGCCTTTTACCTGTTATTCAATGTGCTGTTATATTACATCATGTCTTGCTTAGAACTGTAAGAAACTCATTTACTCTTCTCTGCCAGCAAGAGCTGGAAGTGAGGATTGGCGTTTTCTGTGTTCCAAAAGCTGCATGTAACCCATGAGGTTCCTTGGGAAAAGAAATCTGGAGAGAAACAGTCAAGTTCTCTACTTCTGGCAAAGGGGCGAAAATGTACATATATTGATTAGACATACAGTAGTACCTCGGGTGTAGGGACGCGGGTGGCGCTGTGGGTAAAACCTCAGCGCCTAGGACTTGCCGATCGTATGGTTGGCGGTTCGAATCCCCGCGGCGGGGTGAGCTCCTGTCATTCGGTCCCAGCTCCTGCCCACCTAGCAGTTCGAAAGCACTCTTAAGTGCAAGTAGATAAATAGGTACCGCTTTCTAGCGGGAAGGTAAATGGCGTTTCCGTGTGCTGTGCTGGTGCAGGCTCGCCAGAGCAGCTTCGTCACGCTGGCCACGTGACCCAGAAGTGTCTCCGGACAGCGCTGGCCCCTGGCCTCTTAAGCGAGATGGGCGCGCAACCCCAGAGTCGGTCACGACTGGCCCATACGGGCAGGGGTACCTTTACCTTTACCTAGTACCTCGTACCTCGGGTTACATATGCTTCAGGTTACATATGCTTCATGTTACAGAATCCGCTAACCCAGAAATAGTACCTTGGGTTAAGAACTTTGCGTCAGGATGAGAACAGAAATTGTGCTCCGGTGGTGCGGCAGCAGCAGGAGGCCCCATTAGCTAAAGGCCCCCTTAAGAACAGTTTCAGGTTAAGAATGGACCTCCAGAAGGAATTAAGTACTTAACCCGAGGTACCACTGTATAGTATTTGGTTGTGTGAACTCATGATTTGGTTAAGGGTTGATGAGGCCTACAGGTGGTGTGGCATAAGAGTCACTCACACAGATAGGGCAGGATAAATTTTTAGGAAACAGTGTTTCCGACTCTTGGTATTGACAAAATCCTGAAAATATAATGATGATCAGAATATCTACCTAATAGATATCTAGATGTGGTGGAGAGGAACTTTAGCTATGAAGCTCCTTAGGGGATCATGGGCCAATCACTTTGTCTCAAGGTAGCTTACCTCACAAGGTGATTTATACCCTGCTCTGTTGTTTTGTTCCAGGGGATTAGCCCCATGTCCCTTAAAAGGTTTTAAAAGTAGCCACATAATGGCTCCAGGAATAAATAATAGAGTGCTGAAAACAACATTAAAATACTGAGTTTAGCATCAACAATAAAATATATTGAACTCCTTAGAGAATGGAGGACACACATAATGCTGATTTTTTTTTAACAAATGCACACATAAACACACATTTCTGGATTTAGTGTATCTTTTAATACTGGGAGACATCATAAACTTTTTTATGGGTGCAGATCTGAGATAGCGCAAGTGATCTTAATCAAATCAAATTTGGGATGGAATCCTAAACCTATCTGCAAGGGAGCAAGCACCATTTAATTCAGTAGGATTTTGCAAGTAAAGATGCTTAGGATCATATGCTGTTCAGTCTCCACTTCTGACCTTAATGCAGAAATTGGTAGCTACATCTTCATGTCCCATCTAATTTAGGAGGTCAAATCAGTTGAGAGCAATGGTCCCTTCTGCCTTTGGAGGCTATGGATCTGACTGCCAAAGGAACCAGCTGCAGTCAACTTCTGTGCACTCCCCCATCCTTCTGTCAATCATCATTGGCCAAGTACCACCTCTTCCTTTTTTTTAAACAGGATCTGGTTTCAGTTAGATGAATTAAATGTTACTGTAGGCTGTTCTAGTGTGGATGACAGCACCGTTGCATGACATTCAAGTCTGCATAACAGCCTCCTGCTCTGTGCTATTTATGTCTTTCTTTCAAATGTTTAATAAACACTTTTATATTGACATATTAAGGCGTCTCTATTGAGACCAATCCAAGTAGTATTTTGCTCCTACTAAACATAGATTCCAGCTCATTTCAAGCATATTTATATTCCCATGTTCAAACTATTGTACTTTACTTTGATCTATTTTTAAAGCACAGAAGAATAAGGCAAAATTTCAAAATGAAGGGGCAACTGAGTTCTCTGTTTCCTTTCCCCAAATCTCCCCACTGGTTCTTGAAGTTGTTGTTTATACAAGCAATATAAGGACCTCCTTACATGGAAGGAATTACTCAACTGGTCCATACATGTATGGAGAAGAGAGCAACAAAAACTCACTATAGAAGGATATAGGGTGCAAACCATTTTTACATTCCACTAACTTTCAAGTATGTTATTGTCTAATATTCTGTTGGGAGCTGCCCAGAGTGGCTGGGGAAACCAGCCAGATGGGTGGGGTATAATTGTTGTTGTTGTTATTATTATTATTATTATTATTATTAATCTCACTTGTTTTGCTTTCTACAAAATCTAGCATTCTTGTGTGGGCTTCTTTCCTAATCTTAATTTTTTAAAAAAATTATCTATATTCCCAATGCAAGAATAGCACGATTACACTCCTAGTTTCCAATGGAAAAAAAGTACTAAGGTTTATTTAAAGCTGTGTACACACCATACATATGCCACAGTGTATACAAAGTCCTACTGCAAAGGAAGGCAGGGAGGAAAAAACATGTGTTGCAACAATTCATTTCCAATGTTACTGTAGCTCTCCATGTAAAGCCACCATATCGTTACATGGTGACAAGGCCACAGCTGTCAGATTGTTTTCAACCAGAATCTGTACTGGGTAAACGGTGGGTGGTGCAAGTGGTATGTATTTCATTCATGAGCATCTATGGTATCGGTATCTTCCATCATCTATATTTCCATTCATGAGCATCTATATTTTTGTTAGATATGAACCGTTGGTTCCATAGTTATTAGATTTCCAATAACCGGAATGCATCCAGTGAATCTTGCATAGCAAGGTGGTCATCTGGGACAGCAGTGGCAAACAATATGCATTTAAAAATGAAAATTAAGATTATGCACGGAGATAAAAGGCTTTGCCAAGAGGAGTGTCTAGGCAGAGCAGCAAGTGAAGATGGAAACACAGGAGAGACACATCTGTCAAGGATGCTTTACATCGGGGTGGGGAATCTCTAGGTCTCTCTGGCCCTTGGGACTTTCTCCAGGCTATGCCCCCTCCCAGACCACACTCTCTCTTTCAAGGCCACAGCCTTTGCCTCACACTTTCTTGAGTGGTTGCCTGGCTCGAATGTGTCATTGAATTTTGATAATGCGTCTTGCTTGATTGTTGGAGGATAGACAGGGGAGTCGCCATGTGTGTCGAAACTAGCCTACAGTACAAAAGTAAAATTTATATTCATTGCCTCTGGCCTCACCCCCCATTGGCATGTGGTCGCTATAAGGTTTCCCACAAGGGAAAGTGGTCCTTTGACTGGAAAAGTTTCCCTAAACCTATCTTAGATAATCAATCGATGTAACACATAGGCTATGAAATTGTGTTCTGTGTTGAGTAGAGATGTCTATCTCAGTGCAGAAGTTCACGTTTAGTGGCTTTTCTAGCTCTGTGATTTTTATATCCGTTCATCTTAGGCATGTAAACTGTTGCATGAATTCAGAGCTAGATGAGCAGAACTTTGTTCAAGCAACAGGGGACCTCCCAAAAATCCATCTCAGAGGGTTGATGGAGTCTCTGGAATAGCATGTGATGGGGATAGAGGACTTCAGTGCAAAACATCTCTGAATTCAAGTCTGCATATTTCCCCTCTCCATAAGTTCAAGGTGTCATTTACTAAAACCAAATGCAATGACCAAAAGGGACAAAGCGATAGATCCAGTCTTGTTGAATCACCACCCCTCATAAAAATCAATGCTACCAAATGCCATTTCAAAGAGATACATTTCCCAAAGGCCAGGGGAAATTCCACAATTTGAACATTGTCATTCTAGTGTAGACTTTTACAGCTAATATGAATCCCACTGGAAGTAAACATTGACCAACTGGGTGCAAAGCCTGAGACTTCTAAGTTCATTGGGCACCCTCAGAAGAGGAAGGAGCCCATTTAAGTCAATGGACCCTAAGGGCACTGAGCTCTTAGGTCCACTGATCTCAATGGGATGTCAGCAGGACCCATGAAAGCAAAAGTTTATCTCCTCACACATAGAGTGTGTATCTGTGTATACATACCTGAAGCCTTTGGAGCACAGCCTCTGGTTCCATGGAGACCTGGGGAAGTGAAAACTAAATTCACATTCACATATAGCCAATCAGAGAAAGGGCTTCATTTGAGATGCTGCCTGCTGAAACAAATTTATTTTTCTTGAAAATGAGTAACCAGTGGATGGTCCGATTTCAAAACAGGTCAAAATGTTCCAGCTCTTCACATTTCTTAGTCTCAGAACAGAAAGTCTCGCAAGGTTACACAACTTCACTGGGAAAGGATGAAACAAAAAACAAAAAGCACTACAGCTCATTCCAAACCCTCACTGATGAGTAGTGCGAAAGTGTGATGCGACTACTAAACCAAAGCTTGAGTCGAATTCATTGCATGCTTTGGAGATTACAGAGGGAATGCCCCCCCATTTCAAGCAAAGTCCCAGGCTGTTTTCTTTTTTTTATTTATTTAATCAGATTCTCAGAACAGAAATACTTTGGAACATAGGTTTCGTGCTGCTTTCTTCACTTTTTCCCTATGACCAGATTCTTGAAAAATTCAAATTTCCCACTTTCTGCGGTGACTAGACAATGGCATCACAATGGCTCTTTACAGGAACTGCAGGTCTGTGTCAATGACAATGCTTCCACGACCAAGACATGTTTCTGTTTTCAAGACAGCACAGCAGCTTGGTTTTACACAGACTCTCCCAATTCTAAACTGGTGATCTGAGGGCAACATCTTAGTGCTGCTGCAGACCCTACAGCAGCACCCAGGTCAAGATCAGAGTGGAAGAGAATGGCAAACAAAATTTCCTGTTCAGTTAGATCATGGATGGAGAAGCCAATGTCCTTCAACTCTCAGTGCACCCAGAGCAGTCATTTCATGTCTATGCCACAAACAACAAATCGTCACGAGCCTTCCCTTCATGTAGTCTTTCTCCTTTCAGAACAGAGGACTCAATTTCAGTAGACAGTTCTCTTGTTTGAAGGGGCTGTCTGGCCCAAATCCAGTTTAAAGAACCGTAAGAAGGGAGGGCAGGGATCACGGTGTGATCCACCTGTCGTATGCAGGTACACAGGGTGCGTGTTCACAGTCCTCCTTACTGCATTTCTCTTTTCTCTTTCATGTTTTATTTTGCAATTTTATGTTGCGAACTGCCCTGTGATCTTTGGGTGAAGGGCAGTATGCAAACAACACCACCACCAAAAATATTTAAATCCTTACGATTGTTTCTAAACTTGCATCTATACCAGTGCCGGATTTACGTGTAAGCTAAACAAGCTATAGCTTAGGGCCGCACTCTCTTGGGGGCCCCCAAAAAAATTAAAGGGAAAAAACCCCTGGATGTACATTTCCAAAATACAGTGGTACCTCGGGTTAAGTACTTAATTTGTTCCGGAGGTCCGTTCTTAACCTGAAACTGTTCTTAACCTGAAGCACTACTTTAGCTAATGGGGCCTCCTGCTGCTGCCGCGCCGCCGGAGCACAATTTCTGTTCTCATCCTGAAGCAAAGTTCTTAACTGGAAGCACTATTTCTGGGTTAGTGGAGTCTGTAACCTGAAGTGTATGTAACCTGAGGTACCACTGTATTAGATAATAAACAAATAAAATGAAACCTACGTACAGCAACAATGGCAAATGGCTTTACATACATATTAGGTCCATTAATTAACATATAGCATCTATTCAACACAAAAAACAGTGACAATTTTTTTTGTAGACAAAGGACAGCTGGACATATAAAGGGTCCCATTACCTTAAGTAGTTTAGGGCCTCATCAAACCTAAATCTGGCCCTGATCTATACATATCAATCAGCATATGCATATGTTTTGCGAATGCCATAGAATCCATCATAGAATCTTAGAGTTGGAAGGGACCCCGAGGGTCATCTAGTCTAACCCCCTGCAATGCAGGAATCTTAGCTAAAGAATCTATGACAGATGAGCATCCAACCTCTGCTTAGAAACCTCCAAGGAAGGAGAGTCCACAACTTCCCAAGCGAGATATGTGCCCTCTTTTCTCCTTTTTTTGGTGATACATTTCCTCTATTTTCATGATGCATAGATGCCTACCCTATATATCCCATAATACCAGAGTTATTGTGAGCAGACGGTGCAGAGGCTGCTGGTGTGCTGGTGAGGCATCACAGAGCTGCCATTTCAACACTGGCATTGCAGTTACAGTCATACCTCTGGTTAAAGACGCTTCAGGTTGAGCGTTTTCAGGTTGCATTCCACGGCGACCTGGAAGTAACGTGACGGGTTACTTCCGGGTTTCGCCGCTTGCGCATGCGCGGACGCTCAAAATGACGTCATGCACATGTGCAGAAGCGGCGAATTGCGACCCGCACACGTGCAGACACGGCTTGCGTTCTGCTCAGGTTGCGAACGGGGCTCTGGAACGGATCCTGTTCACAGCCAGAGGTACCACTGTATTTATCTGGACACTGCAGAGTCAGGGCTATCTGGGTGCATCAGCGGAGCCAATTTTTCATTGCTACTAGTGCAGCTTCACAGTCCAAGAGCAAGCCTTACGCAGAATGGGATGTCAGGCGAGGAGAAGCTTTGATGTCCCCCTTCAGTTGCTGAGTAACCTCAATATTGCATCTCTAGCCCATTTCATGACATTGATGCAAGATTTCCCCATCATATACTTAGGCTAAATCTGCAAGCATGGATCTGATCAGTTTGTTGACTGTGCACCATGTTGGAAGCGAACCCCAACACAACACTGTCCAGTCATAAGTGCCGTCAGATTTAAAAAAATACTGTAAATATGAACTGGTAATATTATTTATTTCTGATGTTGCATGATTTGGCAGGTACTCCTTGGACCCAAACAACCATTGCAGTTGGCATACCCTGCAAGATTTCTCCGATGAAAATAGACACTCTATTCTATAAGAAGAAGAAGAGTTTGGATTTGATATCCCGCTTTATCACTACCCTAAGGAGTCTCAAAGCAGCTCACAATCTCCTTTCCTTTCCTCCCCCACAACAGACACCCTGTGAGATGAGTGGGGCTGAGAGACTTCAGAGAAGTGTGACTAGCCCAAGGTCACCCAGCAGCTGCATGTGGAGGAGCGGAGACGCGAACCTGGTTCACCAGATTACGAGTCCACCACTTGTAACCACTACACCACACTGGCTCTCAACAACAAAAACAACAACAATTTTATTATTCATACCTCACCCATTTGATTGGGTTGCTCCAGCCACTTTGGGCGGCTTCCACCTTATATAAAAACATAATAAAACATTCAACATTTTAAAAAACCCTCCCCTATCCAGGTATCTTCTAAAGGTTGTAAAGTTACTTATCTCCTTGGCTCAGGGTTCTCATAACGCCAAACATACCCTCCAACATTTCTCCAATGAAAATAGGGGAAAGCGGGACATACTGGGATCAAATCAGAAACTCTGACGGCTGCTGTAAATCCAGGACTGTCCCTGGAAAATAGGGACATTTGGAGGGTCTGAGTTGACACTCCTCCAGGTGTTCTTTTTGTTGCGCATTCATGATGCTCTGTGCTCTTGTTACCATTGGGGTTGTCACCCATGATCCTGCTTTCAATACTGTTCGCCCCTGCAAAATTATAGGGTGGTCACACTGTTTCATTTTCTACCGGTTGATACCCTGCTGAAATCACATACCTTTTTAAACAAAAATAAAAAAAATGTTTTGGTTTATTTTGGTCCTTCTTTAGCTCCTCTGGAGAACAATAATGTGGTAGCATTGAAGCAACATAGCATAGCAGACTAAGGCAGAATAAATCCACTACTAATGCAATACTACTGTGCCAAGAACATGTTGCAGAACAGCCACACAAAGGCAGCTGTCTGGAGAGGCCCTCGGTCTCTTTCATTCTTGAAAAGCCCATCATAAATACTTATTTTGAGATTTTCTTTCCATATTATTGCCTGCCTTGTCCTGGATTCCCTTCCAATACAATTACTCCTTTTAGCTGTGGCTCAGGCCAGCCTTACATTTGTTCTCACATAAGCTGTTGTCTGACCTAGTCAATATGGGGGGGAGGGGGAGGTGGGAGAAAAACAAATTATAACCCCAAGCATGTTTTTAAATGGGAGATTACTGGCCTTTGGTTGCAATGCACTTCCTTTTCACACCTCTTAATGTGCAGCTCCTTAAATCACCACGACGCTTTCCAATTGCTGTTTGTTTTTCAAAGACAGCGTATTAAAATGTCGGTTCACGAGAGAGCAATGGATGAAAAAAAAAATGAGGGGGGGGGAAATGGCGAGGGGTGTTTTAAAGCTGCAGTTACAGCAAGTCATATGAATATTTCCAATAACTGTGTTCCAAGAAGTATTTTTGGAAGCATGAATGTTGTGTTTTTTAATGAAGGCCATATTCTGAGGATACGACACCATATGTCACAATCATTCTTCGACCAAAAAAGTAAAAGGAAAGTATGCTAGGCTTTAAAGTGTTTTGGAAAACTGTCTTTGCACGGCTGTCATTACTTGCGTGGCTGAGGGATTCTTTGTTTTTTAGCACATCCTAAATGAGATGTACTATATGCCTCATAGGACAGAGCCTATCCAACTTGCTGCTTGGGTAGAAAAAATGATAGCTCACTTGTGATTTTCCTGGGTGACCCTTAGGGCAGCTAATCTGTGGTTGATGTAGTAGAACAGGCCTTGGGGCCACAGTGATCCATGCGACGGTCACCTCCAGGCTTGACTACTGTAATTCGCTCTACGCGGGGCTGCCCTTGAAGCTGACCCAGAAACTCCAGTGGGTGCAGAATGCCGTGGCGAGGCTCCTTACGGGGTCCTTGCCACAGGATCACATTCATCCAGTGCTTTACCAACTGCACTGGCTCCCAGTGGAGTACAGGGTCAGGTTTAAGGTGCTGGTTTTGACCTTTAAAGCCCTATGCGGCCTAGGACCCATGTACGCCTCTCCTGGTATACCCCGCGGAGGACCTTAAGGTCCACAAATGACAACACTTTGGAGGTCCCAAGTCACAAGGTGGTTAGATTGGTCGCAACTAGGGCCAGGCCCTTTTCAGTACTGGCCCTGACTTGGTGGAACACTCTGTCACAAGAGACTAGGGCCCTGAGGGACTTGACATCTTTCCGCAGGGCCTGCAAGACAGAGCTGTTCCGCCTGGCCTTTGGTTTGGACTCAGTCTTTGGTTTTGGACCCTTATGTTTCCCTCCCCTTATGGTTTTGATCTATCGGCTACTATTAAAATGAGGCTGCATTTAAATTGGTTCCCCCCCCCTTTTCTCCCCTTCCCCCCATTATGTTTTTATTGTAATTTTACTGGTGTTAGCTGCCCTGAGCCCAGCTCTGGCCGGGGAGGGCAGGTATAAATAAAATGTTATTATTATTATTATTATTATTATTATTAATCAACCTATGGCCTTTTAAACTGTGTGTGGAGTTATTGTTTTCGTTTGTTACTATCAGGCATTTTTGTGTTTTTATCTCTTAAACTGTCCTGTGGTTCTTGGATGAAGGGGTGGTATATGTGCAGTATTTAATAAATCAATCTCTCGTGAACTCCCATCATCAATGGCTTTTAGGCCATGCTCCCAAGGTTGATGGGAGCTACAAGGAGCAGACAGAGCTGCCAGACCAGAATGCAAAGCCTCTTGTGGCTGTTTTCTCCACCCTGGGCCCCCGAAATGTTCACCATATGGGCTGGATATGCTGAATGGAGCTGAATGAATGAGGTGGTCCATGGAGTGTACCGCTTCAAATTACATGTAAGGGGCTGTCACTTCTGAACATCTGCATTTGCAACACCCTCCCATCCAACCCCCCACCAAAGACTTCTGCAAATGGAAATCTAGCACACACTGGAGAAAGGTTCTAGCCCAGGCCTTTGTCTGCTGTGTTGCTTTTCAATTCATAGGTAGAAAAAACACAGGGGAGCACTAAGAAATTCAACGTCTTGCCTGTAACCTGTGGTCACGCTGTACATTTTGCCGTCTCATTCAGCAGTAAGTGTCAAATTTCCCAATCTGCAGCAGTGCACCCTCCTCATCCATGCTAACCACGCACACAGACACTGAAATATATGCTTTTGTATTTACTTAGAGGCAAAAATATGAAATCTTTTCTCTTTGGTTTCATCTGCAGGTTATAAATGAAGAGAGCAAGAGAGAGACCAGCTGGTGATTGGCATCTTTAATTGCATCTTCTGAATTAATCACACAGCACAGATTAAAGAAGCATGGCTGAGCCTGGCGAGAAGCTTTTAAGTGTGGAAACGAATAAACTCAGACATGCACACAGCTACCAAGACACAACTTCGATTGGGATTAAAAGAATGCAAAAGCGATTTCTCCAGAAAGATGGAAGCTGCAATGTGTACTTCAAGCACATCTTTGGGGAGTGGGAGAGCTATGTGGCCGACATTTTCACCACATTAGTGGACATTCAATGGCGCCATATGTTTGTGATCTTCTCATTGTCCTACATCCTTTCCTGGTTGTTCTTTGGCTTGGTCTTTTGGTTGATTGCACTCCATCATGGTGATTTATCACTTGATGAAGGAACGACCCCTTGTGTTGTCAGTGTCCATAGTTTCACGGGGGCATTCTTATTCTCTCTTGAAACCCAAACAACCATAGGCTATGGATCCCGTTGTGTCACCGAAGAGTGCTCCGTCGCAATCCTGATAGTTATCATACAGTCAGTGTTAGGCTGCATCATTGACACATTCATCATCGGTGCTGCCTTGGCCAAAATGGCCACTGCCCGGAAGCGAGCTCAGACCATCCGCTTCAGCTATCATGCCACGGTAGGCTTAAGAGATGGCAAACTCTGTTTGATGTGGCGGATAGGTGATTTCCGCCCTAATCATATGGTAGAAGGCACAGTGAGAGCCCAGCTCTTGCGGTATGTGGAAGACAGAGTGGGAAGGATGACAATGGAATACAAGGACTTAAAACTGTTAAATGACCAGATCATTGTTGCAACCCCAGTGACCATTATCCACGAAATTAACCAGGACAGCCCATTGTATGATATGGACAGGAAGGCTCTTGCTAAAGACAACTTTGAGATCCTGGTTACATTTGTTTACACTGGAGATTCAACGGGGACATCCCATCAGTCAAGGAGTTCATATGTGCCTCGAGAAATCCTTTGGGGGCACCGGTTCAATGACGTCCTGCAAATGAAGAAGAAGTACTACAAAGTCAACTGCCTCCAATTTGAAGAAACCACCGAGGTTTATGCTCCTTATTGTAGTGCCAAGCACCTAGACAGGAAGGAGCAAGAATACACCACCTTGGAAAAAGCAGTGGATGGAGAACCTGGAACGTCGTCATCTTCTTCTTCCTCTTCATCAGCACCAGCACCAGCACCAAGATTAGGACTAAGAGCCCGGTCCTTTAGTGCTGAAGCATTAATCATCCACTCTGAAATTTCTGAAGAGTCAGCCAAAACTTCTAACCAAGCCAATGTTATGGAGGTGCCGTATGAGAGAGCGCTGGTGACTTTAAGTAGAATCTCAATGGAATCCCAGATCTAACAATCTGTTGCAATGGCTGCTCTTGACTTTGCAGCAGTTTTCAAGGCGCACAAGTTATGGACCTGGTATCCTCAAATCATAAAACGGAAGAACAGACTCGTTGACATTTCATCGAGACTTCGGTCTAGCTGGTTTTCTTGTTTTAGTAGATAATGCTGATATTATTCATCTCCTTAAAAAAATTCCTTTTTTGCAAACAGTAGAATTTTGTGCCCTTGTATTTTTTAAATAGAATGCTTAACAATATTCAGCATCAGTACTGAAAGTGGAGGATACCTATTGTTAAGAATTTCAAAGTTGCTTTATCACTGAAGCCATGAAGTCAGATTATTTGAGTTAAAACTGCTTCAGGACCTTATAGTCCTATGGTTTAGGCGCATTAATTTTGGATTGTTCAGTGTGACTGTCTTTTGGATTAATGTACATTTCAGTAAATTAAAGAATTGCAAAATAAGTAATTTGTGTGCTGCAGCATAGCTTGGTAGTCTATTTGCCAAGTGTACCCTAGGCCCACATCTCATTCAAGTAGCTCTTTTGATTGTACAAAGAGAAGTTAATTAAACTACTTCACATTTTTGTTTATTTGTAAAAACTATATATATATATATATATAGTATATATATATACTAGATTTTTCTATGGGGGATTTAGGCTTTCTCAGAATTTTCTTTTGCAATTTCTAATAAAGTATTTTGAATTCTCCCTAAAATATGTAAAGAATAATTCTTACACAGAGTTTGAAAAAAGTAGCTAGCTTTGCCAAAGCCATTATGCAAGGCACCTTATTTGCTTCCACTTTCTGTTGATCAGTGATTTATTTGCTACTAGACATTACAAAGATGTAAGGCCTATCACACTCAAATTTATGGCTTGTTTTCATTTAGTTACTTTCATTTCTTTTCAACTACCTAATCATTTCATGTTGAAGATATGTTTTTAAATTGTTCTGCATATCTGGAAAGATGATTTGTAACTTAGAGATAACGATGTGCTAGCTGGTGTACTTTTTTTTTTAAAAAAGAAAATAATATATAAATATATTTCATCCAACTTTTTTGGATTCTCTCTCACTTTGTTATTCATTCCTAAGTACACAGATAGATCAGACCAATATTCTTTTCTTTTTGTTTGAAAATTGCATCCTTGAACTTTTAAGTTGAGGGATCTCAGTCTTCCCTCAGTGCATCCTCATTCTAGGTTCAGATAACCCCTGTTGTTGTAATTGGACCTTGCTGCCTAAACAGATTTCCGAGTCTCCCTTGGTTCCATGGTCTGTTGTATCCTTCCTTAGGTTGTAGCCTTCCATTCTGCAACTGGCAGCCCATGGACCATGTTATACTGTCAGGGGCTGGACTGAGGAGGAAAGGTGGGAGCCGCCCCTCTTCTCCTGAACCTCCCCGAGAACAGGAGGACAGTATCAATATGGAACAGTGGTTTTCAGAAGGACATAGTTCAGAGACTGCAGAGCGGAAAAGCTGGGAGAAGAACAGGAGGAAGAAGAAACACCGGGGGAGGGACAGCTGACAGGCTCAGTTTCTTTGGAGAGTATTCCTGAGCCCTCTTCTCCCAGGACTGGGCATGCATTGAGAGTAGTAGAACAGAAAGCTCAGAGGCAGAAAGCCCAGATCAGCCGGCGCAGAGATGATGTAGGATAAGAGAGACAGAGGCGGAGCCGCTCAGGCATAGGGGGTGGCACGCCCAGGGGCAGACTGAGCCACCCATAGGGGTGGGGTGCACTGCAGGGCCTCTGGAGTCTGCCTGCCTCCTCCCACTCAGCCACCCTACAGCTGGGGGGGGGGAGGCAGTGGGCGGACCATTTGGGCAGCGTGGAGCCTGTGTGTGCACAAGCCACCACGTCTCTCCCAGGAGAGATGCATGGCTCAGGCGCTCTGCAGGCCCGGCGGTGAGTGCTGCCCAGCATTTTGTCACCTCCCTCAATGGTGACACCCAGGGTGACCCGCATCTACCGCACCCCCCTTCCTCTGCCCCTGAGAGGGGGTTGGGCTTTACTCAGCAACACCATTATTGAATAGGGACTACATTCCTTTCTCTCTCTGTGTGAATACTGAATAAATTACAGTGGGTGCTCGGGTTGCGAACGTGATCCATGCGGGATCTGTGCACACGTGGGTTGCAATTCAGCGCTTCTGCGCATGTGTGACTGCCAAAACCCGGAAATAACCCGTTCCGGTACTTCTGGGTTTCGGCGGTCTGTAACCTGGAAAAAACGCAACCTGAAGCGTCTGTAACCCGAGGTATGATTGTACGTGGTAAGGACTCTTTGTGTTTATCTGCTTTTTTGGCTGCCACCAGAGGAGGGATAGGATTCCCTGAACCTTGACACATACGTGCTTTATATCAGGAACCACATATAGAGGAATATATGTAGAGATGCCTTGCACTGAAACAGGCTGTTGGGTCATTGTTTGCTCTGACTGAAGAAAGCTCTCCAGGACTTCGGACAGAGATCTTTTCCATCAACACTACAAGTTCCTTTTAACAGGACATACCAGAATTAAACCCGAGACCTCCTTTCATGCAAGCCTTGTGCAAGGTAAGTACAGTATAATAATAAAATATTATTATGGCAGCCAGGAGTCATGGGGACAGATCTAGAGCAGTGACTTAATGGTGTGACTAACTTGGGAATATTAACTAACCTTAGTGCCTTCTGGTCCCACCAGACTCTACTTTCTTGCCGAATCTACATCGAGGGTACAAAACATAATAATACCCCAAAACAAAAATAAAGTAAATGCAGACAGTAAGGGATGCTAGGAAACAGGGCAGACGGTACCTGAACTAACTTTTGCAGAATTGGAGTTTCAGGAACTGAGGTAGATAGCAGTGATGAGAGATGAAATCCTAGACCTAAAACAAAAACTGAAAAATTGCTGGGTCCACACGGCATCCACCCAAGACCTGCCCAGAAATCATTAAACCATTACATGTCCTCCATGTTACACCCCTTTTTCCCATCCTTGAAGAAATTTGCTTCATATCTCGATGGATTCCAATATCATGCGCCACACTGAAATCAGAACAATGAATTCAAAGTATTGCCCCTACTCGATAAGTCCTGAAACACTGGTCTGGATTTCTGCTGTTAAGACCAATTCTTCCTCAATTATGAAGCACCCCTTTAAAAAATTGTGGGGTTGGACTAGATGACCATTTGATGATGACCCTTTGAGTCACTTCCAAATCTACAATTCCACAATTCACAAGAAGTCAGATAGCATTGACTCTTAAGCATTGACTCTTATACAGAGTGGAGAGAAAGTCCCGCAGTTTCCTGAAGAATCTTGCCAGACTGCATGAACATACCATGTACAGTTTCTGTACACTTCCAAACTATGTTTTCGCTTCAGGGCTCTTCACCATAGCATGGATCCCACATAGGTTCAGAGAGTGCACACTGCAGGGAGAAAACAATGCCTGAGGATTTTCATTCTGAATTCCAGTTCTTATGCTCCGTTATTTCTCAGGCATATTTGAAGCACTGTTACACTTTTGGTTCCCTACAGTTTTGCAACTATACCTTGCAATCCTGGCTTATAAGTCCCACAGCTGCAAAACAATTTACTTCCACAATACAACTAGGTAGTAGCAGCAAGAAAGGAACTCTGTGGCACAGTCTGCAAAGCAGGCACAAACACATTTGGAAAGTTGCTAGTTCAAATATACACAGAGTTGGGATTAAAAAAATAGAATGGAATGGAACTATAGCTGCCATAAACTATACAGTGGACGCTGGGGTTGCAAATGTGATCCATGTGGGAAGCACGTTCGCAACCTGCAGCTTTCGCAACCCGCAGCGCCGTGTCTATGCATGCACGGGTTGCGATTCGGCGCTTCTGCACATGCGCAAGCACTGAAACCCAGAAGTAACCCATTCCGGTACTTCCAGGTTCAGCACGGTGAGCAACCCGAAATCGCACAACCCGAAGCGTCTGTAACCTGAGGTATGACTGTAATCCTAGGGACACATGGGTGCTGCTTGCTAGAGGTTTATTGAATAAAATACTTGCAAATCTGTGATCATGCTGATCATTCTCCCACCTAAAAGAAGTCTCTGTTGAACTGTGGGAAGACGGGTGAAAATGAGTAGTGGTGCACTTTGCAGAAGTGTGGGATTATTTTTAATTTAACTGAAGGGTTCCATTGTGCTAGCTGGGGTATGAAAGTGTGTGGGTAAACTCATTTGTGCTTTGCAGGCTATGATACAATATCCTTCTGTTCCATTGAAACTTATGGGGTACGTTAATATGTAAACTTTCAGAGAAAAGATGGATAGTTAACTGCTTACTACATTCACTAGTGACCGTATTATGGGTAAAAGGCAAAACAGAAAACCGTCTTCTCAAAAGTAGAAGCCTGAGATGATAGCTCTCCCTTTTTATTTGTTTTTAAAATGCATATCCCACCCACCCCTACAAAGAAACTAAAAGCATCTTGCAAAAAACAAGATATACAGAAATACAAGGGTAAGGTGGTATGTTTATGAATGACTTCAAATTAACATTGTATCTTTACAATACATAACAAATAGGCAAAAAAAGTTGTTTTAAAGGATGTTGTGCCAGAGTCTGTTCAAGAGATTTCTACAAGTAACTAGTGGCAACGATAGGGAGAAAGAGACTGGCAACCCCCCATCTGTCTCTTTTGAGGGATGTTTTTAAATGTGAATGGGCAATAATCGAATCTAAATGATGTGGAAAGTAACAAGGACCTTTCTCACCAGCACATTAACTGTTCTAAGGGAATTCTGCCTGCCTCATATTCTCGAGACATGGAGAGAGTTTGTCAGTCCCACCCTAGAGCTCCATGGCATTGAGGAAGTACCCCTTCATCTCCCAGAAGATGCCTCATTGTGTTCATTCCCATTTTCAGCTATCTACCAAAAAGGTGGTGAAAGGCCCTGGAGCCCTGATCACTCTGCCAAGGCCAGTGTGATGTCAATGGGTGTGGGGAAACCAAGAGTCCAACGCCAATCCTGCATTGAACCAAGCCTGCATTGAACCAAGGGCAGACAGGAAGCTTCTGTCTAGGACACAATGGAAGGTGCGGTGGACAACAGTGTGTGGCCATTCTCTAAAGCTGAGTGGGTGGACTGGCAGGAACACTGGATTGGCTGTGCCAGTGCTCCTGGGTTGCCATATCTTGAAGAGCAAAAAAGAGGACACCCCAAGCCACTGCCAGCCTGAGCTGGCAAAAGAGATGCACAGGTAAGCGGGGATGCCACCACTGTGCCTGCGCGCATCTTTTCCCAGCTCGGGCTGGCAGTGGCTGAGGCATGCAGAGCAGCCCAAGCCTCAGCCTGAATTGCCCGAGCCCAAATACCCCAGACATTTCCTTTAAAATGTAAACATCTGCCCAGATGGACATGTTGCCCCCCCCAGAGGATATGTCCGGGTTTTCCCGGACGTATGGCAACCCTATCCCGCACAGCCCCAATCTTCCTTTCTCTGTCCCAGTAAGCTGCAGGCCGCTGCTGCTGGGAAGATAATGTTGTGACTCTGCTCCACACAGCAAGCCAGTTTTGTCCTCAAGGGTTTTGGGGGCTTTGAACAGAATGCTTGAGGAGCACAAATACTTTTGAGGAGGAAGCAGTGGGCATACATCCCTAACATTCAACACAATAATGTTTAGAGATACGCTTTGAAACCTATGCCCCTTGAGGAGTCAGAATCATCAACCTGTTCCTTGCTTCACATCTAACCATTGCTGACATTCAAGTTTGCTCAAAACTCTTGTGCAATGGAATTGTGGGCTTCTTGAAAGCTCCAAATCCCCAAACCAATCTGACTTGTCATACTTAATTTTTTCCTAGTGTTAGTTTCACTTTTCTAGGCAAAGAAGGAGGGAATCTCTGAGTTTTACATAGTTCCATGGAGGTTGTGGTTGGTTTGTTTTGTTGCTCTGTTTGATTTTTCTTAAAGGTGGATACTTTTACATGAATCCCAATTCTTCTTTTTCATACTGGAGTGCCCCACCTTGTCAAAAGAGCAGGGACAGAAACAAACATGCAAAAGACCCGTTCTCCTAACCTGGGCTCTCTCGCAGCCACTTAATGGTGGGATATTGTGGGTCATCAGTCCGCCACCTTGTGGACATTAAAAAAACACGGGATTCAACATGCACAGAATAGTTCAGTGTGTTTGATTTATGCTTCGGGATGAGGCATTCAGAGAATCATTGCTGGGAAGCACTTACTAGTGGAAAAAATGGCTCACTCTGATTCTTGCTTCACACCCCAGGGAAAGTTTTTGCTCCTTAGGGTCCCAATGGCCTCATTATCCGAGTACTGTACATACTGAAGATAGAACAAAGGTGCAGACTGGCCTGCCACCCAAATGCACGTTCAAAGCCTCCTTCTCCTCCAGGGAGTTCTTCAAATATGTCACTGCATTGTCCAATGCAGTACTGAAGCATGCAGAAGCTCACGGAAACCAAGAGGCTTAAGCAGACTGATCTCAAAGGGGCATATAGTGTGCACTCCGAACTACGAGGTGACTCAGGGTGATTCAAGGCAGACTCAGGTCTTGCTACAAACAAGGTGTGTCGAGGCAGATTGGGGACTCTCCTACTTTCCAAGTAACTCTGCAGCATCAGTTCTTCCAACCTCCGCCCAAAAGACCGGGCATTTTCTTTTCTGAGAAACTTCTCCAAGTTACCTGAGGAAACTCTCAGAGCTCATGAAAGGAGCCAGTGGAGAGCAGGGAGGTGTGGTGGAGAATGGAGGGTCTTTTGTTTTGATGTATGGGCCTAGTTTTTAATCACAATTACATTGTTTTCCGAGGACACTCCAATCACCGTGATGGGGGGGGAGGGATGGTGAAGTAAAGTTATTCATCATGTGGGTCCTCTGAGTAGTCAGTCAGTCAGTTTAATTGCACATAGCCAAAGGCTGCCACAATGTATACAGGATCATTCAACAATTAAAAGAAAATATGCTGGATTAATACAAAAAACTTAAAACATTTATATTATCAAGACATTACCTACTCTAAACAGAGCTATAAAAGTACCTTAATATACAGGTTAAGATAATAAAATTTATAGGGACCTCTGAGTCTGGCTGTGAGAACAGAAGATAAGTCGCAAAGTTTGACTATTGTGGTGGTCCACTTCTTTCCCTCTCCCTTCCCCTCTCCCCTTCATGGAGGATCCTTTGGGGGGGGGGACAATGGGGGGGGAATGACTTTTCAATTTTTTTGAGCAAAGGAAAAAAAGAACCTAGCACGACAACCTCTGGAGCTATTTGTTTGCACTCCGGCAGGTTTCTTAAATAGGGACACGTCCGTCATGCCCCCAGTTTTGAAATTGACCTCTGTGGGTGGGGAAACTGGGGGAAGAAAATGTGTTTTCTATCCCCCGCCCCAAGTGTGAAATCTGCCTTTGCAATAGAACTGCTGCACTTTTCTTTCTGGAATTTGCCAGGCTTCATCCCCTTGGAAGGAGATGGATTTTCCAGTGGATAAAACAGACGATGCTGTTGAGGCCCTCGTTTCACTATGGAATGGCAAGACTCATCGGACCATTGACACCATTGCCCTCTCAAGCACATTGGAGCCCGTTTGGTTCCTTGGTATATGAGGAGCTGCAGTCAAGGAAATGGACTAGGAGATAATTTTGGCATCTGATCTATACAAACCCACTGATTCCCACAGTAGTTTAATACAGTGGTACCTTGGGTTACATACGCTTCAGGTTATATACACTTCAGGTTACAGACTCCGCTAACCCAGAAATATTACTTCGGGTTAAGAACTTTGCTTCAGGATCAGAACAGAAATTGTGCTCCGGCAGCGAGGCGGCAGCAGGAGGCCCCATTAGCTAAAGTGGTGCTTCAGGTTAAGAACAGTTTCAGGTTAAGAACAGACCTCCGGAATGAATTAAGTACTTAACCCGAGGTACCACTGTATACTCCCTGTAGCCGGGGCGTAGAGCCTGTGGCACTCCACATGTTATTAGACTACAACTCCCATGATCCCTGACAATTAGCCCTGAAGACTGATGGGAACTGGAGTCCAACAATATCCAGAGGACTGTGGGTTCACTATTGCTGCTATATATCAAACTACAGTGGTACCTGTAATTCGTTCTGGAGGTCTGTTCTTAACCTGAAATTGTTCTTAACCTGAAGCACCACTTTAGCTAATGGGCCTCCTGCTGCCCCTGTGCCGCCGGAGCATGATTTCTGTTCTCATCCTGAAGCAAAATTCTTAACCCGAAGTACTATTTCTGGGTTAGTGGAGTCTGTAACCTGAAGCGTCTGTAACCTGAAGCGTCTGTAACCCAAGGTACCACTGTACTGGTGCAAATGGCTTCTATTAAAGTCACTATGAATAGTAGTTATATTATTTCTAGATTAATTAATATCAATCATGGCTGTATATGGCAAGCGGTCACTGGCTTTGTATACAAACTGTATGTAGGGAGCATTTATTGCATAAATTCAGTCCCTTGCTATTGAGCCAGTAACCAATTGTGCCGTGTTATTCAACCTGAGAAATAGAACTTGATGAAAAATCTGATAATCAGTTTGGTTCAATTGCTCACTGTCGACACACAGCACATTAAACTTAGCTAAGTAGGTGATGCCATGAATACCAAGTCTTGAATTCCCTGACTGACAGCATAACATTTCCATTCCTATTATACATATATAGAAGCAGAAGGTTGTCAGGGGTTGTTTGTTTGGCCAGGCTCAATGTATAAGCAAGTTAATACCGGTTGCACTCTACAAGGAACATCTCAAAGACAGCAACAATCTATTTGTGGCACAACATAGTGACACCAAGGGAGTATCTATTACAAGAAACTAAATGCTGCCCGTCTACTTACACTTGCACACTGCGATAAAAGAGGAATGATGTTTCAGTACTTTTAATCAAACCTTTTAACAAAGCCAAATGAGGTTGTTTACAATGATTTCCAGCTCAATAGCATGCATGCTGAGCTCCTATTGCGTATTCAAGCCACAAGCCATGGAAAAATAATAATGGTTTTGAGCATGCTTGATACACAGCTGTGCACTATACGGTCATATGCAGACATGTTTGTGCATTGGCCACAGCCAAACACAGAGTTAAGCTTCCTCAAGACCACTGAAATCACAATCATGGGAATAGTGGATGTCCATACACTCAACTCCTACTTAAAGGTAAAGGGACCCCTGACCAATAGGTCCAGTCACGGATGACTCTGGGGTTGCGGCGCTCATCTCGCTTTATTGGCTGAGGGAGCCAGCATACAGCTTCTGGGCCATGTGGCCAGCATGACTAAGCTGCTTATGGTGAACCAGAGCAGTGCACGGAAATGCCGTTTACCTTCCCGCCAGAGCAGTACCTATTTATCTACTTGCACTTTGATGTGCTTCCGAACTGCTAGGTTGGCAGGAGCTGGGACCGAGTAATGGGAGCTCAGCCTGTTGCGGGGATTCGAACCGCCGACCTTCTGATCGGCAAGCCCTAGGCTCTGTGGTTTAACCCACAGCGCCACCTGCGTCCCTTAGCAGGTATTAAATCATTACTATTTAACAAGACAGTAGAATGCCCTCTTCCACCTTGGTCTTCTGATGCATGGAATTTCTTCACAGTCCAAGCTGGTCCTCCAAAAAGGGTCTCATGGTCTCCTCTGAACTAAATAATCCACACTGAAAGAAGTCTGTCTGGGGGAGCACATCCCAGCAGTGGTGCTGAGGGATTATTCTTTAGCCTCTTGGCCACTAACCCATGGGGCCTCTCAAGGGCAATTTTTATCCCCGATAGGGTATTTAACATTTACATAAAGACACAGAGAGAGGTCACCTGGAAAACTGGCCTGAGTTGTCACCAATACCTGAGTGCCTCACTTCTTTTAATTTGAATCTAGGGAACCAGTAAAAATTCTGAATCAGTGTCTGCAATTGGTGGAGAATATGACATTATACTTTGCCCATTCAACCTTTGTAACCCATAAATTGCTAATAGGATTTGGGCATTACCCCAATTAATGTAAGACAATCAAAGCTGACTTTTAAACCATTAAAGGTGATTATAAATATAATGCCTGACTCATGCCTACTGGCTGCAGTAGGAGGAAGGATGATCAGTAACATGGAAAAAGTTACCGTATTTTTTGCTCTATAAGACACACTATAAGACACACGAGAGCCAGTGTGGTGTAGTGGTTAAGAGCGGTAGTCTCGTAATCTGGGGAACTGGGTTCGCGTCTCCGCTCCTCCACATGCAGCTGCTGGGTGACCTTGGGCCAGTCATACTTCTTTGAAGTCTCTCAGCCCCACTCACCTCACAGAGTGTTTGTTGTGGGGGAGGAAGGGAAAGGAGAATGTTAGCCGCTTTGAGACTCCTGAAGGGGAGTGAAAGGCGGGATATCAAATCCAAACTCTTCTTCTTCTTCTTCCCTCCTAAAAAGTAAGGGGAAATGTGTGTGTGTCTTATGGAGCGAATGCACGCAGGAAGCTCTGCTCAGTGCTCCCATTAAAGAGCCGTGTGGAGTGTGTGTGTGGCTCTTGGAGGCTTTTCCCCGAGGAGGGAGAAGGGCAGCCCATCAGTGCCTTCTCCCTCCTCGGGGAAAAGCCCCCAAGAGCCGCACACGTGCTCCACATGGCTCTTTAAAGGGAGCGTGGCTCTTGCGAGCTTCTCCGCAAGGTGGGGGAAGAGACTGAGGGGCTGCCCTCTGTCCCTTCCCCCACCTCCTGCAAAAGCCAGCAAGAGCCATGTGGGGCCTGCAGTGCGCCTGAGCCACGCATCTCTCCTGGGAATGATGCAATGGCTTGGGCACCCGCAGGCTCCGCATGGCCCCAGACGATCCGCCCGCCACCTCTCCCTCAGCTGAGTGGGAGGAGGCAGGCAGATTCCTTGAAGGTCCCACAGAGCGTTCTGCCCTAGGCGCCTGATTGGCTTGCTCCACCACTGATTATATGAGAGGCCCTGCGGAATACTTCAGTTAGGAATGTGAAGAGAGGAAACTGCTTTCTTAAATATCAGGCAAGACCTATTGCTTTTAAGCTTGTGTGCTATTTAAGCCAACGTCTAAGACCTTATTATCAAACAGGTAAAGTTCCTTCCTGGCAGGAGAACATCAGCTCCTGTTGCAACAGGTTCCTCATACTCCACACAAGCTTATCGTTCGAGTTCCTGGTTCTTTGTGAGAAAGTGGCTTTGTTCAACAAACTTTTGAGAACCTCAACAATCAGCGTGCGGGTTTGCCACAGGCAGAGAACTCTGCTTTGATTCAAATTCAAACAAAGCGCACACAAATAATAATAATAAAAAGCTTGCAAACCAGGAAAAGACAATTACGGTTGTGTTCACCTCCACTCTACATCTTCATTTTCATGCAACCTTTTTGAGTAGTAGAACTAGCATCTGGGGGGTTTAAGGAAGAGGATGAAAGCACATTCACACACTGTGCCATGTGTAAATTGCTGGCTCTTAACCCTATTCCTTCCAGGAATTGTCAGCTCACTTATGTCAGCTCAGGAGAGGGGGAAGGGTATGTTCCCACCACTCCAGCAACTTTTATTAACCATTAGCTTGGTTTCCCTTGGTACACACGAAACAAAATCAATCGTTTCCTTTTATAAAAAGTATTATACCCACTGAATTTCAGTAGGTCTGGAACAATAAGTGCTCACACAGTCTCCACGCTTCCTAGTCTTTGAAGATAATGCATTTAGCACCCATTAGGACACACTGACCTTCCAAACCATTTCAGCAAAGACTTTTATTGGAAGGTAGATGGCATCTTTCACTTATGGTTGTCATCTTTTTACTGCCCTGGCTACCACTGCTTCCTATGCCAAGGTAGTTTCTCTTTCCCTTTCTCGCTGTTTTCTTTTTCTAATCCAATTTCCATTAATGGGAGGGAATTAATTAAGACAGCTGTAGGGTTGACAGAGTTTAGGGCCCATTGTTTGGGCCTGTTTGGCAAATGAAGAGGCTTATTTATGACCTTCCAAATCCTGTTCCACTGCTAACACTCCATTTCTCATTGCCAGCATCTACAAACGGTGGTTATTTATTTGCTTATGTATTTATAATCCACACTTTCATACAAAATATATCACGGCAGTGTACAACATATAAGAATGAAGTCAGCCCAAAGGATTCATTAAAACCATCAATAAATACTGATTGGATGAAAAAGAGAAAATCCATAGTGCATAGGCCTGTCAAAACAATATGGTGGGGAGTTGCACAGGGCAGGGCCTGCCACACTCAAGGCTTGGCTCCTAGTGAAAGCTTCCGCCAACCTCGCAGTCTGAAAGCATTCCAGTGCAAGTAGATAAATAGGTGCAGGGCCGTCTTTACCCAAGGGTGCAAGGGGTGCGGGGCACCCGGGTGCTAAATTCGGGGGGGCGCCAGGTGCTTGCTGCTGAAGCCGCCTAAGCTCTTAACTATCTACCTGTTATGAAATATTAAATAATTTTGATCAAGCTAGAAAAACAAAATACATATATACCTAGGTACTACCAAAATGTATACCTATTGTTTCACTAAAGGACTTTCGACTTTGCGCACTCATTTACCAAAGACGTGCCACACCAGCGGTGGCGCTTGTCATTCTCAACAGCGCCACGCACGCGAAATTAACTCTTACATCAAAATATTATGTTACGTATTGTATTGAGCTGCTATGCGGCAGCGGGGTCAGCAGCACCTTTGACATGACTGATGTTTCTCCTAAGTAGGTGCCTAAACAATACTTATAAGTTTAAGTGTGGTGGTGTTAATTTGGGGGCTAAACTAAATTTGGGGACACTGGGTGGATCTTTGCACCCCGACGGCGCACATGCTAAAGACAGCGCTGAATAGGTACCGCTGCGGCCTGCAGGTAAATGGCATTTCTGTGCGCTCTGGCTTCTGTCGTGGTGCTCCGTTGCACCAGAAGCTGTTTAGTCATGCTGGCCAAGTGACTTGGAAAGCTGTCTGTGGACAAACGCCGGCTCCGTTGGCCTGAAAAGTGAGATGAGTGCCGCACCTCATAGTCACCTTTGACTGGACTTAACTGTCCAGGGGTCCTTTACCTTTTACCTTACCCCACTTAGGGGTGTAGCATGGGGGATTAGTAGCTAATAAAAGTTGGGGTCTTCTTTTGTTCAGGGCTTCCATCTTGCTTCATCCTGTAGTGAGTTGGAGTCCTGTCATGACAGTCTCAATAAATACCAAGCCTACTGTCTGCTGTTTTGCTCCAATTGTCCTGGTTGGTGTCTTTGCTTTTTGTCCAAGGGAGCCCTCGGATTTCTCCATTAACAATTCACTTGTATTTATAGGTGTACCTACCTAATTCACACTTTTCACAATAATACACAGCTTAAGCACAGCCATTTTTTGGTATAAAAAAATGTGTATTTCTGAATTTTGCAATGTGTACAGAAATGTGCCAACCACTGAAAACAGTATACAGAAATAAGGGGGAAAGTGCTTGGGGAAAAGTGCATATTAGGCAAAAAATGGCATACAAAGCTGTGCTTATATTAGGATAACTTTGCACTAAAATGCAGATGAATTTCCATGGGGACTTTTTTGGGGGGGAAATTCAAACTGATTTGGAAATGGGAAGAATTTTGGAGTGAAAAAACAAGAAACTAAAATTTAAAGATTTGCTCATCCTTACTGTACAGTGAATTGGACAATGAGTTTTAAAACAAAAGCAATAAGAAAACAGAATTCATTTTAAAGAATACAGTGGGTGCAACTCTTCCTATACTCTAGGATGTGAATGGATGGATGACAAGATACACAGCCAATAAGTGGAGGAAAACAAACCTTCACCTTTCAGTAAGAGTTAACTTTTCAACTGTATCTCACCCCTTCTTTCTCAGTCAAGTAAATGCAGCAGGAAGAGGGTTTTTGTTTTGTTTTCATGTAACATCAACTTCCTTGTGTGTTGGTCATTAAGGAAACATTTGTCTTCAAACAGATGGCTTTGCTAAGCATTTGACAACAGTTAGCCTCTGAATCTGCAATCTTCAAACTGCTCTTGGGCTTGTAAATCTTGGGAAGCAAGGGGCACACAACATTCGCTTCCATGCTAGAGGAGGAAGAGAATAAAAATGCTTGGCAAGAGCCTTTATTTATCTGTTGGCATTTGCATCCTCTCCTTCCTTCAAGGAGCCCAGAGTAATATCTGAAGCCTGACGACAAGCCTACCAGGCAGCTTAGGCTGCCGACGCAAGGAGTTGCCTGAGGTCACTCAGGTCACCAACACACCATGCATTAAAACCATCTTTAAATTAGTTTTTATTGAAGATTTTCTTGTGTTACAGAATATGGGAAAGTAAATATAGCAGTTCGTTAACCTTCAGTATGAGATACTAATGTCATGGGCATCTTGCAGCTGGGGGAAGGGAAGGGGGAAAGAAAGAGGGGGTATTGTTCTATCGTTCCATTGCATAGTGTTAGTATGGGGATTGTGTCAGCAACTCATCGGTAGGTCCCTTATTTATATATTTGTTTATCTTTATTGGCATTGCGTGGGGTTGGGGGGTCCAGAGCTTGGTTGGATGCATTCAGTTGGTTGCAGTGTTGCTGGGAGCAGGTGGCGCTGTAGTCTAAACCACTGAGCCTCTTGGGCTTGCCGATCGGAAGGTCGGCGGTTCGAATCCGAGCTCCCATTGCTCTGTCCCAGTTCCTGCCAACCTAGCAATTCGAAAGCACACCAGTGCAAGTAGATAAATAGGTACCGCTGCGGTGGGAAGGTAAACAGCATTTCCGTGCGCTCTGGTTTCCGTCACGGTGTCCCATTGCACCAGTCATGCTGGCCACATGACCCAGAAAACAGTCTGTGGACAAACGCCGTCTCCCTCGCCCTGAAGCGAGATGAGCGCCGCAACCCCATAGTTGCCTTTGACTGGACTTAACTGTCCAGGGGTCCTTTACCTACATTACCTTTTACCTTTCTTGTAGCTTGTTTGTATAAGTGTGGGGTGGGTGGGTTGTTGGGTTATTTGCCACTTCAACAAGTTATGGGGACCATAGTCTGCTAAAGGAGCTGGGAATTGTTACTCTGTGAATGGCCTTCTAACAACTGTCAGCCAACATGGCCAATGGTCGGGGTGGTTCCATGGTGTGTGAAGCTTGTAAGCTTCAGTGTGCTGAACTGCAAGCTCAAGATGTGATTGAGCTTGCTTTTCCCGCCCTCCCTCCCAATTCCCCCCTCCCCCCGATTGTCATGTCTTTCCCCGAACTGATTTATGTGAGCCACTCTCAGAGCCATTTTGGATAAAGGGTGAGGAACGAATGCTGTAAATAAACAAATACCTGATCTGTTTAACTGAGGATGCCATGGAAAGAACCTGGGAAAGATGCTCTGCGTTGAGAGCATGTGCTGTTCCACTGAACGGCATTTCCATGTTCCATGAAAGCATGTGCTGTTCCCTTCCCTAAAGGAATAAATATACCCTCCAGTTGTGCACACCTGTGAGGCAGAACTAAGGGATTCTCCCAAGTACATTTTATTGGCCTCAGAAATAAAATAAAACTGGGGCTTTCTCTCTTTCCTCTGCTGCCATGCGGGCCAACAATTTATGTATTGTTTATTCATCAGATTTGTACACTGCCCTTTATGACATGGCACCCTCTGGACCCTCAAATTTCAGCAGATCCCTGAACAATGCTAAAATTGGATGCCCCCGCATCTTGCACTCCGTTCTACATCATGGCTGCAGCACCCCCTGTGACGCTGGCACCCAGTGCGGCCGAACTGGTCACATTACCCTAAAACCACCTCCAATGATATCCACAGAGTAGTTTCCAACATAATATATAAAAGATAATACAGTGGTACCTCAGGTTAAGTACTTAATTCGTTCCGGAGGTCTGTACTTAACCTGAAACTGTTCTTAACCTGAAGCACCACTTTAGCTAATGGGGCCTCCTGCTGCTGCTGCTGCTGCGCTGCCGGAGCACGATTTCTGTTCTCATCCTGAAGCAAAGTTTGCAGAGCTTGCAGGGCAGCAGTTGAAGAAGGAGCAAAAAGGGTTTTCTTGTGTGTGTGTGTGTGTTTCTTTGTGGCTGATTGGATGCTCTCCCTGTGCAAAGGTCAGAGAGGGCAGGGTTTCTGTTGAGACAGGTGATTAGCTGTGGGAGGAGCTTATCAGAGCTTGCAGGGCAGCGGTGCGCGCAGTTTGATCCATCTTTTAGATTTAGGGGAGCTAGTCTCAAACCTTTGTTGGGGGAGACCTAGGTTTTTTTGTGGGGGGAGTTATTTTTCCTGTCTTCACACTTTTTATGATGGAGGACTGCTGTAGCCACCCCCAACGACACGTTAACAAGATGGAGGGGCAGGGAACAGCTGCAGTCGCCTGCGGTTCCTGCACAATGTTTGCCATCTTGCCAAAGGTTGCAGGCAGCTTTACCTGCAGCAATTGCATGTTGATTGCCCTCTTAAAAGACAAGGTCCAGCAACTGGAGGAACGTGTAGCTACGCTCCAAAGAATTAGAGAGCTGGAGCTGTTCTTGGAAGCAACAGAGCACACCGTCTCCACCAAGGAGGAGACAGGGGACTCCCCTGAGAAGGACGCTAGTTCACCAACACAGGAGCCAGATATATGGAGAAACGTGACTCAAAGAAGTAGGAGGCCCAGGGTTCGCTCTGATTGTTTAGAAATACACAATCGCTTTGAGGTCCTCTCCCCTAGCATGGAAGACGAAGAGCAGACTCCATTTGAGGATCTCTCCCTCATTACAGTCGATCAGGTATATGAAGATGAGCAGCAAAGTCAGTCCTCAGGGAATGTGCAGGCGACCTTGGAGCGGACAGCTCACGGAAGAACCCCGACCAAACCTAAGAGGAGGCGTGTAGTGGTGATAGGGGATTCCCTACTGAGGGAACAGAAGCAGTGATCTGTGGGCCTGACAAGATGTCTCGGGAAGTGTGCTGTCTCCCGGGCTAAGATCCAAGATGTAACTGAACGACTGCAAGGAATCATAAAACCCACTGACAAATACCCCTTCCTCTTAGTTCATGTGGGAACCAATGACACTGCAAGCAATAGCCTCCAGAAGATCAAAAGAGACTACGAGGCTCTGGGCAGGAAATTGAAGCAATTAAATGCACAAATTGTGATCTCATCTGTCCTCCCAGTTGAACGACGTGGTCCAGGGAGAGAGGGAAAAATAGTGGAAGTGAACAGCTGGCTTCGCAAATGGTGTAAACAGGAACGGTTTGGATTCTTAGATCACGGACTGCAGTTTCTTGAAGATGGACTTCTGGCAAGCGATGGGCTGCACCTCACAACGGTTGGGAGAAATGTTTTTGCCAAAAATCTCAGAAACCTCATCAGGAGGGCTTTAAACTGACTAATGTGGGGGAGGGAGACAATGCTCCTGAAGGTAGGAGTCTATCAATTGATGAAGATGATCATCCAAATGTCATAGACCAAATGGAGCAAACAGCACACAGACCTAGTGGTGGGAGGAAAAAATCCTTAAATAAGAGTCACGGGGAATGATTAATGGACTTCAATGTCTGTACACTAATGCGCAAAGCATGGGAAATAAACAAGATGAGCTTGAGCTCTTGGTACAGCAAACTAAATATGACATAATAGGCATCACTGAAACCTGGTGGGATAAGTCCCAAGATTGGAATGTAATAATGGGGGGATACAATCTATTTCAGAGAAACAGACCAGACAAGAAAGGAGGAGGAGTGGCGTTATATGTCAGGGATGTGTATACCTGTGAAGAGATCCAAGATTTAGAACCTCAAAACCAAAGTGAGAGCATTTGGGTCAAAATTAAGGGAGAGAAGAATAACAGTGACCTCATTGTGGGAGTTTACTATAGATCCCCAAGCCAAACGGAGGACATAGATGATGCCTTCCTGGAACAGATGGCCAAGCATGCAAAAGGAAGGGAGATAGTAGTAATGGGGGACTTCAATTACCCGGATATTTGTTGGATGTCAAACTCAGCCAAGAGCATAAGGTCAAACAGATTCCTCACTGGCCTTGCAGACAACTTCATTGTCCAGAAAGTGGGAGAAGCAACAAGAGGAACAGCCATTTTAGATCTGGTCCTAACCAATGTTGATGACCTGGTTAGTGGGGTAGAAGTGGAAGGATCATTAGGCACGAGTGATCATGCTCTTCTGAAGTTTACTATACAGCGGAAAGGAGCAGCCAAGCATACTAGGACTCAATTTCTTGACTTTAAGAAAGCTGACTTCATAAAACTTAGGGAAGTGCTGGGTGAGATCCCATGGACAGTAATACTAAAAGGAAAGGGAGTTCATGATGGCTGGGAGTTTGTTAAGAGGGAGATACTAAAAGCACAACGTCAGGCAATACCAATGAGACGGAAACATGGAAGGTGCCTAAAGAAGCCAGGGTGGCTATCTAAAGAACTTTTAACTGAGTTAAGATTAAAAAGGATGTGTACAAAAAATGGAAAAGGGGCGAAACCACCAAAGAGGAATTCAAACAAATAGCCAGCACGTGTAGACACAAAGTCAGAAAAGCTAAAGCACAGAATGAACTCAGGCTTGCTAGAGAGGTTAAAAGCAACAAAAACGGCTTTTATGGGTATGTCCGTAGCAAAAGGAAGAACAAAGAAACAGTGGGGTCACTCAGAGGAGAAGATGGTGAAATGCAAACAGGGGACACAGAAAGGGCTGAACTCCTCAATGCCTTCTTTGCCTCAGTCTTCTCCGATAAAGAAAACAATGCCCGACCTGAAGAATTTGGAGCAAATGATTCAGCAAAGGAAACACAGCCCAGAATAACTAAGGAGATAGTACAAGAATACTTGGCTAGTTTAGATGTATTCAAGTCTCCAGGGCCAGATGAACTGCATCCAAGAGTATTAAAAGAACTGGCAGATGTGATCTCAGAACCACTGGCAATCATCTTTGAGAATTCCTGGAGAACAGGCGAAGTCCCGGCAGACTGGAGGAGGGCAAATGTTGTCCCTATTTTCAAAAAAAGGGGAAAAGAGAGGACCCAAATAATTACCGCCCAGTTAGTCTGACATCAATACCAGGGAAGATTCTGGAGCAGATCAGTAAGCAAACAGTCTGTGAGCACCTAGAAAGGAATGCTGTGATCACCAATAGTCAGCATGGATTTCTGAAAAATAAGTCATGTCAGACTAACCTGATCTCGTTGTTTGTCAGAATTACAAGCCTGCTAGATGAAGGGAACGCAGTGGATGTAGCCTACCTTGATTTCAGCAAGGCATTTGACAAGGTGCCTCATGATATTCTTGTAAAGAAGCTGGTAAAATGTGGTCTTGACTATGCTACCACTCAGTGGATTTGTAACTGGCTGACTGACCGAACCCAAAGGGTGCTCATCAATGGTTCCTCTTCATCCTGGAGAAGAGTGACTAGTGGGGTGCCACAGGGTTCTGTCTTGGGCCCGGTCTTATTCAACATTTTTATCAACGACCTGGATGATGGACTCAAGGGCATCCTGATCAAATTTGCAGATGACACCAAATTGGGAGGGGTGGCTAACACCCCAGAGGACAGGATCACACTTCAAAACGACCTTGACAGATTAGAGAACTGGGCCAAAACAAACAAGATGAATTTTAACAGGGAGAAATGTAAAGTATTGCACTTGGGCAAAAAAAATGAGAGGCACAAATACAAGATGGGTGACACCTGGTACATGTGAAAAGGATCTAGGAGTCTTGGTTGACCACAAACTTGACATGAGCCAACAGTGTGACGCGGCAGCTAAAAAAGCCAATGCAATTCTGGGCTGCATCAATAGGAGTATAGCATCTAGATCAAGGGAAGTAATAGTGCCACTGTATTCTGCTCTGGTCAGACCTCACCTGGAGTACTGTGTCCAGTTCTGGGCACCACAGTTCAAGAAGGACACTGACAAACTGGAATGTGTCCAGAGGAGGGCAACCAAAATGGTCAAAGGCCTGGAAACGATGCCTTATGAGGAACGGCTAAGAGAGCTGGGCATGTTTAGCCTGGAGAAGAGGAGGTTAAGGGGTGATATGATAGCCATGTTCAAATATATAAAAGGATGTCACAGAGAGGAGGGAGAAAGGTTGTTTTCTGCTACTCCAGAGAAGCGGACACGGAGCAATGGATCCAAACTACAAGAAAGAAGATTCCACCTAAACATTAGGAAGAACTTCCTGACAGTAAGAGCTGTTCGACAGTGGAATTTGCTGCCAAGGAGTGTGGTGGAGTCTCCTTCTTTGGAGGTCTTTAAGCAGACGCTTGAAAACCATATGTCAGGAGTGCTCTGATGGTGTTTCCTGCTTGGCAGGGGGTTGGACTCGATGGCCCTTGTGGTCTCTTCCAACTCTATGATTCTATGATTCTATGATTCAAAGTTCTTAACCTGAAGCACTATTTCTGGTTTAGCGGAGTCTGTAACCTGAAGCGTATGTAACCTGAAGCGTATGTAACCTGAGGTACCACTGTATGGAATAAAACTTAACAATAGAATAGAATACGGTCAAAGAACAATACAGTGGTGCCTCGCAAGACGAAATTAATCCGTTCCACGAGAGTCTTCGTCTAGCGGTTTTTTCGTCTTGCGAAGCAAGCCCATTGACGGATTAGCGCTAATAGCGCTATTAGCGGTTTAGCGGCTATTAAAGGCTTAAAGGCTTAGGGGATTAGCTGCTAAAAGGCTATTAAAGGCTATTAAAGGCTTAGCAGATTAGATAAAGGGGGGGGGGAGCGAAAAAAAAATCTCAAGACTCGCAAGATATTTTCGTCTTGCAAAGCAAGCCCATAGGGGAATTCGTCCTGCGAAGCAACTTCAAAACGGAAAACCCTTTCGTCTAGCGGTTTTTCCGTCTTGCGAGGCATTCGTCTTGCGGGGCACCACTGTACTGCACATTGAGTTAAGAAAGACCCAAAGCAAGGTCATAGCTCAGTGGCAGAACATCTGGTTTGCATGCAGAAGGTCACAGGTCCAATTCCTAGCATCTCCAGAAATATCCAGCCTGCAACTCTGGTGACCCACTGACAGTCAGTGTAGAGAATATTGAGATGAACCAATGGTCTGATTCAGCATAAAGCAGCTTCTAGTATCCTGACAGCCCCCTAATACCAACCAATAACACAAAATATTAGAAATATAAGATGGCCAAGTGCCTAGAGGCTAGAGAATCAACTATCACCACAAAGCATGATCCAGAAAAGAATTACGGCAAGACGCTTGATCTTCGGCATTTGTTTGTTTGCATGAGATTAATTCAACAAAACTGTGCCTTTATTATTTTGAGTCTGACTCGAGTTGTGCCTCCTACTCTCCTGCTGAAATATGGGGCTACGGATTTAAATAATCTGCTACCACTTTTGCAAGTGCAATCCACATGCACACAGCTTCGTTCCGATGTAAATTAACTACACAAAAGTTTCTGACTGCTAAAATCAATTTTCCTCCCACCTTCAAACATGAAGATTTACCAAGCATATATTTAATTTATATACTTAACAGAAAACAATGACTCATAAGAAGTCCAGAGTAGATCTCATATATATATTTATAATATTTGTACCTTATCAACCCATTAATAGATTTTGTAATCCTTGCAGAGTTTTTAAAATTACCTTTTTCGTAACTTGTTAATTTTCCTTGATCAATGTATTTGGAGTCTGCCAACGTATTTTTTGTTTTAATTGTGCAAAAAGAGAAAACCAATTCCCACATGTCTTCTCACATTTTCAAAACATTAACCAGATCTTCTTTTCCCACCTGGTCTCCATATGTGAGAATGGCTAATATTTCAGTCCAGGATGAACGTAGCATCTGACGGAGTTAGTAATTATAATCTGCCAGATCCATGGTATTCAGATTTGTGACCTTTTCCACTTAACAAGCTATCCTTCCTGAGATTTTCCAATGCAAAATAGGAGGCCGAGGATCAAGCATCTCATCTGACTGGTTACTGTTTTCAAAGAGCAACAACTGTGTGTTGTGCTTAAAAGGTGACCATCTGTAAGAGTCCCTAACCATCATAGGCACGGCATGAACATAGCAGCCAACGAGCCATGCCTTTAAACATGCTTTGGTTCCTTTGGAGCATTTGGCAGAACACGGCATCATTGTTTTCTTTATCAGATGTTTTAGACCAGGCGGTAAAAAATAAATAAAAGGCAGGATATTGAATCGTTATACCCTTTAAAATCACAATCGCACTTACCTAACTATGGTGTGAACAATCTGTAAAGGAAAGCTGGTCATTACAGTAGTGGGCATGCAGGCCTGGTGACCTTCAGAAAAACCACATTCATCTTGGGCAGTTTTATGCCAGCAAAGTTTAGTGTAAGTTTTGTACAGCGATAAAGATTTATATGATGCCGGCGGCTTGAGATCGCCATAGATTCCGGCTCACAAGACAAAGCACGTTGAGGGCAGCATCAAAAAGGCTGCCTTGCTACCTTATTTCTGGAAAAGCATGTTTCTTTAAAACAAAACCAGACATTCACTGTTAACTTCCCCTTTTCTGTCTACACTCCATAGACTTTTCCTCTCTTTGCATCATTTCAGGTTCCTCATAATCTTTTTCTGTTAACCCTTCCTGTGGTCTCTCCATTCCACAGCTTTCTTTCTCTTTCCCTATCCTAAAGTTCATACTCAGTTTTCTCTACCCTTAAATCTCTGTAGCCAAATTACCCTATTTCTTTTTCTTTTCTTTTCTTCTCTTCTCCACCCACTCTTCTCTCTGCAGTCTCGTCTCCATTTTGCCCTTTTCTGATGTATTCCACAACACTCTTTGCACATTATAGGTCCTTCTGCACCCCTATTTCCTATATTTCGGTTTTTCTGTTTCCTACTTGCAGGCTCCCCCCAAACATTTTATTGTGGGGTCAAAGCCCCAACAACCCCCTAGGAGTTAGCTCCTATATGGTGGGCTGATCAGTTCAGTTAGCATAGGAGCGAAACTTACACCATTTCATTCATTCATTCATTCATTCATTCCCTGCCCATCTGGCTGAGTTTCCCCAGCCACTCTGGGCGGCTTCCAATCGAATGTTAAAAACAATACAGCATTAAATATTAAAAACTTCCCTAAACAAGGCTGCCGTCAGATGTCTTTTAAAGATAAGACAGCTGCTTATTTCCTTGACATCTGAAGGGAGGGCGTTCCACAGGGCGGGCGCCACTACCGAGAAGGCCCTCTGTCTGGTTCCCTGTAACCTCACTTCTCGCAATGAGGGAACAGCCAGAAGGCCCTCGGCGCTGGATCTCAGTGTCCGGGCTGAACGATCCAGGAAAAGGTATCAGGCACTTTGATGTCTGCGCCTCTTATTCTTCTCTGTCCACCCAGGTACACATCTAATTTCCTATCTGTGTTGTGTCATGCCCCACCAGCATTTTCAGCTTTCCCTAACTCGGAACACAACCCCTCATCCGGGATCCCTTATCACGTGGCCAAGTGGAAGCGGGGTCCTGCTGTCAGTGGGATCATACTGTGAACTGTGGATTTCTCAAGGAGCAGAACAGACCCCTTCGCCAGGAAGCAGAGGTAATCTCAGGGTAAAATCAAGACCTATGTTCTAAGCATGGTGCGGGCTGCTGCCGCCTTGAAAACAAATACCATGGAATGCACTGAATGTGTGTTAAAAACCAGTTCTACCAAACTTTTAAATGTGCCCTTATCCTCAAGTGAACGAAAGCTTGGCCTCTGAAGCAGAACGGTTAATCCGCCCCATTCAGAAGCCATGTCAATCTCATAGTTTATTTGTGCTGCTCAGTGTTGTGTGGCGACACCAGCGACTGTCTGTAACATTGTTTGGCCTTCAACATTCTTCACCTGGGCAGGAGGTGTGGAACCACACATGATCTCTCAGCATTCAGAGCGTGCTTATACCTTACCTACTTAGCTGAACATTTCATATTTGTGATCAATTCTGGCCCACAAAGTCTTCTGCCATGATAAAATGGTTCCATCTTTTAAGGAGTGTGTGTGAGAGAGAACATCACTGCAGTCCAACTAGATCAGGGGTCAGCAAACTTTTTCAGCAGGGGACCGGTCCACTGTCCCTCAGACCTCATAGGGGGCTGGACTATATTTTGAAGGGGGAAAAATGAACGAATTCCTATGCCTCACAAATAATCCAGAGATGCATTTTAAAGAAAAGGACACATTCTACTCATGTAAAACTATGCTGATTCCTGGACCGTCCGCGGGCCAGATTTAGAAGGCGATTGGGCCGGATTTGGCCCCTGGGCCTCAGTTTGCCTACCCATGAACTAGATAATACACACATTGCCACGGGGTATGGAAGATGTAACCTACTACTGCAATACATTAAAAACAAGGCAACTGAGTATCTAAAAGGGAGTATCCTTTGCCCCCTCCCCCCTGCCGGTGGTACCTACCTGAAATCTAACTATCCAAGATAAAAGTAACTTGAAGAGTGTTTAGGGCAAGTTTGTATATTACATTATCCACTGGAGTGACACTGGTTTCCTGACAAATGTATTTCGTGACATATGCCATTTCCTCCCTTGTGATTGCCTCCTTTTAAAAATATGATCGGTAATGCAATAGCCTCGTTTTCAGACTGAATGTCAGGCATACAGACCTTTTGTGTTAGCATCTGTCAGAACTCTTCCACAACTGCAATCTCTCCTCATGCTCCCTCAAATATAGATTACTTACTGCACCAAACCAGAAACAGCTGTCCATTTAATCAGGCAAACGAATGGGAGTCACCAGGGGGTTCCTTCTAGACCTGATGCCATCGCCTTCTATTGAGAATGTCCACCAAATGTGATCAGCCAATGCGACGAGCCCGTGGAAATATGACCCACCCTCACTGTCAGATTCTCCAAACACAAATGTGTGGAATAAAAGATGCACTTACTGATGACCTACAAGACCTGAAAAAAGAGTGTGGGGGGGAGGCTAGTGACCTGAATACAGTGGTACCCCAGGTTACAGATGCTTCAGGTTACAGACTCCGCTAACCCAGAAATAGTACCTTGGGTTAAGAACTTTGCTTTAGGATGAGAACAGAAATTGTGCAACGGCGGTGCGGCGGCAGCGGGAGGCCCCATTAGCTAAAGTGGTGCTTCAGGTTAAGAACAGTTTCAGGTTAAGAACGGGCCTCCAGAACGAATTAAGTTCTTAACCTGAGGTACCACTGTATATACTTCTGCTTCTGTTCACATCAGAATTTCAAAACCAAAGTACAGTGGAACCTCGTGTTATATACCGTCCTCCTTGCGAACGCTGCAGGTTACAAGCTCCGCTAACCCGTAAGTAGATGCCCCATGTTGCAAACTTTGCCCCGGGATGCGAGCGGAAGTCGAGTGCCGGCAGCGCGGCAGCAGCAGGAGGTGACATTAGCGAAAGCACGCTTCATGTTACGAGTGGTTTCAGGTTACAAATGGACCTCCAGAACTGATTAAGTTCGTAACTGGAGGTACCACTGTATACATTCCACCCAAGATGTATTCTTGATCTTCTATTGTGTGTACTGACCTTTAGCCTTTCTTTCCTGAAGGCCTATTTCTTAAGTCTAAATCATACAGAACCATAGAGTTGGAAGGGACCCTAAAGACCATCTAGTCCAGGGGTGCCCAAACTTTTTTCAAAGAGGGCCAGATTTGAATAAGTGAACATGCATGAGGGCTGACCAAAGTTGCTGACCTTTTTAAAGGATTGAAGTTGTTGAGCTTTTTTCTTTTTTCTCAATTTTACCCCGAAGTTGTTGAGCTCTGGGATCAAAGCTGCAACCTTGGTGTTATCAGCACTACCCCTCTAACCAACTCAGCTATCCCGGTCCTCACTGGACCCTAAAAGAAACAATAATGCACAGAATTAAAACAGCACCATGTCTGTTTATAGCAACAAAATGCACAGATGAGGAAAAACTGGCTATAGACACATTACATGAGAGGCACACATTGGCTTATGCACACAAAATAATTCTGTATGTTTCCAACTGCAAATTTCTCAGGAGGGGAGAAGAGAGAAATGAGTAGACATTTTCCCCATTTTCAGAAATACATACTGATAGAAACTCCATGTTCAATTAAACATTTAGTGATATGAGGACATGAGTTGGTGTGGAACTCTAAAATATCCTGCATAAGATGATTCCACCTCTAGTTTGAAGATGGACATAGGATGACGGAGGCTATAAGGAACAGAATGTGTGCCTTTCATGCTCAGTGTTACCTGATTGGAATAACTGTGGCCACAGATTTATTTATTTCTGGACAAATTAGCTGGTGACAGGGCCATTTCGGGTGGTGGGTGGGAGAGAAAATACACTTTGATGCTTGAGATGAAGTCACTTTAATAACTTGATTGCACAGCTTGATTGTTTGAACGTCTTTTGTGATATTTTAGGGACAATAGTTACACAACCATGATTTTAACTGTTGCTAATTTGCTGCGTTTTGTTAACAGAGGCTCAGCTTTTCTTTGTCTCCATTCCTCCCAGGGCAAGGCATTCGGCTTTTCACACACGTTCTTACTCCTCCACAAATACAAGACCCTCCTTGCTTTGTTAATGTCTCATTCACTCACTCTCTGCCTACATCACTTTGCTGCCATTCAGCCTCTCCCCTGAGCTCCCTTCAATTCCCCCCACCAACACTCCCAATTATCTCTCTCTGCAACCCACACAGCATCCCCCACACCATCTTCTCCCAGTTTTTCGCTCCGGTTTCTCCATACCCCCCGCCCCCAGAATCCAACCTCTACCAGCCCCTCATAACTTCTCTTCGCCCCATAGATTTTGCCCCCAATCCCAGTTTTTAAAAGAGCGTGTGAGAAGTCCTCGATTGTACTCCCACAGGCACCCTTCCTCCCCAACCATCCCTTTTTTCCTGCGCTCCCCCCAGTCCACTTCCCAAGGGTTGCCACCTTTTCCTTGGCGCCTGCTCTGCACCCTTTTAACAGGACGAAATCCAGCAGGGTGCCATTCTCCCTATTCCTGCGATTGATGGATTTCTGCTTAAACCTCTTGCCAAGGGGGAGGAAAAGGGGGGAAAGAAGGAGTGGCAACCCTGAACTTGCCTTTGATCCTTCACACAACCTCCCCCAACCCCTCACTAGACACACAGCTCTCTTCTCCAGACCACCTGCTTTAAGGTCTCTGTTCCTCTCTGCCTCATATTTTGGTGTCAACCCACCTGCAAAAACCCCTCACGTCCAAGCTTTTAAAAAGGCAAGCAAGACCCATCACCATCATCGCCTGTGCGCTGCTCTTTAGGGTGAGCAAGACTCTCACTTCCTGGCTCCTCCAGACGTGTCCCCCCCCCCCCCCACAAGTTACTGAAGGCTCTTTCTTTCTCTTTCTTTCTTTCTTTCTCTCTCTCTCTCTCTCTCTCTTTCTTTCTCGGGCACCGCGCCCTCCTCCCGACCCTGCCGCACTTCCTCAGCGCGGAGAACCACAGAACTGTAGTCAGACGGGATCCCCAAAGGTCCTTTAGTCCAACCCCCCTGCGATGCAGCAATCTCCACTGAAGCATCCATGGTAGAAGTCCCCTCTCGGGCTCTCCCACGTCCCGCCACGCGTCCATCCACCGCCACCGGCCGCTCCACGGCTCCTCCCGCAGGGCCAGAAATGCTTCGAGGGCGCAGCGGGGCCATCCCTCTCCCTACCCTTTTCCCACCCGCCCCGTAGTAAGCAAACCGGGGTTGGGACGCGCATGGCCCCCGGGGTCGGTCCTCCTGCAACCCCTTTCCCACCCACCCGCGTTCAGTTCCCTCCGAGCCGCAGCAGGACTCCGGAGCTGCTGGACGAGGAGCTCGGCGCAAGCGGGTGGAAGTCTCGGGGATCAGCTCCGTCGCCTCCGCGCCCCTCTCTCCTACTGCCGGAGCGGAGCCGCGGCCCCGGAGCCCCAGGCGCTCCCGGCCCCGCCCCCCGGCGCTCATTGGTCCGAGGAGGCCCCCGTGGGCGGAGACTGGCGAGCCGGTATTAAAAATCACATGGGCAGCGCTCAAAAGAGAGGCAGTAGCTTATTCCGTTGTATCACTTGCCAGCGGCAGGCTGAGGCTAGGGAGAGCTTGGGGATGGTTTTCCTTTTTTTGCTCACCTCTGGATCTAACACCCTTTTTAACAATATAATTTTTGCCTAGCTTAAAATCCACCGACAGGTAAGGAAGCCTTTCTCTTTCTCTCTCTTTTTTGACCTTCGGGAAGCGGGGTGGCTTGGACCCTCTCAATGGAGAGGAATATTGCGAACTGTTGCTCTTTTGAGTCAGAATGTAACCCTATAGCCCCCACAGATCAATAGGCTTGAGGGTCTTGAAAGAAAGAATTAAGAAATGGTTTGTTGCTTGCTTGCAGCAGGGAGATTTCCCCGGAGGTCCAAAAATGGAAACATTTTATAAATTTGCTTTCAGGTACCAGATTCAGTAGCTGCTGAAATTGTTGCAGGTAGATTTGTCTGCGATTGCTGGCGGTTCTTCTGTGCTCTTAACTTTCACTGCATCTAGTTGCTTTTTGCAATGGACTGTTTTGGATGGAGTTTAGCAAAAAAAAAAAAAAAAAAAAAATGCTGCCAGCTCTGCTGAGCTCTGGATTATTTTTGCTATTTCCTTTTTTTGCCTCTGGTTTGCAACTATGCTGTGACTCAGGAATAGGTCACAGCATCAAGACCTCTTAGGTCCTCCTGAAGCTCTGAAACATATTTCAAAAGAGCCTAAAATACCACATGTCGACCTTTCCCCAAGATGCTCCGAAGCAACTTGTGGATTGTTTGTACCCCACCCCTCTTATTTTATTATATATTTTTTTAAAAATATTGGTATTATTCCATGCCAAAAGCAGGCATCGAAAGAAAAGATCAGCATGTCTTGCGTTTGGGGAGAGATTGCATCACTTTAGCTTGATTCATCAGGGCTCCCCCCCCCCCCGGCAAAATATAAGAAATAAAGAACAAATCATTTTGGCTCTGCTGTAGCCTGTTACAGACGTTGCCATCTGAAAATAGTTTGTGCTGTAGCAGGAATGTTTAGAGCTTGAAGCAGCTTCTGCAGCTGAAAAAACTATTGTGAGGAAAACCTCTTCCTTATCACTCTTCTCCCTCCTCCCAATATTTCCGCTTCCCAGATTCTTTCGTTCTCTCACTGTGCATAATTTCTATATTCTGCCCCTTACCTTTTTTTCCTGCACTTCTTTCTTTTTCCATCTTAAGCAGCTTGCCAAAGACACCCCCCTCCCTTCTTGGTGATGACTCTGGTCATTTGTTGTTACTTTGTCATCATCTAGAAATATCTTGCCATCTTCTCCAAACAAGCAGGATCTGGGATCAAAAGCCTCTCATCCTTCCCCCTTTCCCCTCACACACTTCCTTCTACAAATTTTCTTCTTGTTGTTGGCATTGTTGTTTAAAACCACCCCCATTGTTTTGGTCCTCCGTTGCAGTGAGGTATTGGAGGGGCAGTCCTGTGCATTGTTGTGCCTTAACAATTAAAAATTAAGCTGAGAATATTAATAGACTGCCAGTAAGGGGAAGGCAGAATAGACTCCTGAACCACTTGAAGAGGAGGGCATTGCTCTGATTATTGATTTGAGCTCTAGCTCACAGCCATTCTGTTTACTCAGGGCACAGGAAGGTAGTAGTTAGGTTCACTTAGCAACATGTGCCTTGAACAGCCTCAGCAGAGGTGTGCAGCGACAACTGGGGAATAACTGCCGCTTGCTCATTAACTATTTCTCTCCCCCTGTTCGCTCAACCCTGAGCAGCCCGAGAGTGCTGATTTTTTTTCTTTTTAAGAATGCTTCTCACCTATTTCATCACTGCAATTTTCAAACAAGCATGAATGTGTTTAAATTCAGAAGGCTGCTTGTGCTCCAAAGCTTCCTCCCAGATGCAGTTCCTAGACACAGTTTGCTCAGATTCAGAGCCCATTATTTGGGGTGGAAGTGGGGGGGGGGGAAATCCCCCGACTCTCTCCATCTGTCAACACATACATGCAGAACACATCTACAGAGGCAGTAGGGAGTAAATGTAATGTGTTGAACTTATTTATGGGGTATGTTCAGGTTGCATGAGGCTAGCTCAATACAGTGGTGCCTCGGGTTACAGACGCTTCAGGTTACGGAATGCTTCAGGTTACAGACTCCGCTAACCCAGAAATAGTGCCTCGGGTTAAGAACTTTGCTTCAGGATGAGAACAGAAATCGCGCAGTGGTGGCAGCGGGAGGCCCCCTTAGCTAAAGTGGTACCTCAGGTTAAGAACAGTTTCAGGTTAAGAACGAATTAAGTTCTTAACCCGAGGTACCACTGTATACAGCAGTGGTTTAATAACCTTAGCAGTGGCATTGGAATTGAAGCTTCATTCTGAAAGATGCTTTTCCCAATTCTGTTTAGGGTTTTGGAGGAGCCAGCTCTGGAGTTTCTCTAGCATGTGGGTTCGCAGTCAGCTTACTCCCCTCCCCCCTCTTTTCTTCAAGTAGAGTGTGGGAAGACTGCTGGTAGGCAGGAGAAGTAGCAACAGCTTGGAAGGGGAGAAAAGCCTGCAGACTTTTACCCACCTCTCAGTACTGTGAACTTGTTGTATAGGAACAGAGCAGGTGTTGGTAACATGGGTTTGGTAAATTGTGGCTGGGAGAAGGAAGTGCACCGTCAGAAATGGTGTGGGGCATTCTCTTCAGATAGTGAGTGGTGTCTTCATTTCCAAAGGAAGGGGTGTGTGTGTGTGTGTGTGTGTGTGTGTTGGACAGCTGAAAGGGAGGGAGAGTTCAGAATTTTCTGAGACTTTGGCACTACCCTTTTAATGCTGGGGCTATATGCTCATAAAGCATTCCACAGGGCCTGATCCCTGTCCTGTCCAAATTCTACATCTGTGCTGTAGGTCTGCTGCTGCTGTATCAGTTCTGTTGTCTCTGTGGCTCCCACAAAATTCATGTGTGCGTTAGATGCTTGCACCATTCTTCTAAACATCCCCAGAACCTGATCCTGCTTGGATAAATAGCAGGAATTTTGCCATTCACTTTGTGGACATTAGATTTCTGCAACTACTAATGTGCCATTGTCAACCTTGTCTGGAGATTCATCGTGAAGGTTAACCTGTCCCTCTGCCTGCTCCCTGTTTGTATCCTAGTTACAGTGGGAGCAGTAGTGGGCAATTTGTGTTGTTAAAAGAGAGGGTGGTTATCCTATAAAGGCTGTAATAAGTGTTGCGTGTGGTATGCCAAAGTTTTGTTGCATGATGAACTTCTAGTCTATAAACACTTGAAAGAGTTATAACCCCAGGCTCTTTGTTTAAGAATTATTTTAGCCAACCTGCACATAAGGGGTTTGCTTCCAGAGGCAGAGTGCCCGTAGTGGTGAAACTCTATTAGCTAATAATGCCATGCAAATGTACAACATATGGAACAATTACTATTGCTGGTAGTGGAAATCTGCCAGTAATAGGTACTTGGTGCTATTTCTAGGGTTCTAATTTGAGCAGGCATTTCATAGGAAGCTGGTATTACGTTGGAGTGATGCTTGGAATTTGATCAAATGGCCAAAGGTCAAGGTAGTTTTCCAAAGTCTCACGTAGACCTTCTTTCAGTCTCTCTCTCTCTCCCCTCCCTTAAACTGGCTTGTTTTCCTCCTTTAAATCTGAGAAAAAGATCAGCCCAAACAGCATGCCTACAAATGTAATTTGAACATGGGCATGCAGCATGATGACAATAATAGGATGTGGTTTCTGACATGGAATAATCTGCAGACCAATGAAGCTACCTTTCAGTTAACTGCTTTTGCTTGTGTATAAACAGAAATCTGATTCTTTCTTAAACTGATATTCTAGACTACGTTTATACATCAACAGTAAAATAGTGCAAATTGAACACTGAAAGTAGTTTTGCCTAAGGGGTTAGATATTGGCTGAGCTATTGTTTAAATAAAAAACAAAGCATTAGTTGCTGGAAAAATTGAACTTTTGCCTTGCAAACGAATGATCAGACAGGTATAAATTAACTAGAAAACTAGTGCACATTTGAATAACCCTTGATTGTTGAAAGCTGCCAAAATATGAAGCATAAAAAGTTTGACTAATTTCAAGAAGATGTCACCCATTACATACTGCATTCAGCACCCAGGGACAGACCTATCCTACATCCAGCCTAGACTTTCCATCTGTAATTATTATGGGAAGATCTGCTTTCTGTTATCTAGGAAAGTACCTAACATATAAGGTTACCTTATGCAGCTGTGACCTGGAGAATTAGACAAAAGTTTATATAGCATCATCTGGAACCATGCTTTGAGAGTCACTTGACCTATGAAAATTCTTCTATATTTGAATTGCCATTCTAGACTTTTAAGTGTAGTGTTATTTGATGTTTGTTTGAGTTTGAATGTTTGCTGTGGGATGACCTGTGGTTTTGACCCACTGAGGATGCGCGTCAAATTTCGTATGATGCAAAGCAAGTGCTCCTCTTCATTTTAAGAGTAAAATATCAGCAAGACTACTGTTGTGTCAGCTGCTGCATTTTAAATTGAACTTACGAGGAGTCACGAAAAGAAATGGAAACATCTCTACAGTTATAGTCCTAACCATTAGGGAGTAAGTCTGCAATCCTAGACCTACTTACCTGATCCCCATTTAATATGTTTTACTTCTGAGTAAACACGGTTAGGCTTCTGAATCCAGTGACCCATACTTCTGACTGAATATGCTTGAGGTGGTTAAGACTTCGTGGCTGCAGTCTTATGCACATGTGCCTTACAGCAAGCCTCTTTTCAAATAAACAAGCAGCATTCCAGGTTAGATTTTTTTTTAAAAAAACAAACCCCAGCAACAAACACACACACAGGGACATGAGCCAGTCCTGACTATATGGCAGCTCCTTCACATAGCAAATTCACGAAGTTTCAACCACACTGTTCAGGCAGTTGAGCTGCAGAAATTTGGAGGGCAGCAAAATGGATGGATGCAACAAAAGAGAGCTAGACAAGGAAGCAGGCTTTGAAATGCATAGACAGATTAGCATCCGATTGGCTGTGTGGGATAAGAACATGCATCATCATAGACACGACTAGTTGGGAATGAGTCGAGCAGGATCAGGGCCATTGTTTCACTACTATAGTAAATGCCTTTGTAACTTGCATACATGTTGAATGTTGGTCTGTATATTTTGGTTCAGCCATATTTTGGTTTAGGCCCCAACCTGTGGTTGCTAAATTTATTAGTTAAAACAAAACAAAACACAAGCAACATACTGATCCCCCGCAATAAAGGTGAACCTGGATCTCACTCACAGTTCCATGAGGTTCGTTTCTGTATATTTGCTCTACTACCAAAACACACATCTTGAAACAATCACTATGTCAATGTCCAGCATCAAGCTACTTTAGATTCACTAGCAACATATGGCTTTGTGGACTGAATTCTGAAAAAAGGTGAAAACAAAATCCAGTGCTTAGCTTCCAATCAACTTTCATTTAATAAGAGGAGGGATGTCAAATACTGCAAAAGGGTAAACTTGGATTGGATACAAATGCATTATAGAAATATCGAGTTGGAAGGGACCTCAAGGGTCAGATAGGCCCTGCAATGCACACAGTTCCCCATCCAATATTGAAACCATACCGGACCCTGCTTAGTTTTGCAAATGTGCTAGCAGGTTTATTGCTGCACCACTACCTTATGTTAAAATTGGTATAAATCACATCAAGGATTCTCAGATCTAGGAATCTCAAAATGGATGGCTTAAAACGAATCAGCAAGATACCAGGCTATTGGCAATTCATACTGGTGGCAGTGTAATACTAGAGTTTAAAGTGAGTCCCCTTTATACTCTTAAGAAAGGTTTTATGCAGCCAGAGACCAGAATTGGACAAGTGAGCCCCAATAGCAAAATGCTGGGCAGTTTAAGGAGTGTTACCTTGTTTCCTTATTTTTGCAGAATGACTAAATGAGACACTCCCTGACCCTGGCAAAAATGTGTTTCTGGTCACTGCATACTGTGTTAGATTAAATTCATTATACCATCTTTGGCTGAAGTTGTCATACTGTATCGGCCGAATCTCCTGGGATCGCTCAGTCGGTAGAGCATGAGCCTCATAATCTCACGTTGGGCAAAACATTCCTTCGTTGCAGGGGGTTGGACTAGATGACCCTCATGGTACCTTCCTATGCTATGATTCTGCATATAAAAACTCGAGCTATTAGATGATGCTTTCTTTTAAGATTAGCTGTGTGATTTCCTGCGGCTATGCTGAGTTGCTACAGAACAAGATGAGGTGCCTCTGGAATGAACGAAGCTGGGAGCGGGATCCGTACAAGATCACGTGGGGGCAGAAAAATAGAAATGCAATCCCAACAGTTGCTGACACAACTTTCTCTCTCTCTTTTATGACAGGCCATGTCTCCTTGTGGCAGATGATTGGCTGCTAAGTTGGCCGCGACGATCGGAAGGTTCCTTGGCGCAGTCAAGGTCTGACAGAGGCCCCGGCTTCTTTCTCTTTTTCCTCTGAGTGTGTTCCCCGAGAGCATTCAAAACTGTTTCTCCAAAGAGTTCTGCAGAAACTCAGACTGTTTTCTAAAGCAGAAGCACCACAGTCCACAGCGGAAGCGATGGGCAGCGTGCGAACCAACCGCTACAGCATAGTTTCCTCGGAAGAGGACGGCATGAAGCTGGCCACCATGGCTGTTGCCAATGGCTTTGGGAATGGCAAGAGCAAGGTACACACCAGGCAGCAGTGCCGGAGCCGGTTCGTCAAGAAAGATGGCCACTGCAATGTTCAGTTCATAAACGTGGGAGAGAAAGGACAGCGGTACCTAGCAGACATCTTTACCACCTGCGTAGACATCCGCTGGAGGTGGATGTTGCTCATCTTCTGCCTGGCTTTCATCCTCTCCTGGCTGTTTTTTGGTTGTGTGTTTTGGTTGATTGCCTTATTGCACGGGGACCTCGATAAAAAGGAAGGACTCTGTGTCTCTGAAGTTCGCAGCTTCACTGCGGCCTTCCTTTTCTCCATTGAAACGCAGACGACGATTGGCTACGGCTTTAGGTGTGTCACGGACGAGTGCCCCATCGCAGTCTTTATGGTGGTTTTCCAGTCGATAGTCGGCTGCATCATTGATGCCTTCATCATTGGTGCTGTGATGGCTAAGATGGCCAAGCCGAAGAAGAGGAACGAAACTCTCATCTTCAGCGACAATGCGGTGATAGCTATGAGGGATGGAAAGCTGTGCTTGATGTGGCGGGTTGGGAATCTACGCAAAAGCCACTTGGTGGAAGCTCACGTGAGAGCCCAGCTCCTCAAATCCCGAATCACCACTGAAGGAGAATACATCCCGCTAGACCAAATCGACATCAACGTCGGGTTTGACAGTGGGATAGACCGCATATTTTTGGTGTCGCCTATTACAATTGTCCACGAAATAGATGAAGAGAGCCCATTGTATGACTTAAGTAAGCAAGATATGGACAACACAGACTTTGAAATTGTAGTAATATTAGAAGGCATGGTGGAAGCTACTGCCATGACTACCCAGTGCCGTAGCTCCTATCTGGCAAACGAAATCCTCTGGGGCCACCGTTATGAGCCTGTACTGTTTGAAGAGAAGAACTACTACAAAGTGGATTATTCTAGGTTCCACAAAACGTACGAAGTGCCGAACACACCCCTCTGTAGTGCCAGAGACTTAGCGGAAAAGAAATATATCCTCTCTAATGCAAACTCATTTTGCTACGAGAACGAAGTAGCCCTCACGGGCAAAGAGGAAGAAGATAGTGACAATGGAGTGCCCGAGAGCACGAGTACAGACACACAGCCAGAGATGGAGCCCCACAGCCAAGCTGGTGTCCCCCTAGAGCCTAGGCCTTTAAGGCGGGAATCTGAAATATGACTGATGGAAATGTTTTCCACTCTGGTTAAAATATATCTGTCAATAACGGGCAGGCTACATGCAGGAGTGGCCGCAAACAGTTTTTCAGATGACGGTACTGTCAAACAGAGATAGGCATGCAGGCCAAAAAGTCCTGCTAGGCTGGTTTTCAAAACGCTGTCTTCATGGGAGGTACAGCAAAAGCGTGAATTGGAACATGAAGCACTATGTCTGTGCGTGACTAGAAAGCACATATATGTTATAGAATAAATTATGTATATATTTTTTTTACAAAACTTGAACTTGCAGGCAAGCTTTGGTTGAGTGGTATTGTTTGTCGTCTATTTTTCTCTCTCTGTCTCCCAAAATGCTTCTCTCTTGGGAACAAGAATGTTTTAAATGGCATAACAAAGGCAAGAGACGGCCTTACTATTTTTTTAATGTTGCTGCTAACTACATGAACACAAATTGTAATTATTTTTTGTCGCAGTGTAGTATTTGTTTTTTTCTTTTATATATCCTTTTTTAAAAAAAACAACAACAAAAACGCAAAACAAAAACAGAAAAGGGGGAAATTCTCAGTGTTGAACTTGTTAGTTTCAAAGCTCTCTGTCAGTCAAAGTGACTGGTGATGCTAGGGAATCTGAACTTTTGATGAGGCCAGTAGATTGGTGGCTAGAATCAATTTCTCTTCGTACTATCCAGTTACATAAGAAGTATTATGTAACACAATGCCATGCAGTAGCCTACAGCAAGATATATATTTTTAAATTTGTGTTTGGGAATGGAATGGGAGTCACCCCCCCAAAAAAAAATCCAAAATGTGTTTTGATTTCAAAGCTACCTAAGTGAATACCAAAGAGAAAAAATGCACACATTTGCACAGCTTTTTACTTAAACAGAGCAGGTTGCTTTCAGACTATCTTTCTTCCCCAAAGGTCCTTACGCATGTAGTTTTTTTTTTTTTTTAATGCACCTTATTCTAAAACAAAAGACTCCTTTTTTTGCCCCATCCTTTTCTGGGCAAATAAACTTCTGATCTTAAAGAGGAGGAGGAGAAGAAACTGAGTGAAAGGGAGCAGACATATGTCATTTCCTGTTTGCAAAACAGCAAGACTGTGGCAGAAAGTCAGCTGGGAAGTCATGCATTCCAGACCAGTTTTTAGAACACAGAACCCTGTTAGAAGTGGAGTAGGATTTTGCAGGGACTGCAATCCTAGAGGCAGCTGGGGAAAAGCCCTACTGAACTCAGTATGTCTTACTTCTGAGTGGACATGTATAGGATTGTATTGTGAGCCATCAAACGGAACCAAGGCCATAGTTACGCTCCATTTGACATTTAATCCAGCTTTGTTACATGTTGGCAAAACCATCGTTTCAGCCATAGAGATAGACTTGACCATACGTAATAGGCTGCCATGAACAAAGCAACAGGCTGCTCCCAGGAGATAGGAAACTGACGTGGAATAATCTGATGCAAGGAGATCAGTGGTTTTGTTTTCGATGGGACAGCTTCTCCTTGCCAGGGTGATGGGGGGGGGGGAGTAGGCTAAAAATTTTCTAGATTGTTTGTCAGGGGGGTGGGGGTGGGCAGGTGAGTTTGAAGGGAACAATACTGTAAAAGAGTTCCCTCTTTTTGTTTTCTGACGACTTGATAAAGCCACGATGGGATGATCAACAGACATAGCAATATATCTTCACCGAAATCTTTAAACAGCTATTGCGACCGACTGCTGAACCGTGGCTTTAATGGCATTTGGGGGCCTCTTGCCAAGAATGCTTTAAAAATTCTCCCTGCCTTGTAAGATCAAGTGTACCGTTTCAGTGGCACCCATAGGTTATAGACGTACGAGCCCTACCAGCAGGTGGAAGGAGAAGGTGATAACTGAGGGAATAAACCTTAAATTCTTTTACAGTATTGGATCTCCCTGTATGCCATTAAAAATAGCTTGTTCTGGGTCTAATGCTGTTCCTAATAAACATCTGCGAAGCTTTCCAGGCCACAGTTGCCCTGTCAGAAGGAGACAAATTCAGCAATGTGGCATTTCCCAGTCAGAATGAACTTTGCAGAGTTGGTGGGTTCGAAACTGCAGAAATTGGAGATGGTGTTATATAGGCAGGTTTGTTTGTTTTTCCTCTTAAGTCAGATATTGTTTATGTACCATGAACTGAGGCTAATTCTGAAGAGTGAAAAAAGGAGGTTGGGGAGGCACAGTACTAAATATGCATGGCAACCTGACTGGAGTCTCCGGGTCAGGGAAACAATGAAAGCAATTGAACATGACTCGTGCTGCTATTGTGATATATTTTGCAAAGGAAAATAAAGAGCAAACCAAAGAGTATTTAGTGACATGTCAAACAAAGAAGGGAGGAAACTACTCCAAAATGCACAAAGTTCCCACTTGCAAGATTTGAGACATTAAAGGGAAAGGTGGATTGAGAAAGTGTTGAATATATTTGTTTTAAAAACAAACACACACAGAGAAAGGGATTTTGTTTTTTTCCCCTTAAAAAAAAAATCAAATCTAATATTTCTTTTCTTTTCCTGGTGCAGAGTTGATCTTTCTTTTCCTGAGAAGCAGGGTTTTGTGTTTTCAGAATTTTTTTTAACGAAAATGTACATTTTTTAAAATAAAGTTTATCAAGTATTTTCATATTTAAAGCCAAATGTAAATAGAGAAGTCCACTGAAAAAGAAAAACGATAGGAGAAAAGGCCAAGATGGCATCAGTTAGAACCTATGATGCTACAGGTTAGCATGGTTTTTAGCAAATAATTGCAAGCCTTATGGGATTTCTAATGCTATGAGTTATTTTTTTGTTATTTATTTAGGCATGGATGTTTAACTTGATTGTGTTTGTCCTTGCTATTGGCTTTTTTCTTTCCTTTTTACTTGCATTCAGATCGCTACAGACTTGATGAGAGTGGTTAATCTATTGCACTCTTTGTCGGGGGTATGTTTCTCTTCCTCAAATAACCCTTTGTCTTTACCTGTTTGCTTCTGCATGTGAAAAAAACACGCTAAAACGAAACCTTCCTTTATGTATATATCATGGTACCTACTGGCCCTTAATTGTCCTCATGATGTTCTTTTTTAACAAACAAGCAAGCAAGCAAGCTCAACATGGCTTGGGAGGCTCAGCCTTAGGTTCCATGACCATTGTGAAGCTATCGAAAGATTATTTTTGAAGCAGCTGATCACAAGGGACAATTGTGCAATGTGTTGAGCAAGTATAGATTTGTGGTGCAATAGCTCGCCACTTACACCGATGGGAAATTTCCCCACTGACGTCACTGGAATGTAGACTGCATGCAGACCTGAGTCCTCAAGCCACAAATAAGAGCTTTGAGACAAGCAGTAATTTTCCTTTTCCCTAAAAATACTTGAATGGGGGTGGGGGGGTGCGGGCTTCTCTTGTACATAACTAACAGTGCAATCCTGAGCAGGTCTACTACTCAGAAGTAAGTTCCATTGCTTCAACAGGGACTTACTCCCAAGGAAGTGGGCACACAGTATAGGGTTGCAGCCTTATTATCTCGCTCGTGCAACAAAGGCTATGGGTTGCTGTTGTTTCTCAACCATGGCCTGGTGTGCAAGGTTTTAAAATGAATAAAAATGTGTGTATTCTTTGGGTACATGGTTCAGTCACAGATTCACGCCCCCCCCCCATAACTATTCATTCTGTTGTGCATGCATTTGGCAAAGACAAAGGGTTCTGAATCTGATATTTTTGCTCTCTTATTTTTGCTTTCCTTTTTATTTGTTGGGGTGGGGTTACAAAGTAAAAACCGATAAGTACTGTAATGTCTTCTTTTTCTAAAAAAAGCAAAACAAAAAAACCCAAAAACCTGGCTGCTGTTGTTGATCGTTTTTAAGGTAGGAGAGTGCTGCGCAGTTGCCACCCCACAGGCAACTGGAGAGACCTCTCTCTTCTCGTAAATGGATTTTCTGTCCTGCAGCTGTTTGTAAGGTGAACAAAACCAACAGGCATTTGACAATCGTTCTCCTTTACTTATTTTCCTGTTTGCAGCCTTTTGTATCAAAGTCTTCCTAATGTACTGCACAAATCATGGACTGTACAAAATTTTTATATATATATTATGTCTTATTTTATTATTTCTAAAAAAAAATAAAAATAAAAGTATTCTTGCATATTTGACGCTGAATCTCTTTACAAGCAGCAACACAGCAGCTTGATTGCATAAGCATGCTCTGCCCGTCTGAGTGCAATGTGCAGCTAGCTACTCTCTTTTTGGATGTGTCCCAATCGCTGTAGCAGATTCTCAGCCTGTATGAGATTATGCATTCTAAGCCTGTATGGGATAATGATCAGGCCCCATCTCATTTATGACAACACGAACAGTGGGAATCTAGATCACACCATTTGAGGCAGGGGGTAGCTTGTGCACCAAAATTAATTTGCTCCTTATTTCTCTAGTAAGTGTCACTGTCAGGCTTTCACAAGTGTGTGTGTGTGTGTGTGTGTGTACAGTGGTACCTCTGGTTATGAACCTAATTCATTCCGGAGGTCCGTTCTTAACCTGAAACCCTTCTTAACCTGAGGTACCACTTTAGATAATGGGGCCTCCCACTGCCGCTGGCCTGCGATTTTTGTTCTCATCCTGAGGTAAAGTTCTTAACCCAAGGTACTACTTCCAGGTTAGCGGAGTCTGTAACCCGAAGTGTTTGTAACCCGAGGTGTTTGTAACCTGAGGTACCACTGTGTGTGTGTGTGTGTGTGTGTACACACACACACACACACACACACACACACACACACACGATAAAACTATGTGGTCTTAGTGTCATCTTCTAAAAAGTGGACTCCTTTACAGTTGAAGCTTCGCTGTGTTTGTGAACAAAAACCTTATTCAGCTTTGCATATTAAATGTTCAGAAGCCTGATTGAAACCTGATGGGTGGTATCCAATTTTTACCATATGCTGAGTAGGGCCATTGAAACTGATAGGCTCAAATTAATCCCACTGATTTCAATGGGTCCACTACTCTGAGTTTCCCTTAGCTGAACGCCAACCTATCCTACTAGTGGTCTGCCTCTTCCTCTCCAGTGCAGGGGAACATTTTATATAGATAACATTTCAAAGTTGCAACCCTTCCCTCTGCTGATGCGACACTAGCGAAACATTATGCCCTCTCCTGTTGGCTACTACCATGAGCTGCAATTCCTCTTCCCATCAGATAGGATGCTGCCTCCTCTTCTAACATGATTCTCTTTCAATCTGAAAATGCCACAATTGGGAGATCATAGAATTGTAGAGTTGGCAGGGACCCTAAGAATCATCTAGTCCAACCTCCTGCAATGCGAAAATATTCACCTGTCCCATATAGCAGAGGTTTTCAACCATTCTGAGTCCATGGCTCTTGTCTTGACCAACTACATTCTTTCTGTGGCACCCCTGTGGGGCTCAGGAGCCCAGTTGCCTGCGGAGCTGGCAGCCTCTCACCCTTTTTCGAACACCCTCCCTTCTGGAGTGTTCCCTCAGCCCTCTTCTCCTCTTTCCTTGGGGGTCTTCTGGGCAGCTGCTGCCACCACCCCTGGTCTCTTAGCTGCCCCAAAGAGAAGTGCCTTCTCACATTGTCCCACAGGGGCCTGGGACCAATCCTGTCCATTCCCAACAGCAAGGGCTGGCAGACTTGCTTGCTTACTCCAAGGCCGGTTCAGCTCCTGACAACCAGTACCCCCTGAGCAGTCCCATTCACCTGGGGAACATGTAGCTAAGCTGCTTCAACAAACAGCTGTGAAAGCCTTTGGGAGGCAGAGACATAAGAGGGCATCAGAGGAGGGAGGGAAGGAAAGAGGGACAGAGGCCAGCATTGCCCATGGCACCCCTGACCATCATTCAAGGCACTGACCATCATTCAAAAACCACTACCATATAAGGATCAAACCAGCAACGTTGTCATTATCAACTCCATGCCCCAACCAACTGATGATTCCAGGGCATAGGGCAGTTACCTGTAGGAGCTGTTCACATGCAACCCTATTCAATTCTCACCTGCCCATCCATGCTTTCAATATCTGATAACCCAGCCCCACTTCCATACAAATTTCAGAGAGGAAATTGACAATTTGGCTGTTTACATGGAGTTCTCAGTGAAAGAAGGTGTTTGATATACTAGTAGCATGAGTATAAGCAAATTCAGTATTTATGAATGCCCAGTGGCATTTTGGTTCCAAGATCTCTCCTAGTACTGATCTAGTGTGGCATAGAAACTATGTCCCTGCGGTTCAGATCTTTCCTCTGCCACAAAGGCAATTCTCCCTCCATCTCCCAGTCTCAGGCACTAAGTGTATTATGATAATAAGAGTGATCTTATAGGGCTGGGTTCCATAGTGCATTGTCTAAGCTAGTATTATTAGATGCAGACAACCATAGCACTTTCAGTAGTGGAGGCTGTTGCCCATAGAACTGGCTGGAGCCAATGATAGCCAGAGCCAAGTAATTCTAGTTTTGTCCCCATCCTTCTCCCTGCTGAGTTCTACAAGGGCAATGCTGAGACTAAGATGGAGGAAGTTGACAGCCTGTGAGACCTCCTGGGCTGGTTGTAAGAAAAATGGCAGACAGGTCGGGCAGACTGCTAATGGCAGACTGTGGTTGCTGCCTCATTTGCCATGTCCAACAGGTAGATCTACTGGTAGATTCTGGGGTGTTCCTGGTAGATCTCTGGCCCCTCAGTGATCTACTCCCCCCAAAAAAAACCTCAACAACTTTGGCTTCCCCCAAAAAGACTAAAAACGTTGGCTTCCTTCAAAAAGCTCAATAACTTTGCCTTTCCTAAAAAAGCTCAGCAACTTGTGCTTCCATCAGATTAAGGTCCACTATTTGACTGCGGATTCAGAACTCTAAACTGTGTTTTATATGATCGACTTTTTATTATGCTCTGTGTCTATCATCGCAACGCTCATTCAAATCATTCACTTCATTCAATCATTTTTTTAGACTGTGAGTAGATTGCAGTCTATTGGGAGTTGGACGTCCCTGCCCTAACAGATCTGCTTCCATTGACTTTCAGAGGCTATTTTACAAGCACAGTAGCAGATGGCAGGGTAGAGTGGCAGCACACACCTAACCTGAGAGCTGAGTTGCTGTTGTTTACCAGGGAGGAGATGGGGAGGGAGATGGTATCAACGTTGGCGTGATGGCAGACCTTCCGGCAAGTGTGCCAGATTGCCTCTGCCATTGTGTCTGCACCATGCTGACCTTCCTGCTGCCTTGCCCCTCTCCATAAGCAACAGCAACTCAGGTCTCAGGAGGTCAGGTGAGTGCTTCTGATCCTCCACTCTGTCTGCTACTGTTTACAAATACACTCTTAAAGATCTATACTAATGTCTTTCTGGTGCTGCGCCATAGTCAGAGGTCCTTATTAAGGAGATTTGCAGCAGATTCCCTCACCACCCGATACACGCATTCTGAAGGAAAGGCCCTCAGGCATATTTCATGAACTCAAATTTGCATGCAAAAACTCAACTTTGATATTCTTCCAATTATTGATGTTGAGGGGGTGGGGGAATGGAGGTGTCAAAGTATAATTAGCAAGCTAATGCTTAACCATATTGCTTCTAGCATCAATCTGACTTAAGATTCAGTTGTTGAATGCTATCCCTTAGCAGGATTAACTGAACAGGAAAAGCCAGAGCACAGACCTTTGCAAGGAATTTCAGATCTTAAATTCACGTGGTATTTTGCTTCATTATCCATGCATTAATCAGGTAAACAACTCAAATATACTACATTTCCCCAAAGACGTTTTGGTATTTTTTTTAAAAAGCTATAAAATAGAATAATGCATTGCAGCTATGAATCGGACTTAATTGGGAGCCAGTTGCAAAAACCCAAACCACAAAATGAAACACTTTGGTGAATAAATGCTTTTACTACTCTGATTTATCATGAACATATTATCACAACATCCCTTCTTTTGCAGAGGAGTTTTTCCTGTGGGAGAAAATCTCTAGTGGTTGTAATTTATCTCCATGCCAAATAAGAGTGCTTACCTCATTGGTAGTCTTGCATTAACTGAAGTGGCTTATGTTTGCCCTACATATTCTTTATTTATTCTTTATATTTATTAGCTGGCTCATAAACTTATTTCTCTAGATGATGCCCAATGTTCAGACAGAGATATTTGTTAGCTCCAGGGCAGATGTATATTCATATATTGTGCCCAAACAAGGTATCAAATACACCAAGAGCAATCTCTTACAGCAATAAAATAACCCACAAAAAGTCATAATGCATAAGAGGCTGGATATGAATATGACCTTGAAACCCAAAAATCTAATAATATGCATCACACATCCTTCCTTCTCAGTTTAGTTCTCTGCAGTGTGTTTCTACAATGCATATCTGGCATTGGAATCTGTGGAGAACAACAAACCATGAACCATGGTTTAGACATAAAAACAAGGCAGGCTATCACTTGTCCCTTTCTCAGAGTGGCAGGAACACAGGAGGAACAGACTGGGTACTTTTGAGCAGTATGCAACTTGCATGCTGCTCATTCAGTTTAAACCATATTTTATGTTAACCATGGTTTGATGTAAGAACTAGCTCCCCAACCCTGTATGGCTCGAGCGGCTGCAGTGTAGCACATATATGGGTAGACAGAAGAATGACTAGACTTCAGCTGTTTTTGTTTGGACTGGTCAGCATAAGAATGCAGGAATGCAGATCATAAAGTAGCAATTATTCATATCGCAGTGACTGATCAACGAAAAGTTAAGTCGGTTTCTTCAGGAAGGAAGTAAACTTTTCCCAGCTTTTTGATGTGCAAGCAATATAACTTGAATCAGACCCAAATACATATGCTGTGTATTTCAACGGATAGGAGAAACCTATTGAAAGTGGAATCCACAGCTTTGCCCCCATTCCTGTTCTATGCGGCTTGCACAGTCTAGGTGATAGTCCTTCTCTAAGACACTTTGTAAAATGACAGCATCTCTAAACTGCATTTTCCCCATTAGTAAAAGGGGAAAGAATGCTGTAATGAAGTCATGCTTCCAGGGAACTCCGTTGGTATTACAGGAGCTATTCATGTCACAGCCAGCTGTGCCTTCTCGGGGGAGATTTGAGATGAAGTGAGCTGTGATCAGTGGTGAG